TTAAGAGTGTCACCGGAACAAGATTTATTTTAGGATGGCGGTTGCCAGTTCATTTGTTTAGAATACCTATTGGTAATGAAATTTGCCTAGGAGTGGGAAAAAGAAAACACAAAACACGTGTTTCCTGTCCTTCTCATAAAACGACTAACTACTGATCTCGTTTTGAAAGGCCCTTAACTTAACTCAGCCCCCCTCAACTAGTGATTTTTTGTGCCTCAAACAGCATCTTGAGTTGGTGGTTAACACTTTGGTAACGATGGCCGTTTCTTAGTTGTCTGCTTTTAATTAAAATTTACAAGAGTATTGAAAAATGTTGCAAATGCTTTTCCATAATATTTTCTGAGATGGGCTTTCTAAGGACTGTTGACATTGAGAACTGATGTTTCGTCTCCACATTACTGTTATCATCTAACATCATAACAGCATCCTTTGCGTGTGGTACTATAGCAAGTTATTACAAAATATTAAGATAACTATACCATTTTTAAAAGAAGGCTGCAAAAGCAGCATGATTGAATAATAGGATGAAGTTATTCTTACAAATGAAAAGATGTTTTTGCTGAAAACCTTGTCAAGGCAATAGATTATGAAACTCAGTATTGAAATATTTCATTTTTTATTTTGTCATCAATTTCTATATTTATCAAACAAAGATTTGTACGACATTTGCATATAGTAAACAAATCAGTGAACGATCAAACCTAATATGTAGTTACTAAGATTGACTGATGGTTGAAGTGTGTCAATACTTATGCGATAATGTTACGATATATATATTTATATATATATTTATGTATTTAGAAATTTGTCTGTTGATACTTCCGTAGCACAGTGCTCAATACGTTAGCACGTAGAGCGTGATATATCATAGATTGAAGAAAGTAAAACTACATGGTTTATCTCCATATAGAGATAAACCATGTAGTTTTACTTTCTTCGATCTATGATATATTTATGTATTTATATATATGCTTTGTCTATAAATATACGATCGCTTGATCTTTTCAAGGATTCTTTTAAAAAGGCGAACATCGCTCACGATTAGATATGAACAATTAGATCTTTTTTAATGTCTATTTATGATGATAAAAAATACATCGATGGCTATACTGCTTACGCAAGAAATGTCTCAATTTCTCCGACCAATGTTTTAAATTTCGTACTAGAGGAAACCTTTTAAGAGTGGTTACTAATTACTATGGTCAGCCTCTATTGCCTAGTTCATTTATTGCTTTTGTCAAATGTTAATCACTTGACATGTATCATGATATCAAACTTTAAAGCATAGATTTCCAGCCTAGAGGTATTTATTATGGGTCATAGCGAAATGGTAATAAATCTACTTGATGCGACTTAGCGAATTGGTTTGATCGGCCAATTTTTCAACTTGTTTCCTTCTTAGCTGTCATCGTAGCTGACATTTGAACAAGAACATAAATTTTGTTTTAAAAGCAACCTCAGGTCAATATGAATAGAATACAAAGACCAAGCTATCTAGCAAAACACTTGCTTGAATATTTTGTAAATAATACCCTATACAGACGTGGATAGAGTAATCTGTGATGCATTTTCTTAATCACATTCTTTTGAATAGACCTTCATTCGCGTACCATTCGCAAGGTGTGTTAATTCGAAATGACCTTGCTTTTTATTACAAGAAGCTTTTAAATCCGTGGTTGCGGCAAATTAGCGCATATAGCATCTCGTAGTTTTCACACGTGTAGAAAACATGACCCATATTCTACAGGTCAACTATTGTTAATGTATCACTCGACGCAAGTTTAGATTAAATAGCATTTTCCAATGTTGTGTCGCTTTTCGTTTCATAGCAGAAAATTTGCCAAAATGATTTGCGGAACTTGTGATGTTAATCCACAAATAATTACGTGGAAAAGACTTTCATATCAGTCTTTTTGTTAAACAGATAATAGTTTTTACAATGAAATTATGCACAGTGGATCGAAATTTTACAGATGTCAATGTTCGACTATGTTCTAATTGACGAACCAAAGCCAGCTGTTCCCGCTTATCCTTTCAATATCCTCAAGATGTCCTGTTTCTGTTTCAAGTTACGTATCCTATCCGCAAGATATTCTGTTTCTAAGAAATGGCCCATGTCACCTTGTGTGTTTGAATTTTGCTTTTGAGTAACGTATCTTTTATGTCTATGTGTTCTATATACCTTTGATCACTGCAGTACTGAGAAATTCAATCACAGCCTTCACTGTCTGTTTTATGTAAACACCTGTGTTAAAAATTTCCTATGCTTTTCTTATAGCAAGGCAAGGTTGGATTCTTTCAAATATATTCTTCTTTTTGTAACAGCCATCAGGGACCACGCACCACTCTAAAAGTAAAGGGGCTTAAATGGGTGTGACCGAAAATTTTTTGAGGCCATGCCCTCTTGAACGCCGGAAAACGCCCCTTTTAGGAAATACTTGCTTATTTCTATTGAATTTTTATTAACAGTCTTGTTCAGAGAAGATATCAATAACTATTAAAAACAGATAGAATTAGCTCGAGGGTAATAAATAACCAAGCTAACAAAGTTAGAAAATACATCATATCAAAAAACAAGATGAAACACCTAGAAAAAGAACAAAAATGGTTCCCAGTCAATGAGAACTACTACCACATAGGAGTAAACAATCCAAAGTTGCGTTAGAGTAAACCTTCGAAAAAATTTTCCAGCCTATTATTGCAAAAAAGTGGGTGGGCTATAGCCCCTGCTAGCCCAATGGCTGCGCGGTGCCTGCCAGTCATGCAGCTACCCATTGCTTCAACATCGTATTTCTTTTCTCAAAAAGCCGATCGCTGTTTTCTCTTTTTCACGGCCGTTGTTCTATTAATTGTGCTTGATCAACCTGCAGGCTCATAATCTGTAGTTTCTTTTATGCGTGTTTACTGTACAATGATGAGATTGACTTGGGTTAGGTGACCATCTTGGAACACGATAAATAATATTATAATTGGCAGAAAACGATGGCGAAGTTTGTCTTAAAATGTATTGCGTTCGAGAAGAAAGATAAAAGCGAAATATAGAAAATTTTAAAATTGAAAAAATGGCAACATGTCTATACCAATTGATGTCTTCAATGATGAGAATCTCACTGACATGGATTAATTAAAATTATATAGGGAATACGGTTCTATTATTTACGATTTTTGTTGATCAAAACATAATCTAGCTACAGGTGATTTTACAATTAAATTCACTCATCACAGTATTCATTCATTCACTAACATTGGATGATGCATCAAACATAATCATTTTTTGATTATATTTATTATCAATATTTATAAAGAAGTTGCTATGCCTACAACAATAAGATATCTTACAGGAAAAGTGAAGAAAATGTGACAATGATACCATATAGTTACCATGGCAACTAGAAAGTTAATTTTCCCGTCATTCTCTGTTATAACAATGGATTAATCGTTGTTACTAAAAAATGTCATTCATTTCTTTTGCTTTCCTATGTCCATGCGATGTCCTCCAACCGATGCCATGTTAATCATGAAATTGCAGTCATCAAAGCAAACATTTATGCTCCAACTTCGACACCTACAAAATATGACTGAAGAAAATAACGTGACGGTAAAGAAAGTAAGCAGTGGACGCGCGTGTTATTGAGTGGGGTGTGGGTACTAGGCCCATAGGAAATTTTCGAGACCACATCTTTACGAAACAGTCACTGTGCTCTTTGAGACACAATAGTAATTTTCATGATGAGAAAGGACCCAGCGCAACGTATGTCGTTTTCCTGACTTTTAACCCTAAATCTAACGATTTGTGTTATTCTCGGTTTCATGATCCTAACTTGACGGAAACAGATGGAGTCCAACCTAACTTCAGGGAGTATTGTCGTGGGTTTAGCTGACTGAGGCCTAATTTAACAATATCATTGCGGTTTTGTAGTAGGACCAACCTCACGTGATTATGTAATAATAGCCTCGATTACGTTTGTACATAAAACGGAAACTAGTAACCTCTAATTCAGTCAAATTCTTACTGATACCAACAGTTGTTATCTTTATTTCGTGAGTTACTCAAAAGTAGCAGACTTTCGTCTCCGTTACAGTTATGGGGGGGGGGGGGGAGGGTCAACATGAATTGTAATGCCATTTCTTACAAAGCAATGTTGTTGTGAAACAAATATCTATATACTATTCGCATTTAACGCAAATTATACAAAAATGAAATGCGCTACATTCCATGGAAGAATTCAATCTCACTGGTGAGTTATAAGCCTGTCACGTAAGGATCAAAAACGGAGAAGAGAAACTTGACATTATTGCCCTCTTGTAACCTCAATGACCTTACTTAGCTTCTTCCGTGAGTTAACTTTTAATTGTTTGTTTTCAACTTGATCTTGCATGTTGTGGGTCAGCTAGCTTTCACGACCAGGTCAAGTTGTCTACTCTTTCGTTTTTCAGAATTCATCTCTGTTGCTTCACAGTTGGATTTCATTAAAAGAGACAAGGTTGATTATACAGCACTCATTCAGATGACCAATTTCTGATCACGAAGTTAGTGTTTCTGTAAATTTCAATTAAGAAAGATGTAAACTTCCTTATGCTTCTTTGCAGCTTTAAATTGAGACCTAAAGCATATTTTTGTATGCCTCACTTAACGATCTATAACAAAGTACAACAGCGAAGTTTGAATTACTAATTCTGTCAATGGCTCTTTTTAGCAGTCTTTGATTATTTTGGTACCGGTGTTGCAGTTAGATTCATCAGCTGACAATAGTACTTGTTCATTTTAATGCTATCGAGAAAATTTCGTAAGTTCAAAATTGCACTTATTGATCAAAAATTCTCTTTACGCATCTGAATGGGCCATTAAAAAGCTGAAAAGACATCTCCTGTATTTTAGCTTTGCGAAACAAGCTTTGTCCAGGAAAGTCATTTTTCTGGAAGGATTACGCCCTTTTTCAAGAACCGGTTAAATGAAGTTCAGGCTGGCTATTCTTAGATTTTTCTAAAAATCTGAGGCTAGATTGTTCTAAATTTGTTCACAAATCAATAGTGTTTAAGCAGTGAAGTTGCTAGCTATTTAGCTTGTAGGGTGGTGTACAGGCCTCATTTGCCAACAAAGTTAGTGAGACAGCCTTTATTTGCTGACAAGTTTGAAAATTCACCGAAAAAGCATACACATATGGCAAAAGTCCTTGTTTTTGAGATAAAACATTGTTCAAAACTACCATTTCTAGTAGCTCAGTCTTAGCTTGTTCTTGATTTGTTCTCAACTTTCGATCATTTTCGAGGCTTGTGCTCTTATTAAAAAATACTTATAAAAAAGACTGTAATCTCTAGAGCCAAAGCTCTAGTCAGACGATCTAACATCTCGTGCAAAATTTTCGAGTATTTATGAAAACAAACTGAGATCCAATCACTGGTCAAACAAACTTGGTGCCTTTAAGACTCTCTGAGATTTACCATGAAAAGATCTGGTTAAATGAAAGGGCGAAGAAGAAGGCTCAAACGTGAATATTCGACAAAAATATGACTATTCAAAAAGATGCAACAAATGCTAAAAGACCTGGACCGAGGTTACAGCATTCCAGGGAAGATATAGATACAGCACTTAGGGCATTTTTAGATTCTGCGCAGCATTGTGAATCTGAATCTGTGTAGCATCGCACAACAATACTATGCGTTTAAATGTTTGCTTAGGTTGAAAGCATAAAATTTTTAACTGGTGATTCTATCTAACATCGTTTTGAATTTAATATCATTTTTCGATTTGATATCATGTTATTTTGTCAACCATAAAAATGCTGCAAATATACAGATCAAAACTCGACATGCAATTCCGTCCTTTCCGTTTTACCGTTTGGCATTGGCCTGAAATTATTTGATCTGAGGATTTCCGTGTTTGTCAAATCCACATTGGAAATAACAAGCTACAACTTATAGAGTATTTTTTTCGTTCCAATTCTTTTCTGGTTGACCAATGCTTATGTAGACAGATAAAACACTAAAGACCATTAACTGCCTACCCTACCCTCGTGTTTCCGTCCACTAGAGACAGTTTCAAGGTATTTGCAAAATTCATTAAGTGATCTTCTAGACAGTTTCAAACATTGGACTATCCACCGATATGATTTGTCACAATTTGGGAGAAAAAAGGGGACCTGGATTCCTTCAAGAAAGTGTTCATTTCCTTAGACGTGGAAACTCAATGGAACCAGGGAATAAAACATATGATAGAGCCTTTTAGGACATGGCTTTACATTCCATCTACAAGATCACCTCACCCCTTTGAGTTAATGGCGCTGCTCCTGTAGGTTATTCACTTCTTTTTTTCGAAAAGGATGTTCGCTGAAATAAAGAGTTTCAGCCTTTCAAAGGGTTGCGCTTTTTGAAAGAATTCGCGAGTATAACCAAGGCGCTTTTTTACATCCCTTTTCAATATTAGTTTCCCCTAGCCTATTCTGAATGAGTGCAGCTATATTACCTATGCTTTTACTAAAATGGATCACTGTACAAACAGATAATCAAAGAATATGTCACGGGGACGACAAAATATTTGAATGGCTGCGCCCTCCAAACCCATGATAAAGTTAGAATACACTTATCTTTCAAATGCTGTGAAAGTTTTTAGCTATCTTTCTTAAGCAAGGTCTCAAACACAGGCATCGTGGTTAAATTTGAAGATATATGGTAGAAACTATTTCTGAATTGGTTCAAGTGAAACAGTAAAATATTTTTCGAAAATTTTAAATATATCACTGGAGAGACTTTAGCTTCATCATGCCATAATTATCCTTTATTAATGCACAAATGTAACTCGATTCTTCACTTCTTAGAGTGACTAGGAGGGGGATATTCCCTATCTTTCCACGTCCGTTAATTTTAAACGAAGTCATGATATCCAGAAAGCTGAAGAAAACATTTATCCATGGATATGTAACATTGTTTTGAGGCTCAATATTTGGAATTTTTCAAGCTGCAGCTGGTGTCTGGGTGTCAGCAAAATATTGCTGACATGGACACACGGAAAGTAGGAAGTCCCCCTTAGGGGAAGCAAATCGTTCAGAACTACACGGAAGCGAACTGTTGACTGAGATCTGTTAGAGCAGCTGTCACAGATGCGCTGTTTAAAACTGCCGTAAAATAGAGCAAACAATTAAACAAGTAAACATTAAATATTAGTAGCAAATTTATATGTGGGCTTATATCAAACACAAATAAAAATTTCCACTAAAATTTTACTGTTCTATATTTGATCTAGATTAATTTCAGAAAACAGGAGATTCACTTTTTATTAGTAAGAAAAATAGCGTAATTATCTCGACATAAAATTTGCTGTTGTGGTGATTTAGAAACAAACCCTGCCAATTCACTGCCTTTGTTTATTTTGCTTGAGTATATAAAACGGTTGCTATAGCTAGTGAGCAAATTTCGCTGAAGATAGAGCTGAAGCAGAAGCAAAGTTCACATCGAAACTTAGAGTAAGTTTATTCACATTGATTTGTTATGAAAAGCTACTATTGTGCTACTAAAATACTAAAAGCTGCGATTTCCATTATAAAAAAATTGACTCAACAAATAAATATTCTTTTATCGCAGATCTTGGTTTTAGGGTCATCGACGTACACTTCATTACTAGCAGTTGTAAAACTGGTCTTCAAATGTGGGCCTATGCTACAAAGGTAGTTCACTTTGGGGCTTTGGTCCACATCAAATAGTTTATTTTATTTAGGCTATAAAAGCCATCTAATGAGAAAAATAATTTTTTTCGAAATAAACTCAAACTATCAGGTCCCTAGAAAACAATGTTTTTGCATTTGCCTCCGTCTTGAAATGGCCCTCTAAACTGCTGCTCATCAGAGCATTTCTCAACATTTTTATGAACAACAAAGCTCTTTCTCATACTTATTTTAAACTTCTTTATAGCATTCTATTTTTTGTTCACCAATATCATATCACGTTTCCCGTTAAACTTTGTGAATGAATCGTCCCTCCCCTGCTTAAATACGCATTTCTATTACGGTGAAACACGTACAAGGAAGAATTATCGACAAATTCAAGGCAGAGATTAACAAATATTGAAGATGATTCTTGTAATTATTAGCTTTTTCTATAGCCTTGGTGGTAATGTTACGGAAATTTTTGTTGTTAGGAAAAGGAGGATAAATTCCCTTGTGGTTGAAATGCAAACCCTCCCAGTCTTAGCTGCAACTGTCTTGCTTTCTCTTCTGGTTCGCAATGGAAGTTCGAGCTCCTTCCACTTGCCAGTCAAAGTAGTCGCGGTAGGCTTGGACAACCACTTGTACACCAAACGCAATTTCTCTACCTCAAACAGTTGGATAAAAATCCCAAAAAGCTGTTGCGTCACAAAAATCCATACTCTTAGGAACGGTGCAATTGTTGGAGTTGGAAAAAACAAGCATCTATATTTGAAGAGGTCTCTTTTCTCTAATTGGAGGCGCGTTCCCAAGTCATGCTGTGTTTCAGATGTAACAACTATGAAGTACAAAGGTGCCCGTGTCTTCATTGGTTTAGGAGCTGGCGGAAAAAGGCTGTATGTGAAGAAAACTCTTAGATCAAATTGGAAAAGGTCTTTTAAGACTCTTAAATTGATTTCAATTGCTGGTGCCGGGAAGAAACTGTTTGGCTTATCGGATAAGAAAGATGTTTTAATCCGTCGCCGTCTCAAAGGTAGATGGGCACCTGTACCTCGGGCGAGTGGTATTGTCGATATCTTTGTAACCAAGAATAAACTGTATGGTACGTACAAAAGATTGCATTCACATTTGCAAAATAGCTTTCGCGCACTAAGTTAACTCTTTGCAGGTAGTTTTCATCGATACTCCCATCTCTTTTGAGCCAGATTTTTTACCGCTGCACATATTCAATTTTTTTTTAATATTTGGGTGTCACCTTTTGAAAATTTTCATGACCACACCCATCAAACTAACTGGATTATGAAAAATCTCGATAGGTTTTAGATACTGAACAATTTTCAAAGAGATTTCATAGATTATGAACACTGTTACTGTTATGTTCTCGTTTTTAATATTGTGATGCTCTTTTATAAGCTTTATGTGTCTACTGGCAGTTGCTTCAATTTTGCTTTTTTAATGCCAAATCTCTTAATTTTAGTTTTATCACTGCACAAAATTTGAGTTTATCACAGCACAATAACGATTTATTACTGTGCAAATTGGTTATCACTGCACGTTAAAATAAACCCTGCTTGTGACAATATCATTGATCAGCTCAATTCTTTCTTTAGTATACTTTATCTGTTATTTTCTTTTCTTCGAAGCAATAGATAGACACGACGCCTACATTTGTCGATGCTGTAATCCAAAATAACCGAATATTACTTTTTCCTAAACGAAGATTAAAAAGGTTGATTAAAAAACTTGGTGGACATGCACTCTTACCAAACTTTACTAAAAACTTTCTTTTTAAAACATTCCAAATTACTCCAGGTATCATTAAAGTTGTATGTTTTAACGATAATTATCAGCTGCCTGCCCACGGCCTTAGTGCCATGAAAGTGGCACAGACGAAAAAAATATTGTAAAATCATACACTTTGGATGTTTTGACTAAGATAAACCTTGCACCAAACGACAAAGAGACAATGACTATCATGTACTTTTTTATCGATATCTAGGCCGAGATGGCCCTTAATTCAATTTTACAAATACGTAGATAAGGTGATCTAACTTCATCATTTAAACAGCAACATAACATGAACACATCTCTCTCCTACGACTTTTATTTTCTGTTAACTGATCGCTAAGTTAAACAGAAATCCAATTTCAACCCACAGGTATCACAGCCGACCATCGTGTAAGAGTAAGGAACCTAAAGAGATGGCACTCTAGATGGAGGAAACTAAAAGGAACTTGCTGTGTGAAATCTTTTGCTTTGGTTAAGAGACCAGTCAATGCAAGCATAAAGCTGATCGGCGTTGGGAAGAACTATCAACTTTATTTTAAGCGGCACCTAAGCTCCTCATGGGGACAAGTGATCAGCAGCGGATTTGTAAGTATCATAGTTTGACTAGCTAGTTATTGAAATTTTCAAGTAAGAGCAACGTTTCAAAGCATCATCGACAGCTCCAATCTTCAAATTTTGCCCCAACTAGATTTGACATTTGTTGTTATAAATTATAAAATATGAATGATCAGGTTACGAATAATCAGATTGTGGCTGAACATGGGTGGAGATGGGGGTGGAATGACAGGGCCCAAGCCGCGAATTTGAATGTGGGGAGGGGCAACACAAACAAAAGTAGGGGGCCAAGTCTCTTTTACCTTTTATTGCAGCAGCTTGAGGGGGGGGGGGGGGGGGTTGAGGGGCTAATTTGTTTCATGTGAAAAGCTGTAACATGCTCCATGCTGACATAACGTTTTCGTAAAGTTGAAAATTCGAAAGGTAATCTCAGTTATGGCATTTTTTCAAAGCTGCCAAAAAGCAGGCTTTTTTAAAGCAACGATAATGTTACGATGTTCTGATTAGTAAAACAACAAATATATCCTTAATTTGACCACGGATAGCAGCAGTCCTGTGAAAGACAAGTCAAAGGAATATTAGTAGAGACAATTCGAAATGCTTAGGCCGAAAAATTGCACTCCTTCGTTTTAGTCACTAACAGTCAATTACAAACTCAAGGCTTTGATCTTTTTCAGATAAAGACTATCACCACTCTACGTGATGGTAGATTGGTTGGCATCGGAATGGATTTGAGTCTTTATTACCGAGACTTTTTAGGGGAAGCCTCATGGAAGAAAATTCCCAACTCTTGCTGTGTTAAATCGGTAACTGAGTTGAAGAACGGCAAACTAGTTGGGGTTGGTACCGACAATCACTTGTGGGAGAGACCCGCCTTGGAAGGCAAGTGGACCAGAAGAGTGAATAATTCTTGCTGTGTAACAGGGATAACGACCATGGGTGATGGATCTCTGGTTGGAATTGGGCTTTTTGGAGGATTGTACCAAAGATTGTCCTTGGAATCAGCCTGGAAAGGGCCCTTGGGAAATTCGTTAGATGTCAAGCTAATTGACATCAAGTATTCGTTTGGCGATGGGTTACTTTACGGAGTCACAAATCTTTACAGGTATGTTCTTTGCTAACTCTTCATACTCAAATGTTTTCCAAGCTAATACCTAAAGTGTCTCAGAAACTAAATGATGAAGGGAATCGCTCACAAAGTAGCAGAGATTCAAAATTATTCTTTTCCTTGTGGAAACCGAAACGAGAGAAAACATTCTGTCGTCTTTCTCAGCACTAAGATTTGATTCAATGTACTAAAAAGGAATTTTTATTTGTTTGGGTTTGCTTCTTAAGGATAATAAAAATTTCAAGAGAGTTTAATCATTTGCTATGATTGCTCAAAAATTTATATTTTGCCATTTGACTTAAGTTATTTTTTGGTAATGCAGCTATAATTTAGCTTCAGAATAACACCATCCTGGATCTTTTCAAAAGCCCCTTATCATACGGATAGAACAAAACTTTTGATTTGCAATAATGTATTTTACATGTTTCTAGGCACTGGGCAAGGAGGATATTAGCATTTTATCTTCATTTTTACTCTAAATGTAGTGCAATTTATCTTTCAGTTATTGATTGATATCTATAAAAAAACGAATTAATATTCTTTCCAGTGTAAACATTTTGCTTGAGTTTGAGACTTGCTTGAGCTTAGTGCCATGATTTTACTGGTTTTTCCTTATTTTGGTTAAAATTGGGCCAATATTAACCATTTCTTGGAACCTGCTTCCCTGATTCAGATACTTTATGCAGCCCTGAAAAAAGTCTTATTTAGGCTCATTTAGTGATGTATAGTTGGATTACCGCCACATTATTTCAGGGGTAAAGTCCCCCCTGCCAAGTTGACTTCTCTAGCTTTCTCCTAATCTTCTATCTTACAGAGTTGTGAAGAAGGCATGCCCAAGCGTCGATACCTACTGGGAAAGCATTTCAGCAAATGACTGCTGTGTATTTAGCATTGCAGTCAGATAAGAAGAAAGAGGAACGAAAAGTTATTCAAGTGCTGGACACACTTTGTATCTGTTAGCTGAGCTGCATTGGTATATATAAGTACAAAATGGCAGTTTTGAATATTTTCATTTCTTCTGCTGAAGAAAAGGTGGGGTCTGGCATTGCTTTGTATTTTAACAACCCATTGAGAAATGTCAAAAAGCAGCAAGAAGTTCCAAACACTGTGTTGTTCTCCACTTTCATCGTTCTAAAAAGTAACTGCATCGCCAGTTCTGATAATTCCTGCTCGCTGAAAATTGCCAGTGGGGATTGAAGGAGAGATGCACTGTAAAGCAGATTCCTTCAAGTGCCATTTTGCTTTTCTATTTTATGAAATATTCCTTCAAGTGCCATTTAGATGCACTTTTATATTTGTCTTTCTTTGGGAACCGTCTAAAAGATTAAAAATGTCTTATGACAACTTTCTCAATACTAAGGGTTTTGCGCACTACTTAATGGAATAAGTCAATTTAATGGGGCTGAGATGAGAAGGGCATATCCGCATGTGCTAGCTGATAAGTTCAAAAATCATCAACATAATTTTTTCTATGTTTTTAAGCAAATATTGGTTTCTTATAGTTGATACAGTATGAATTGCTAAATTTGGAAAATTTTCAGGATTTACGCAACAGTATGGCAGTATTTGATGAGATTTCGCATGTACATAATCATTTCAGGCACTTTTCCGCATGCAAATGTTCCAGTTTTGACTGTAAGGTGTGCAAACACAAGTTTTGTATAATAATGCTATTTTAAATTCGGTGTGCAATTTCAGATTTTGACGTGCATACCTACACTGATCTCATGCGCACAACAGCTATACTCTGCAGGCTGGTTTACGCAATTGTTGTGTTTCCTACGTCTGGTTACGGCTTTCTTAACTGAAAACACGAAACACGTAACTGATGTGGGTGTAGGGGAATGTGACTTACAGGCTTAGTACTGCTTACACAACATAGGCCAATTACGCTGATGCACATTGAATTAACAAAATGATTCCAGGATGTTGCAGAGGATTCACTTTGACCACACCCCAAAAGGAACCACCGTAGGTATGTTCAATTTTAGCTATCCAACAATCGAAACGCGATGGTTTTCTAATAGCCTGAATTTGAAAAAGAGTTTTCTCATCCTGTTCGAATTAATTGCCATGGTTGTGATTACAATGCCTAAACTTGATTTCTTCAAGTTTTGACGACAAGTTTGTAATCTTCTTTTACTTAACACATCGAAATGCCGATACGGCGATCGCCATATTGTCACACGACCCTATTGCTATTGCGTTGCTGTTGCAAGCTCATACGGACATAGACGGACACAGCCATAATTTTGTCTCAATATATCATCATTAGTGTAGATTATAATGTACAATAGTACACAATTTCAGCGACGAAGCTGGAACAAGCTTCTTTACTAAGGGCACAATGGGTCTGAAATTGCTCCATATGTATAAACCCCCGTTCACACTTTTGACGCGCAAAACATCTTTGGTTGTATAACAACACCAACAACATCAGACTTATCAGGTCTGTTCCCGCCCCAACATTAATTTTGAATGATTGACCAAATTATTGTTCGAATCATATGTCGATTTAGATATGTTTTTGGGACATTAAGCCTTTTAATGTGGTTTTTATGGCTTGTTCTTAGGGTGTTCTTGGGGTGTTCAGTATTTTAGAAATCTCTTTGAATATGCCAACAACGGCAACAGCATATGTGCTTTCTGGCACGCCAAATCTCAACCATTTTAAAGTGGAAAATTCACAATGGACGGAGGGCTGTTACAAAAAAGTTTCGCGATTTAATTTCAATTATTTTCATTCATAATAATGCCAATTTGATGTGGATTCGTTAAGGCCTGTGCTCAAAAATGAGGCCACCAGAAGTGTTTTTGTTGTAGCAGTGTTAACACTTACTGTATTCGCATCGTATTTATTTGAAAACGGATCAGTGTAGTGTTAACTGACATCGTTTTCACCAACGAAAACGGAGAATGGAGCAGTATGAACGTGGCCTCAACCTGTAATACACTTAGCTAATACACCTATTCTTTCGAGTGTTCTGGTTCAAATTCTCAAACTAGATTCTATGACGTCTTCATTATAGAACCCTATAACAGTTTCTTGATGCGATGTCTATAACCATGGTTTGCATTGTTGGTAGCAACTTATTAGCTGAATCGCCACCTGTTCTCGGTCGCGATGTTGGATGAATCGCCAAGGGTTTTAGTTGAGTTCAGACACATGTTTATCTTGTTAGTAGTTCAAAATACATGCTTCAATAAAGGCCCATTTAATTGAACGCTTCAAGATTAATGAACCCTGCAAATAGGTTCATGATAGCAGTCTAGACTATAAAATGTTCGATACAGTTTAATCATGGCTATATGAAACTGCTTCCCGTACCTCAAATAATTGCCAAACAAGGCCCCCTACAACAGACGCAAGAACCGCAAAGCATATTACAGATTGTGTGGGCTAAAACTTTTTTAAAGGGGGGTAAATGGTTTTAAGTTTATTATGAAAGTATTTTGGGGGAGGGGGCTAGAGCCCCCTTAGCCCAACGCTTACGTGGTCCCTGAATAGATCATTGAAAAAGGGGAATCAGCAATGCATTGCTGTTCGTTCAGCTCTCCCTTGCAGCAATAGGAATTCCATCTAAACAGGGCTTTTGCAAGAAACATGTTTGTAACAGGTGGTTGTATCCTATGCTCCTTTAAATTGAACATGGTTATAGAATACAGCTACTCCTTCAGCATTATTGAATAAAACTTTCGTTTAACAAACGACAGCAATGACGATAAACTCGCCAGATGTTGTGAAGCTCGACTTTTGGTCAGGAACAGCAGTGCATTGTTTTTTTTCTAGCATGTTATGTCGTCCGTAGGTATGTGAAGGTTTGTAGTATGCTTCGCTCGAACAATTTGTATAAACTCAAAGCCATACTAGCTGGCCTAATATTTTGCGCTGTGTACATACTAATACAAAATGGAGCCCTTATCGAGGAGGAAAATCACGTAATTAGGGGACAACAAAGCCGACTGAGAACTGGATTTTCATTGGAAAAGTTGGAAACAAGACCCCCAGAGAAGTATTCTGGGAAAGATCCTCTTATTTTCCTACAGACAAAGAAGATCCATAGCTCTTTGATGTACAATGAGCCATGCGAACTGACCAGAGATCCTGCAAAGTTTACGGAAAGTGATGCAGTAGTATTTCACGGAAAAGATTTGCCATTACCTGAAAATTTCATAAAACTGCGATCAAAGCCGCTACTTGCAGGTCAGCTTTGGGTTTACTTCAATTTAGAAAGCCCTAAGAATACGCGGAAGGTACTTTCAAACGAAATGCTGTTTAACCTGACCGTAACACCACAGCGAAACTCAGACATTGTCCATCCGTACGGGTATCACAGCAAGACTATGGAAAGCCGGCCTAAAAAAGTAGATGTTAAATCAAAAACAGGTTTTGTTGCCTGGTGTGTGAGCAACTGCGCCGTGCGTTTCCGAAACGATTTCGTGCATCTAATGCAAAGATACGCCCGCGTCGATGTTTTTGGAAAGTGCAGTAAGGATTATGGCCCTGTGAGGATCTGCAATCGTAATACGGAAGAATGCGAGCAATATCTATCACGGTATAAATTTTATCTTGCTTTTGAGAACTCGCTTTGCACAGATTATGTAACAGAGAAGTATTGGGGAGCGCTTCAACGGGGGAACGTTCCAGTTGTTATGACAGCAAACGTGGATACCTTGATACCAGGGTCATTTATCGATGCTACGAAATTCGAAACTGTTCAAAAGCTAGTCATGTACCTCAATTATTTACACAAACACGACGAAGAATATTTGAAGTATTTTGCGTGGCGAGAGAGATACGAAATTGATTATGAACCGGGAGATGCGCGAAGAGCTGACATATGGCTACCGCAGCTTTGTGACTTTCTATTAGATATGGATTGGTCACAAAAAAGAATTGTAAATCTATCCAAATTTTACAGTGTTGAGGAAAATTGTCCAAAGGAAAAAGAAAATAAGATTATCAGGATAATAAAAAGAGGAGTCTAGATATAAAGATTTGTAACCTACTTATTAGGTATCTGTTGCTGTTGAAAACTGTAAAGAATTATATTTACGAACCCACGTGTTTATATCGACGACATTTTCACTGTAGCAGCTCGACACAGCTACTCGTGTTAATCACTTCCAGCGAAGTTCATATTCGTTTACGTGGGAAAACAAACTAAAAAGCGAAAGCCTTTGCTTTGCCACTTTTAAATTTTGCAAGAAAGCAAAGATATTTCAAATGGAAAGCCAACTACAGTAGCAAACGTCATCAGCATCATTTTCAGATGTCGCCATTTTGTGATGCAGAAAGGGTATCCAACTCCTTGGTAAGAGTGTCTCAGGAGGAAAAGTTAGGTTCTAAAATCTAAGCGTTATTAAGGCTCTTCCTTGCAAAACAGTGTCTTGGTTTAAAGGAGTCATTTTTTGTCGGAGTAATTTGTTCAGTGGCTTCGGAGTCTTCAAGTGACTGGCGGCTCTCCTTTGTTATCTGCGTTCTCTCTGTAAGCCCAACAGGGACCTCTTGGATAAGCAATCTAAAACAGTAAGAATATTTCTGACCTGGAATATCTTTTCCTGTTATTTTGTTCTATGTCTTGCGCCAATTAATAGTCAATGAAAGAACAATTATCTTAACGGCATCACTTTTACAGGAGAAAACGGGAGAAAACCTACTTGATTTCTGAAATGAAAAATTAAGCTTTTGCAAGAATTGCAATAGTCTGTAAAAGTGGAAGTGACAATGGGTACTGTGTCATTGACAAAAGCGAGCTTATTTAAATTATTGTTCATTTTTGTCTTTTGCTATGGCTTTCCTATTTCGGTCCCTGATAATGTGTTTTTATGAAGCAATATCTTCATACCTTTCTAATTGATATTAGATAAAAGTGGCTTCAAAAACAAAAGGTTTTGATATCTTAGGCATAGGCGTACGGAGTGAGTTCAGATAGGAGGGGGGGAGGGGGGAGGGGGCTCAAATTACTAATGTCCATATTTTTATGTAGTATACCCTTACACATGAAAAGTTCTAATATTACAACGACTGACAATCGAGCAACGACTGACAAAATCATTAAAATGAGGCTTACTTATTAGCATTTTTATAAACATGGCACATTACAAAATAGCTTTCTGGTTTCCATTAAAAGAAATACGAATCTCTCCCGCGACGGTGACCAAATATATCGATTATTTTATCGATATTTTTTTCGAGAATATGACTTGAGAATTAACGTTCGTTGTTAGAGAGGGCGACATTGTCAAGTCTGTTGCTGTGTTATGAAGATATGTGTAACGAAGTTATGATGTTACGAAGATATGTTCTTATGTGCCTAAGTGAGCTGAATGTCCGTTTCGCTGAACATGATGCTGCTGGAACAGTGACCAAGGGTGGGCCAGGATTTGCATCCCTTCAGCAAAATATGGAACATTGTCATCATGCATCATTTTGAACAATCCATACACTTTTTTTGCTTGATTTATTTGATTTGCAGAATCTATTTTGTAGAAGAAGCAGACCTTTCTGTGATTTCTGTTGAATGGCTAGCATTCACGCTTGCATTCTCAAATGCCAGTGGCGTAAGGCAGTTTAGGACACCTTAGTTTGACAACTAAAGGCCCTCGAACATAAGGGGCGCAAGATGCTTTTATGTGCATATTTAAACAAATTTTGCTCAAGTTCAAATACCTTTCCAAAACTTCTAAAGCTCTTCAACTGAAGCTCTATAACTCAGCTCCCCCTAGCTAACGAGAAAAAATTCTCACTTTTACATTATGCTATTGTGTTTGATGTGATCCGCGCATTTAGATTGGATCTTCTTGCAGTCTGTAAGTAGAGGTCCTGTTTCAGATTTTTCCTTACGCCCACTCTACTCATCCTAGAAATTTATAAACGTGTTCGAAATGTAGTTTTTTTAATATTCTGATACCATTTGTCTTTAGAGAAGGCTCCTGCCCGAATTTTGCAAGAAAAAATCAGCTGCCCCTACGCCTAACGTTGGAACAAAGATAGAAAATCTATCTCATTTGCTTTTTCAAAGACATTTTTGACTTTTGGATATCAAAGTCTTATCTAAAATGTCCATCTTTGTTGATTATGAATTACTTTGTTGTAGAATTTTGAGCAAATATCTCGTTACAGTTGTCTTGTTGAGTTGAAATTTTATGGAAAAACGTTGAAATTTTGCTTGTAAATAGAAAATAGAAAGTACGGTAATTAGAAAGTAAAATATTTTATAACAGAGCGAAATAATACAACTACTAATATCGCTTGCTCTATGTTTCTCAACTTGCTAAATCAAAGAAAATGCATCTCTTTTAAGGGGGGAGATAGGGAAGTTGAAAACCTAATTGTATTTCCTGTTTTTCAAAAAATGTGGTTTTTTCTAACCCCTGTTAGCTGCTATTAGGGCTCTTTCCTGTGGTTAAGGGGTATAAGGCTTCTATTGGCGGTAAACGTACGAAAATGGCTGTCCCGTGCAAATCTTTTGCTTTTATCAAATATGGGGTTGAGAAATGGTTAACGAATCTGCCTTTGCTTCAGAAAAATTCACCAGCAAACCACTAATAAGTTACCATTAGTTGAAGTTACAAAACTGCATGGTTACTTTACTTCTCCAAAACCAACTGTTGTTGAGAATTGTTATCGATGTAAAAAGAGACTTGCAATGTAATAAGATAATTTCAGAATGGCAAAAGCCAGTAGGATCCTTTCAGTATCATACTTCCAGCTTCTATTTGCAGGTCTTGAAAAAAAATAGATCTGATTTCAAGTGCCATATTAGAGCATTTCACTACGTCAGAATGATGATGTTTTGTTACTTATTTTTCTTAAAGAGGTACCTGATTGGAAACGAATATTTGTTGAAGTCACGCCTGGAAATATCTCTGTCTCTTCCGACATTGGCGAATCACAAGCAGAAATGAATACAGAAAAAAACACATTTATTTCAAACACAACAATAACAACAAGAAATATACATTTTGAATCCAAAACTACCGTAGTTTTTATTTTCATGGAATCTCTAATGCATCTAAACTTGGCATTGTAAAGTACTCTAATAGCTCACTAAGGTTGGGTAGGTTGTTAGCAGCCATGTTGGTTTTTTATCTGAAGCGTTCCTAGAAATTTGAAGGGGGAGGTGTGGTATGGGGGCAACTGGGGACTGCATCCATTGGTCTTTGAAGGCATACTCGTAGGAAAGAAAGAACTTTCGTAGGGGCCCCTCGAGTCCTCGAAACAAGTAGGGGCCCCTCGAGTCCTCGAGTAAGTCGGTCTCCATTTCCTGACTTTATGACTTACAATAAATGAACAGATTCAAGATGTCCAGTAACACAAAGGACGAGAAAAGCAAGAACTAGGCACCCCTTGGGAATATATTTTGACCACAAGATGATTCTGAAATGTTACTCATTTTCAGGCAAATTTGATCTGTTGGAAAAAGAGTTTGCTCAGGCTCATAGGAGGACGTGTTTGAATCACTGCTTCAGATTATCGAATATACATTTTGGGTATAAGGGATTTAAAGGGGACTTCCAAAACATAGAAGGTAAGCTACCCGGTCTATTTTTTTGTAGAAGGTTAGCTACCCTGTCTATTACTAAAGACCTGCCTAAGTTTTTGGATGGCCTAGTGACTGCAAGAAACGGGGTGGACGATAACGACATACTATTTTCTACTTCTAAAGCCTTTAGTCTCTCTTAAAGTAAGAAATAAATTCTCGGTTTTAAGTTCCTCTAATACTGCTTCAATGTTTCTCTGAATATATTTCCACTGCCAAAGGGCATATTCTAACAATGAAAGTAAAACTATTTCAAAATGCGTAGAAGATATCAAACATAAAAGTCATATTGCATTATCGTTTTTATCTTGAAAATAAGAAGTTAATGCACCGTAAATATAGTTCTTTGAACAGTTATTGCCCTGTTGTTATCGAAGTTTCGGGATTTTCCAAGAATAAATTTATACATTTGTAAGATTTGTGCAATGTTTCAGTTTGTTATGAAATTCAACTTATTTTACGTTTTCCAATAATAGGATTATTTCCAATGACAACAGGGCAATATTTAAAACACAACAAAGCAGTTGATAAATAAATAAAACAGAATTTAAACAATCGCATAAGCAAGTTTTTATCTCTTGAAAATATCCAAGAGCAATCACGTTCAAATAATATTGGAACGTTGAAATTGTAACTTTCTTAGTTAGAAATATCATTCTCAAAAACAAATTGGATAGATGTCATGTGACTTTTGTAATGCCACCATAGGTCATTTTTAAATCTTCTTTGACGCGTGATCACTCTTGGATTCAATAGGAATAAGTAGTTTTCTTACACCGTTTGGCAATATGATATCCTTCTCCTTTCACGATTACAAGCAATATTTACACAGTATATACATCTTGTTTTGAAATGATCTTAGAGACCAAAAGCTAAACTTACAAAAATTTTCCAAACCACAAATTTGCTTAAACCAAATATGCCAATAAACTAAGATTTGTTACTCTAAACTGTAACGCTGTACAAAATATCTATTCAAATATCCACACTTAACAATAGTTTTGATTGTGCACTCCATAGAGTGTGTAGCACTAGGGTGTGCTGATTGCAACGAAATTCTCTGACTTGCAGAGGATTCAATGGAAAAAAGGCTTGCAATAATTTAGTTTTAGTGATTCAACAAAGTTGTGAACTCTAAAGAGCGTACAACTACACATTTGATCGATTCAGTATGTTTAAGTTGCCCTTTTGTGTTTTAGTATAGCCTCTCTATTGTGGGTAAAAGTTTGAATAACGAATGCTGGCGTTTCAGTTCGCTTTCCCAACAATCTTCATTTCAACACAAAAATCAACTAACGTTTGACATTTTTTGAACTTTTTGAACTTTTTGCTGCGATAACCTGATGAAAAGTAAAATTTCTGATGGTGGGGAAGATTAATAAAGGGGGAGATTGTACGCTATCTAGCTCACGATTCGCTAAATCTGACCGACCGAGAGACGACCAACCGTGGAAACGAGGCTTGGTTAAAATTCTTGAACATTCTTCTGCGATAGTTTCAGGAAGGAAAGCTGGACCAAATTGGCCCCTAGGCTACTAGGTTGTTATTCCAGAAGCCCTTTGCACTACTCAAATTCAAATATAATAAGCACTATAATCTTTAAAGCTGCTTTTAACTAAACGTATTGACAATAAACTTCTTCGAACTAGTCTCTTGCTCCTCTCTAGTTTCCAAATTACGTCATCTTATCATCTTTAGCAAAACAGATGAGTGCAACTCCAGCCAAGCTCACAACTGCCAATGACAAAATTATACCACGTTTTTGCTTACTGGTCAGTGCATCCGGGCTCTCTAGCAAACTGTCACCAATGTGGGCCAGTTGACGTCCCACCACCCTCCTCTCTGATCGCAGGTCTGGGGCTGGTTCGATGTGGTTGGAAGTGCTCATCGTGACCTTTTTCTGACCTGTGCCAACTTTCTTCATATTCTCTGGAGTAATACACAGGAGTTTCGTTGCTTTTTTGGCACTTCCGTGGTACATGTAATGGACAGTCCCTGCAATTGGCTTCTTAGACTTGATACTCATCAGGTAGTCGACTGCCTCTACAAAGTTTGTGTACATTTTTGTTGCTTCGAGTCAGCTACAGAACAGTCAACGCTGTGAGGAAGATCGGGATTTTATGCGATCATCAGTTATAAACACGAAAAGTCATCTGGAAATTAACCAGTGTTAATCTTCAGGCAAAACCTCAAACGCAGAACAAAGGGATAAAATATATTTTAAGAAACAGTGGGAAACACCTGCGTGTCGATGATTTCACGTTTGTTTGACTTACTTCATTATTGTCCACAAAACTGTCACTTGAGAGCACTCCCAGGACAGTGTGTTACCAGGGCTACATAACGAAATGTCCATAATGGAAAACGTTTGCAGGTTCATATGCATTTGGTTCTTATAACAGAAAGTCTCAGGGGATAAACAACTGGAATTCCACAGCTGACTTAAAAAAATTTGCAGTAAACAACAAGTGAGGGACACTGATCATTTAGAAGATAATAACATCTCTTGATCATATCGTGTAAGTTAATAGAGACACCGGAATTGATGGGAGAAGAACGTAAGAACAGTTACTAGGGTTAGAGGATATCTGGGCATTTACCTGTCTAAAATAGGCCAAACATCACCTCTTTTAGACTGAAAAGAAGGGCCCCTAAGCAGTGGGGTGCCTTGATCTTACAGATTTAGGTGAGGGATTTCCGTAATTCTAGGATTTACAGTAGCAGTAGGGGCTTATTCGAGGGGGGGGGGGCGGGGGTTATTAACAATTTGTCGTTTTAGGATGGGGTCTTTCTCAAAGGGGGCTTCTTCGAGGGGGGCAATTTGAGGATGTACGGTAGCCATGAATGTTTAGTTACGAAAAAAGACTTTAAGAGGCTTAACTTAAAGTTATGTGGAACGGGTTGGAGACATGCATGCAAAGGTGGAAGACACTGACACTGCTGAGAGACATTCCTAAATATGTCGAGATTTTCGATAGAATCGTGTTCTGTTGATGATGGTGATAATGACTTAAAATACATCGCAATATCAGTCTGTAAAAAGTCTTTGTTTGCGCGTCTTAGTCTATAAACTTTAAAAATAGGCCTGTTTTTTGTTAACGGTTTGCATGGATTATACCAGCTAATCATCTACTTAAAAACAAGTGCGAAGGAGGAGTTGACGACAAATGTAAATTTAGTTGGAAAAGCTATCTTTAAGGAAGCTTATAAATTTTTATAAATTGAGTTCGTACTTTAAGAAAAATAAATTTTTTAAGTCAATTTTTCCAACAGGGCTCAGCAGTATTGAGAAAAAGCTAGATTTATATTTTCAAAGTTTAATTCACATATGCCAAACTCAAGGCCCGCGGGCCACATCCCGCCTAGCGTGTAATTAAAATTGGCCCGCGAGATCATATTATCTTATTGTGTATGTAAAGTGTGTTCAAGAAATGTTTATCCTACTCGGCCCGCGACCTAAAGTACGTTTTGCAATTCAGACCCTGTGCAATTGAGTTTGACACCCTGGTTTATTGGTACAAAGCCAGCGCAGTGAACTGCAATTTTGTTGACTAAAGGGTTAAGGCTTCATAAATTTTAAAATATGAATCAGATCCACTTTCCGTAAACAGTTGATATTTAACAGAACAGTCCTTAGAACACCGATCTACTTGCAATATTAACAAGGAAGTATCGCATAAAAAAATGAGAGGAGCTGGGTGATAAGATAATCAGAGATGGACAAAGAGACAGAGAACAGAAAGGGGGCTGATATCCGTACCAAACAAGCCTGCTTTGCACAGCAATGGATATACACTGGTCCACTGAGCCGGATAGCGAAACGCTCTCCGAATCTCATTGATACCTGCCTCGCCACATTTGCTGCACGATATCTTAATTTTAACCAAAACTTCTAATTAAGGTTATTAAGTATAAATAACGCACACGCTCACAATATAGCATTGTTCACAGTACGCGGAGGCTGAAAACAGTTATGCGGTTAACAAGTTGGGCAAACAAATTGACAATAAAAGTGGGCGATTTCCTTGTGAAACAATAAGCAACTGTTTATAAGGTAAATGACATTAAAAGCTTAGGAATAATCTTGGATCTTCCAAGCTATCGTATAGCCTCGAGGCAAAATATTGTTTTCACAGATGGTATTTATTAGGGATTTCTTAAAACAGGGCGGCCTCAAATAAGTGGACAGAGCGAGCAGACAGACATATGGTCATATCTTAGGCGTGTGTTTTGGAAAAAGGTAACAGACAACTAGAGAAGCGAAAAAATGTGAGATCCTACGACAATTCAAGTTGGTTTAGGGAAAGTGGTTGGAGTGGAGGGGGCAGGAGTGAAAAATGGTCGTGTCCCATCATTCATCCAAATTTGATAAAGGGCTATGACCGAAGCCAATGTTCGTGGAATCTGAAAGGCAGGGATGATAGAAAGTTACAAAATTGGAAAGGCAACAGCTAAATGAATGGTTGCCAAAGGTCAATAGGATCCCCTTCTTCCCCATAAAATAATGTTAAATAACAACAGTTTCAAAGCTTCAACTATTCAACTAATGTAACCCTATAAGCTAGTGTAAATAGAGGCTTTTCAACCAACATTGTTTTTTGGGGGAGGTAGATATTTCTGTATCATATAGACAGAAACTTTTATTTCATCAAAACGTTTCATTGACTGCAGGGTGTTCCAGGGACTTTTGGCAAGGATTGCACATTCATAAAAACTGTCCTTAAACGGGCTTTAAACCTAGATAAAAACACATAAATTAATTCAGAAAAAATTATTCTTAAAAAACTGACTTGGTGAATTAAGAAACGCATACAGAAAAAACCATATAAAACTGCAAATTTATGAGTCTTTAGATTAATTTCCCGCTAACCAGGCACTAAACCACAACGTAACCAGGCACCTTCTTTTATCTTTTATATGGGTTTTACTGTATTTACCTTTGGATCCCTTTGCTTAATCCAACATTAGTTTCCCAAAGACCAGAAAAGCCTTGGTCTAAATTTTATTATAAACGACGCCTAGTACCTTTGCCAGTTCGAATATTGCAAATGTCTGCATCTACCAATGACTTTGAATAACATTAGAATTGGATAAAGCACTTGAAGAAGCTAGAGCATTGGAATTCCCTTTGGTTAACTATATACAGGTAATTTCTTCCAAAATCAGTTAAGGCATCAACACGTCCCCTTTCTGAACACCATAGCGAAATTTTATGCAACAGCTGTTTAAACTAGATCGATTTACAATGACGGAGGCACCTGGAATAGAACATTACGTAAGGACGATGTAAACAGCGATTACTTCTCTTGCTAAATTTTGCAGTAACCGCAAAACAGAAATAGTTAGTTGATAGAAGAGCAGAGATGTGCTCTAAAAAGAAACACCCTACACACCAAAATGTGAAAAGAAGCCTTTTATTGTCAGGGTTATTATTCGCTTAATCGCTTCATTGTGTTATAACAGACGCAATGGTTTAATTCTTTATTAAAACGAAGCTGCAGCTGGCTACTGGAAAGGCCTGTTCAGACATGTACTACCTTATCCCTGCTACAAAATGACTTTCTATCGTTTTCTATTGACCTAATGCAATATCATATTTCTCTCGGTAAAAAACTGTCTGCCAAGAGGAGCCAATATAATCCTCCAAATCATATTTACATTTACTTTATGTATCTTGCTTTTATTGCAAATAAATTTTATCACTGAATCCCGTATAAAAATAATTGTCTGTGGTGCCAAATTCAGACTTGAGAGGAGGGGAAGTTGGGCTGAGAGAAAAATGAGAAGTCTGATTCGCATAAAGAGCTTTTTGAATAAGAAAGATAGCATGGTTTGGTAATTGTTGGTGGGATGAGAAGAGGTATAGGAGGAGAAAGGATGTAGTTGCAATGAAAAAAGAATAGTTAACAACGAATATTTAAAGTTTCTTGGTTTGTTGTTTTACATGTTGATTAACAGTAGTCTATAGCCTGGGGCAAAAGTTAGGGGTTGGGATGGGGTGTAGATCCCCAGACTTGCCGACAAAACGGCGTTCCTGTCGGCATGAACACAACGTGGCCAAACTGCTTCTACTGAAGTCTTGAGCCATTTGAGAATACACAGACAATTTTGGGCAGGAATTGAGCACATTAAATGGATGAATTTGTTTATCGCTATCAGTACATTTTCGAAGTTTTATACTTTGGAGAAATAGGTATCAAAAAGAATCTAACAATTTGCACAGGCAACACCTCTGCTAACAGACTAATCAAAACCAACTAAAAAATAAAATATCAAACACACAGAAATCGTCCAGATAGGTCAATTTGCAAGCCAAAATCTGAGATTAAATTGAAGCAACACAATGAATTCTAGGCGATAGGTGGTAGGCAGCTAAGTTCATGTAATCTACGTGCTGAATGCAAGGACTGCACAGTCTGTAGCTGCAGCCTGTCATTGTTATGTTGCTTTTGAACGAGCCTATGTTCATTAATGGTTTTGATTCTTGTAGAATGCTAACTTTTTAGAGAAACTGATAACAACTTCGACATTTTAGAGAAAACAAGTCAAAATTTATGTATTCACATCTATTAGCAGAGTCCAATCCAGTTTTTTGCCTATTATAGTAATGCTTTCCTTATGAATGCGTCCTTTCTTAAAGAATGCGCCTGATTTGTGAAAAACAACGTAAAGAGTGGCATACGGGGAGTTAGCAATGAAATGAGGCAATGGGGGCTTGTGCATATGCAAAACAGCCCCATTTAGCAAAGATAGAACTCAACTTGATGTTGAAAATATATAATCAATAAGAAAACAATGCTTTTCATTCCGTCCTCACAATGTTGGAAGATAAACCTTCCTTTCCCGGAAGACAAAGAAGCATCATGGGGCAGACATATTTTTGTTAGAATGATATCTATGAACGCTTTCCTACCATTTTCTACAACTGAGAAACAGCAAGATAACTATTCTTTTTGTGAATGTGAATTTACGGCCTCGGTCATGTCATATTGCTAGATTACCCAGAATGCATTGCGCATCAATGATAAAAATGAAAAAGATCTAGCTCTGTCAAATTCATATTAGTGAACATGTTAAGAACGATATTGCTACCCCTAGGCATGCCTTTCATGAAGTGGCACTCTCATAAAAATAAAATTGCAATTGTTTTTTTTCTCTCATTTTATTTCTACCTAGCATCCGAAGGTAGTTTTTAGGAAACTGAGAAGCTTATGCTTATCGAGCAGTGTCCTGGTCCTTCCTCTTGATGTGACCACACCTCGTAATTTCTCTGCTTGGAATTACAGAGAGCTGGCGATTCTCCTCACTCTGGGTGAAAGTTTGGTCATGCCAGGTGCTCGAGCCACGGACTCTTGGGTATGTAGTCAGCGCCTCTAACAACAGAATGATCTTAGTACGATTTAGTGTTTTTCCTAACCAGAGTGATTTATTTTATATCTCTGATTGTTATCAAGATCCGCTTCGAAAGAAGTTCTGCATGAAATGAAAATGAAAATATGACTAACTACAAATGAACCTTTGTTATTGTAATATGTTTACGTATAGGCTCAAAAAATCTTTAATCCATGCTATATAAATAACCGGAATTAATTTTTTGTAAACAAATGCTGGAAAAGACCTTCATCCACACGCTAAGATTATAAGCATTTTTTCTTTTTTGTTGTAAACTTCCCTGTATATTTTAAGCTTGCCTGTGTTAATTTCCTTATTTTTTATTTACGTATCATGATGCTTGACCGTGTAAATTTTGGCATACCAAGTACAAATACGAAGGGAATGAGAGATCTTTGTCAAAATATTATAATATCTTTGCACATTTCGGCTTGACTGCCAATCAATATTTGCAACTTTTGTTCAAAACTTTGGAAAGACGTTTTCGTATTCCCCTTGCTAGTACTGTAGGAATGTTATCTCACTCACTTTCCCAGGCACAACGGAGCGTTGAGAAAAATGGGGGTCTAAAAAAAGTAGGGGGGGGGTAAAACCGTATAAAAAGAGGCTTTGCTGGCAGTTTGTTGCTCAATATTTGGCATTTTTTGCAAAAAGTGGGGACTTAAGTGGCTAAAGCCCCCCCCCCTGCTCCGCGGCGCCTGCTCACATGTTTCGAACAGACTATAATGTCGAGTACAAACAAGAATGTCGAGCAGTAATTTATTAGAGTGAATTTCCTATTTTTTATGAAAAAGTTATTCATGTTAGCACCTTTACTATCTTTTCCCGTAAAAAAAGTACGGTAACTGCATCTATAAAACAGTAGAGTTGAAGCAAGCGTGCAAGAACAGATCCAAGGTACAAAACTAAGAAGGACTTAGATTCAAGATGTTTCTTTGGCTAAAGGAAAGTAGGAAAGGGACAAAATTTGCTGCGGGAAATCCCCCGATTGTTACAGTAGATACTTCAACGTTATCATATGAAATTTTCGGGTAACAATTACTTGGAACAAAAAATAAGAATTATTTTCAACTCTCAGTAAAAGAACCTTGGCTTATGATACTCAAAATTGGTGGGAAGCGAATCTGTCACTGTCAAAATAGTAATATATACAATTACGTAACTATTTTTGCCAGCTGAAATTTTCTCATGAGGCTGGCAAACTTTGGATGCGATCATTGTCGTGGCAACGATAGCATGCCGGTACAAAGTCGGTGCTTGTTTTGGCATTGATAACAAGATTGGGCCCAGTCCCCATTCTGCTATTCACGTGATCCTGTGATTACGCGATTTGTAAAATTAGAAATCATGAGTCACACGATTCATCTACGTTTAGTATGTCTGTAGTCATTTGTACAATGAAGGGCAAGTAAGGCAGCCAAGGGTGTTTACTGTACATCGCTATCTCACCCTTGCAAAAATGAATGTAGCTATATGACCTTTCCCATTTAAGCGTCACACGATGAACCATTTGAGTAGCACGCAAACAAATTTGGCCCAAATCAAAAGCAAGTTTTTGATTTGGAAATCCGGTTTAAAGCATTCACGGAATAATATGGAGAACTGCAATTTGCCAGAAACCAGAAACGTATCACATTAACAGGCAATAAACATACTAGCTTATCGAGCTAAACGCACAACTTTCTCATTTGAAAAGCAGCTTTCAATTTTGCGACATGATTTCGTGAATAGCTTTAATAGGCAAAGTTATTTCTCATAGCAACGTATATTGTTTATTTTGATCTTCCAGATAGAGGCATTTGTTCACATTATTGTAGGTTTTCCTGAAGGCAGTCGGGAAAAAAGCCAAACTGGCCTAAAAAGCTTTTTTCTGATCCATTGCGATTTCATGATCATCTAATCGAAAATCAAATAAGAGATTCAAATAATCTTTAGAAGAAGATGAAGAGTTCTTATTTCAGGTTTTCTTTGGAATTTGATAGTAGAGAAAGTTCCATTTGATGATTTGAAACGATTTGACTTCGTTATAACGCCCTGGGTAAGGAATAAAAACGTCACGCAAAAAGAACACGAAGTTATCCAGAAACAATGATGTTGCGCAGTTCAAACATTTTGGACGTTACGCTCAATTGTCCTTTAGATCTATATTGTAAGCAAAACAATGGCCCAGTTGCAAATATATAGCGGATTTCAACCAGATAGCTCTTTTTAAATAAAAAGGCTGCAAATAAAAGATCTTGAATCCATAAACACAAAGGCAGTTTCAAAGAGTTTCACCGATGATTCACTCAGAATTGAAAACAATACAGTACATCTACAGCGAACAATATTTAAATGACGCAAATGACATCCCTTGCAAAAAATCTTGTAAACAGCATTCTAGAATCCGACCTCGTATGTTCTAGAAACATTTGTTTGCTTCAAATGCCTCGTTCGGAAGAAAATCATTTTAACGAGGCAGAGAAATGGAACTGCGTCATGATCAACTGGCAAAATTTTTTTGATTTATCACGCAATCGTGTAAATAAACAATGACTAATACGTCGTAAAAAACTAAAAGTGAAAATCCCACAGGCACTTAACGATGGAACGAAAATTGATGCTACGAACCTTTCGAGCTAATTGTATATCCGTTAGCGATGCCGGACAATTGTGAATATATTTTAATCACAAATCTTGCAGCAGCGAACAATACATAGGAGCCTTGAAAATCGCAAAAGCTGATGCAATGTGCATTAGAAGAACTTGCAAAAAAAATTTACCTTGGAATAATTGACGCTGAAATCTGACCCAGCCTTTGAAGCAGGTTTCGTGATCTCTTCTCGCTCTCGGGCGAAGATTATTTTTGAAGGTCTTTAAACCGGTGATTCCTGCAAGCGATTGCGAAGCTTTCTGTTGTCATAAAGGAAAACGCGGCTTTAAACAATGGTTCAACGGAACGTGTTCTAACAAGTCTCGTATTCATCTGTTATAGGGGTATTCCCAGGCCCCGGTTTACTAATGAAAAACAACAAGTACCAGGACTGAAACCACAACTGCAGAAAGCGTGCTTTACGAAAAAAGCGACCAATCACGGCACATATCCTCGGGGCATGTCTTGACATGATTAGGTCTAGTCTCGTTCTCAAGTGGATCATATGATCAAAAGACGAGAGTTGCCAATTTCAAAATGGCTACGTGGAGCAACCAGTGGGAGCAACCAGCGATTGGTGCATTTCAGGAAAGGGCAACGATAAACGAAATTGGGAAATTCCTTTAAACTAATTTCTTGGAAACGTTGCAAAAATACCCCTAAGTAAAAGGTTGGGAAATTCGGGATCATTTAACAAACATTTTGAAAGAATTCTCGGCATATTCAGATTATCAACCTAAAAGGTCTCCAACAACATTACACTGGTCTTTTTTATGAAAAGGAGAGTTATTAGGTTAAATGAAAACTTCTAATTTAAATTCCAGATAAACCAAGGTAGCTGATCTTTCTATTATACTTTAAAATTAACTAGAAACTGGCTAGCCTATTTTCTATTGAAAACTCTATCTAAAACTCTGTTTAATTTGTCATGGCAAAGAAATGATGAAAAGTAAGAAATTTTGGGCTCACCTTTTTCAAAATAAAACAATTCCTTTGCTGTAGCCTCTACGGTATTTTCCAATCTATAATTATACTGTAACTGACAATGCTTGTCTTTCGTAGACTGTAGCATTGTTTTTTCGCTGCTTTCTAAGGAATGCGAATGAATTGAAAAGCTCCCGGTTGCCAGGGAAAACCAGATTTAATGATCCTGTGCTATGTTGGGTGTCCTAATTTTGTTATATGATAACGATTATGATGATGAAAGTGAGGTGAAAAAGATAATTGGTCGATCTTGTTCTTAACCCTATCCAGACTGGGGGGGGGCTCATTCAACCCCCCCCCTTCAACTTACTTAATCGAGCAGTGCTCCACATTGGTAGACTCAACTGGCTCGATGCTTTTTTACTTCTAGTTTCTATTTTATGAAGTGTGAATTTGTTTAAAAAAATAAAAAAAAGAATTAAATTGGGGGAAATTTGGCTGTTTTTTCACAGTGGTCAAGGTCAACAATTAAGAAATCTTTTGATGCACTTAACTCAGGTTCATCCCATAATCATTTTATGGAATCCTTGCTACCTCTTATATTCATAATAAATATGATCTTTTTCTATGTACAAAAGTTCAGCCGTGTTTTACGTGACTTTAACTATGACGTCATTTTTGTGTACTTGTCTTGAACAATTATGACGTCATTTTTCTTTTTGGACATCCATTTTTAAAAAATGATACGTCATAACCTCTGCTATGTCTATGGTGATTTTTGTCAACATAGACCAAGGAACAACGATTTTAGAGTGGGGGGGGGGGCTGAATGAGCCCCTCCTTAGTCCTCTAGCAGCTCAAATAGCCCGGTCTGGATAGGGTTGAAGCACCATATACTACCTACTTTGTGGTTTAAATATTGTGACTTTAGCGGGATATAGCAGGACACCGAGAGAGACATTATTGTAGAAAATGTAGAATGAAATTTTGATATGTATTTGTTTACGAATACAGTCGGTTTAAAGGACGTAGTGTAAAGGTGCCGGAAATTGAAAATATGAAGAGAAGTATGGCCGTGTTTAATGGCGTGATTTATCATTTAAGATTAGCACAAAGATAGCAGCAATAAACTAATTAAAGCAAACCACATTTAATGATGCAAATTGTTTGTTTCTTGGAGATTATATTTCCCTGGTATCATCAATTGGTTTGGCAATAATATAGCGATGATAATACAGCGGTCAGTGTTTACTTAAACGTCGTTTTCAATTCAAAATTGGCTAAAATGAATCAAAATTATCCATTTTGCCTGTACTTCTACTCAATTTCGCGTTGTACAAAAAGATGCACTTAAGCATAGAAGTCTTTTCGATAATTTCATTTGCCTGGTTGTACATTCTTAATTTTTTAAATTTATGTAGACGATTAAAGGCACCGAGTCATGATAAAAGGAGACGGTATACCCAAATATGTCGACCGACTAATGATTTTCGTGCTGCTTTCCAATTGGTGGGCCCGAGACTGATCACATGTAGGTGCCTCAAACTGGTTTTGAAAACATAGGGGCCCAAGGCTATGTGCGAAGAAGGTGTCTGGTACGTAATATGAGCTCAGTAAAGAGCAGTAGCAAGAAGGATTGGGCTTTGCTATGAAGATGTTTATAAAGAAAAAATATCAGAATACAGGGTCTCGGCGAGAATTTACTTCCGTTGACATTGTCATTGACGGTGGAGTACGATCTTTCGGGCTAATTTGTTTTGATTTACCGTTAAAGCTCTATTAAGACCCGAGGGGGCTTATTTACTTTTTCGGTCCTAAAGGAGGGCTCATTTGAAAGGGGAGCTTATTTGCAAGGAGGGCTTATTAATTATTCAAAATAAAACATATATAAAATAAAAATGCCACAATGCCATGGGATTTCTTTGAAATAATCAACATTAGTATCCTCTTGATTCTAAGGCGCACAATAAAACCTTTGCATGGGCTGTATTTGATGCACATGGTCTTATCATCATACAGAACCACTAGATGTGCATGTTTTCTTTGTTTGAAATCAGAGGCTAAAGAGGGGGTCTTAATAGAGAGGGGGGCTTATTTTAAATTTTGGCGTGGTAATTTGGCTTCATAGAGAGAGGGCTCAAGAGAGAGAGGGACGCTTAATAGAGCTTTTACGGTATGCCGATTTATAATGATTTACAGAGATTCGTGATCGTTTGAGCTGATCCACAATGACCTTCGCAGATTTATTATGACTGATGATGATTCTCGATCACTTACAATGATTCACGATTATTAACACTGCTTCATGGTGAATAATACTGGTTCACAACCAATTGCATTCAATTACAATAGTTCATGATAATGCAGAGATGTCGCAAACTTTAAGAGTTTATTGTTTCATTTGAAGTTTTATAGTTAGAAAAAGTGGCTTGTAATCACTGTAGTAAGATTTTGAAGGTGAACATTTTAACTGCGTCACAGATTTTGAAAGCTTCTTTATGACATATATCCATCTAGGCACTGTTCCATTGACAAAACAACTAATTGCAATTCAACCAATTATTTGAGAATATTTTCATGGAGATTGTTTCAGCGTTATCAAATAGCTTAATAATTGAAAATTTTATCGAATAGGAAACCTTAATTTCCACAAAAGCCATTTCTTCCATTGTACGAGTGCACAATAGCCGAATTGCGTGCTGCAGCTTCCTTTGAAACTGTGCCTTCCTCTTCTGGCACAGTTTCAAAGGAAGCTGCAGCACGCAATTCAGCTATTGTGCACTCGTACAATGGAAGTCATCATCATCAGGTACCATCTTCTATCAGAAGGTTGGCTACCATGACCCTCCAACTATCCCAAAATTTGAGGGTTGATTGTCATGGTCACAGATCAAACTAAAGGGCTAATAGTAGAGATGGGCCCCCAGAACCACCTCTACAGTGTATTTTAAGGGACACCATCCCTCTTTCCAAGAGTTCTTCCGCCCGAAGCCGTTGACCCTTGGAGTCATGGCTCTCTTATAGGCCCCACGAGCCATTTTTGAAACTAAAAACACATCATATCACATCATAAACTAAAAAACATCACCCAAAAGTAAGCAAAAGTAACACCGAGAGAAAGTACAGGGCAGTGACTTCTCTCGTATCTCACTTCCTTCAAATCTAAATTTCTATCATGTTGTGAGTATTCAGCTCATGTTTGAAGCTATCAGAAAAAAGAAGCTCACAGGAACTGTATTTTGCTCATAATCATCATGTAAATAGAATACATCTGAAGGTAGTTAGCAGGCATAGACAAAGAAATCATAGGGTTAGGAATATAAGACACTCTATGAATTGATTTAGCTCGACGAGTTACCAATCTGAAGAGCTTTTTGAATTGGAAACAATGTTGTTATAGAAAATCCACTGGGTTGAAATAAGAACAGTAAGAACACACCAGCCTCAAGTTATTCAAAAAATAAATACATTGGGCTGCGACAAACATTATCTAGTTCTTATAGAGTATTGCCGACTTGTCACATAATTTCAGCAAAGGATGGTAGAAATAAGTTATTAAAGTGGTATATAAAAAGCTTTGGAAAAAGTTCAGACCAAAGCTAAGGATAATTTTGTTCCATAGAAAAATTGTCTAAGGCCTGGCAGTGGTGTACTCAAAGGCAAAACAAACGGGGTGCCTGCAGCACTTTGCTATACATATAAGAAAGTAACGCGGAACTTAATTTGTTAAGCTTTGCTTTTTAATATAAATTTTGTGATTTAATCAACAATTTTTCAGCATTTACAATAAACTCAACTCGACGCAAAAAATTTAGATACGTTATCACAAGCGACCATAATACAAAAAGGGGGGATACATGTCAAATACATTCCTATATTTTCCACGAAATACTGTTTATTTTTGCCTTACCAAGACTACGTCCACGCATGATAGTGCGGTGAAACCCTTTTCCAAATCCCAAAATATGAACATATATCCACCCCTGGCACTAAACAAGAATCAATTAGATATACAATGTACAAAACCTATTGGGTAATCATTGAGTATGTACGCTAAGTTTGGATTCTTGGAACTCTTTCCTCGTGATTCTAATAAAGGAGTAAATGGAGAACATGGGTTGCGCTTGAGGCTGCTCCTAAGCATCTCTGCAATGTCATTACATTTAAAGGCCTTAGAGATTGATTTTTCAGCTGAAAAATTATTTTCATCCAAAAATGGAAACTACCAAATAACGGGCAAATAATACTATCCCATTTTCATCGCGGTCCTTGCTCTTAAGCAACTGACACCTTCCAAAAAAAGCCCTGGCGTATCCGTTTATATAAAATTGACATTGTTATTAAGGGTACAGAAGGAGCAGGTTCGTGCAATCTGCATTCAGTTGTAGTTCAGTCTTAAAGAATTTTGCAATCATAACTTATCTAAAAGCTTGAAAGAAAGGATTAACTGCAGGTTTCCTTTTTAAAATTTTCATCAAAGTTTATCTGTCAAAGGGTAGTGCAAACTTTCAAATTTCTCTTGCTATAATACAAATGTACGTGGATGCTGTGGATTTATAATCACCCGTTGGATTGCAGAAAGCAAAGATTTAACTAGAATTTAAAGCGCCTTACACTATAAAATGAATTTAGAGTGCAAGTGAAGAATCAATGAAATGGCACTCTAAGAGCTTTGAAGTATTTGTGCAAAGATAAGTTCGAGGATCTAAAAATAACGAGACATTGAGGCATTAAAACATTTTTGCCTTAGGGTTTTCTTATCTCTTGTTAGGTGCAATAAGGGGCTTAATCTGATTGCATTGTTCGTTTACGTCAATGGGTAGATTGGATTTAGAGTATCATACTGCAATCCTATTGGATGATACGCTTGAGTTATAAATAGAGTTTTTTGCTCGTTGTACACGCACATTTTTATCCTTGCACAAACCCTTCCTACTTCCTACTGCTCTTCAAACTTTTCATTTCCATTTTCAAGTTTCTAAAGATCCATGTTTAGAATTTGTATCAGGGTAATGTAACGTAGGAAATTAGCTGTGGGTGATGCATAATTTTGAATTTGTATTCTCTAATAAAACAATCTCATAAAAAATATATTCTTTGAAGGCAAACGATTATTCCTTTTATATACAATGTATATTACCTCAGTATATGAATTATTTCATTTATACGTGCGTATCATTCCACAGGTAACGTTACTAAAATCATTCATGTGAAGAACATTAAAGGAAATCGACAGTACTTAAGTGGCTTGTCATCTGTCAATCAACCATTGGCTATCAATTAATAACCACGTGGGATGTATCACTCTTATTGATTGGCCAACTTTCTCTTGACAATTGCTTTACCCACTTCAGTATATGTCGATTGCCTTCAATCAAGAGCCTCATTTTTAAATATTATCAAAAATACATTGACAAAATAAACTAACAAAATCATGTTGCATGGACTACTTTAACTATAAGTTTCACTGCAAAAAAAGCCTGTGACCAAAACGAAACAGAACAGCAAGTCCATTGGCACACTGTTCCAAGTCAAGTTTTTTGAGGAGTCCTAAGCAAATTGGACCTTAAAAATTCATTAACGGATTGTGACGATTTCTTCTCCTTTATGTCGAGCTTCTTAGTGTATCTTGCAAAACAGAGCAAGTTTACAAAGTTCAAAGCCGCCAATCCATAGAAGAAATAGTCTAGCCGACCTTTCAAATCCCCAATTTTTTGCTGTTCAGACATATCTACGTCCAAATGACCTGGCATTCCCACAGCATAAAGCTCAAACAGTAAAGAGCCCAATAAGCTGCCAATACCATTTGCAATGAAAAACAATCCGGTAACTAAAGCTTGCAGTCTCTTAGGTGCCTGGCAATATGCAAATTCTAAACCTGCAACGAGAAGAGTTTATTGAATATTTGAGTTAAATAACACACAAGGTCAAAAGCAGGGGATTCGTGGCCACAACATTAGGAAGACCAAGTGTAGGTGCTCCAATGGTACAGAGCGGAGGTGTTACAAAATTTTTTCAAATAAATTAAAATCAACTAAATAACTAGGAAAAAGAAATTGCAAGATTAATTACTTTTCTTTGGTCATGAAATTTCTTTATGAATATTTTTTTTCTTGAAAAATCGTGAGTATAATCACCTGTTATCATTACAAATATTTCACTGATTCCCATAAGGCCAAACTGTGCTACTTGAGCAAAGATTGTGACTTTTCTTCCAGTGACATTGTACCTGCTAATTTTATTAAACACCATGGTGGACTCGGAGCATCGTTCCTTATCCAAGATTGCAGCAGAGAGCATTGCTAATGATGCAATAAACATACCTACAAAAAGTGAAGCAAAGATAAAATGAGTTACATATATGATCTATGCATAAAGAAAGTGCCTGATGACAGCAGGATGTCCATTGATAACAACAGGATGTAGGAAGGTGGCAAGTTACCTATCTGGCGATGGCTTAAGCCTCGTGCATTAACCAGCCTGCTTGTCATTGCTACTAGTTAAACATTCTTTTCCAACCCTCCCATCCAGACAATTATGCAATCCGCTATTATTAGAAGGAAAATATCTTGGGCAACATGGTGTAGATTGAAACGATCTAAATTGCTTTTAAATTGCTTTTTAAAACAACTTTGAGAGGACACTTGCTTCAGCTCAGCTACTCTAGCCTTGAGAATAAAACGAATTTTGACAATTTGAAGATTCCTTAGGGAAGGTAGACTGAGATGTTCTAATCTATATCAAGACTTGATGAGGAGCATGATAAAGCATATATGATTATACTTAATTCAATATCTGCGAAACTTTCATTACAAAGATTTGGGAACATATTCATTCTCCATGTTGTGGGAACATAGCCTCACCACTGAGAGCATTTTTTCCAACAGGGTAATTTTCATTCTTCAACTTGCTTCTTTTCCAAGTTAGAAAATCAACATAATTGTTATGTTGTTGTTGTGTTGTGTGCTTGAGTATGAGTTACGATGGTGGCTGGATGAAAAGAGGTGTGTTTCGAGATGACTGATTTAAACTTGCATATGGCGACAAGATTGGCATTAACTTAAAAAAATTTTGGACACTATTGTATTTTCTTATTCCGAGGGGGATGTTATGTTGTTGTTGTGTTGTGTGCTTGAGTACGAGTTACAATGGTGGTTGGATAAAAAGAGTTGTGTTTCAAGATGACTGATTTATGCTTACATATCTAACAATAATAATCATCATCTTCTTTGTTCATATCAAAAAGCATATCAAGTTTCAGATGTGTTAAAAGTGGTAGGGTAGAAGACAGAAGACAATTAAATCTTTTTCATGGTACAAACTGAGCTAAACTCAGTATTTTCTCTCCAGTTCATCATGTTAGAGACAGAATCACCAGATCTCAAAGTTGCCAAGCAAAGTATACTAGAAGATACCTCAAACCAAGAAAAAGGAGGGCTTGTGGTTTTTCTTCTAAGATAACCAGTAAATGAGCACAAAAATTTTTTTGACTCTAACTGAAAGTTACACATTATGAAAAGATTTATTCACACATATATACATAAAAACGCACCAAAATAAAAAAATGTTTACATAAACACAAACAAAATCACTATCAAATGCACTTCAAGACATCATTTGATATGATCAATAGATATATGAACAGTTCAACTCACCAATCATAATCTTTGTGAAGTAAGATGGCTCTAAATTGAATTTTTTCAGGCATGGGAAAAGTCCTTTGCTAATAATTGGCAAGAACACAAGCACAAAAATAATGTTTGTGATTGCCAGCCAAGCGACTGGAACTGGAAAATTTTTGACAATGGAAACATCCAAGTGCATTCCTTGCACAATAAAGGTGCTATTGGTCTACAAAAAAGAATGAAAAAAAAACATTCAATTACAGTCAGGTCTTCTAGATCAGTATCTGGAGTGTCATTCCAGATCTAGGTAAGTAATAACTGTTCTTTGGTAAAATTTTGATTTATGGCTTAATGCTTGACTTAGATATGCCTTGCATAATATAAGACAACATACAATTATTTAATGAAAATTACTGTTCATTTAACATACAGGGCTTGAAATTATGGGGTGCCATATAGTGTTGGTAGTGTCAGGGGCATGGTTATTACTGATGAATCAAAAGTTACAGCTCTTATAAAAGTGTTTTCTTTGAATTTATATAGTATCATTTAAACATTTTATAGAACAAACTAATAAACAAATGAATATTTAATATATTCATGTACTGAACAAATTATTACTGATGAATCAAAAGTTACAGCTCTTATAAAAGTGTTTTCTTTGAATTTATATTCATTTAAACATTTTATAGAACAAACTAATAAAAAATGAATAAATATATTCATGTACTGAACAAATCAATGGGAAAATTCAGTCTACCTGATAGTATAAGATACAGTAGATGACTAAGAACCCAAATATAGGAAGCATTCGAAGAAAAACCTTGACTTCATCAACATCTGCTTCTAGATATGAACCACCATACTTTGCCTTTGCTCTGTCTAGCCAATGTTTTATTGGAACATAATCTTCATAGCATCCACTACCAGTGTACTCTGATGGGCTACAATATAGAAAATGTTTACCTCAGAGAATAACTTACTTGGGTATATCTTTAGATTTCCTTCAAAAGTTGCATAGTAGGAAGAAAATATTCACCACCCCTGGAACTGATTGCTTGGCTGTTCATGCCATGCCAACTAGCCCAGACCCCTTAAACCAATAAAATTGAGTCAAAAGGTTTTCCCAACATCAAAGAGGTTTGGCTTTTTGTATAAGCAATGATGACAAGAAATATGTTTACACAAGTACATCTTGTCAAATTTAAATTTGAATTTTTTTCTTCTATCTGAGAAAAAAAAAATATCCTTCTAACTTTTTGCCTTCAGCAAGAATAAAAAATGTTGGTAAGTAGATCAAACTCCAAAATGCTTAAATAAATGACCAGTATCTGCAACATGGCCTTCACAGGAAATGTTAGACCATATATGCATCCAAACAAAATCTTTGGTGCAATTAATTGACCCATGCACATTTCCTTCATGTATCTAATCTGTGTGAATCTGACTATATCTTGAATTGAATTATTCAAACATACCATCATTCAAACATATCATTTCTGGCATGTTTCTCTTGTGAACAACACAATATCAACAATACCAAGAATGCGAGGTGTGAGGATGGCTCCGTTGTTAGAGGCGCTGACTACAGACCCAAGGGTTCGTGGTTCGAGTCCCTGGCATGACCAAACTTTCACCCAGAGGGAGGAGTCACAAGCTCTCTGAAATTCTAGGCGTAGGAATCACTAGGTGTGGTCACATCGAGAGGAAGGACCAGGACACTGCTTGATAAGCATAGCTTCTCAGTGTCCTAAAATCTACCTTCGGATGCTAGGTAGCAACAAATACAAAAAAAACAATTTAAAAACCCATGCAAAACCCACATAGATTTCAGGCAGAATCTGCCCAGTTCTCTCCATGTAGCTGGAAATTCCTTGCCTGCATCAGAGGCAAACTTTGCATTTTGGATTATCAATAGGGAGTTTTGGCACTCTTTTCTTCCTTATCAGAAAAATTCTCCCTGCATCAGCAGTAGCACTACCCCTGATTATGTCTGTATAACATTTATTGTCACATCTAATTTCTCTCAGCCCTCATTTGACGTTGCAAGCAGGCAATGAAAGTTGAATACCACAAGGCTGATGCACAATCAGAACTTGAGATCCACATGCATGTTTACAAAAGACATGTTAAGATAACATGTGTACTATACTTATATCATTATACGTTTATGGCGCATATTTTATAATTATTACCGAGTTACTACTACAATGTGCATTTTCACCAGCAGAAAATGAACTCTGTAAGTGGTGGGGCTAACAATGTGAATTTTCCTTGTCCTTCTACCAAATATACAAAAAACATCTGATGCTCCCTAAACCCCATAATTTTTCTCTATTGCTATAAGCCAGAGTGTTACCTTTGAGCTGGTGTCTTCTTTCTGTTTCTTCTCGCTTCCCTTATGATTTGGAAAATCTTCTTTATTATGTTTGGAGCAGGTGGGTTGCTAATGTAGCCTACTGATCTTGGTAACATGAAGAAAGTCAATGCCAGAAGTAGACATCCAGCAGGCAAGGCATGCCCATATATGAAATTCTTTTTCTCTTGCAGATACACAACAGGTCCAAATCCAAGGAATGATCCTATGTTAATTGCCCAATAATAAAAGTTGAAAAATTTGTTTTTATTTTCGTTGTCAACTTGATCTGCCCCAAAAGGGGACATATTTGACTTAAAGCATCCTTCACCAATCGAGATTAAAATTAAGGCAGCAAAAAGCCAAAGAACAATAAACGGAGACGACCCATCACTACCGGGCTTTACAACAAATGTGATAAAAGGGAGGCACAGATATCCTATGAAGTAGAGAACAAGGCCTAAACATATTGTGTTCATTCGACCATACACTACATCGCCTGACATTCCACCAATGAAACAAGATATCCACGTAAAGCCAGTAAAGAGGAGGGTCGTGGCGAGTGTTGAAGCTGAATTCCAGTTCAAAACAGTAGTCAAATAAACTACCAAATTTCCAAGAAGGCTGTAGTATGCCAGACGCTCCAATACGACTGAGACCAAAATGCAAAACCCTGGAAACTTCCTTCTCTTTTTCCCTCGGATATATGCTTGTTGACTTAATGGCTGGCAACTGCCTCCAAGCATTGGAGTTGTCAAAGATTCTGTGGATTCTGCAGCAACAATCATGGTTGATTTCTGATTTTTGAGTTTGATTTTGCTCTTCCAGTTTTCAAAATTGTAACAAACAAACAAATTATGCAGTCAGTTGGAGATGTCACAAACGATTGATTTCCTGAAAAGTCTACCAATAACCAACAGCTTCCATACTTCCTCTGAATAAAGCGACCATTTGTATTTTAAGAACGAAACTTCCTTTTTAGGCCACAGTCCTTAGTTCCAATTCGTCACGAGACCAAATGTTAGGGAAATTAGCCAGGGAAACAGCGAAGGAGAATACGTCACTGGTTTCTGACGTCAATATTATTTATTCGCACATCCATATAAATATAAATTATGGTTACGCAATGGTTTTAGATACAATAAAATAACTTGGTAATGCAAATGTCGGGCATCGCTGAGTAGGAAGTGGGGGGGGCATGGCGGGCTTTAGCCACTTTCTACAAGAAATGCAGGATATCAAGCAGACCTGTCAAGTTTCAATATGATAATCAAGTTAAGTAAACCACCCGTAAAGCCTCTTTTTATTCCAGTTTTAGCCCCTACATTTTAGACCCCCCACACTTTTCTCAACACTCTGCAGTGCCTGAAAGTACATTCCTGTGAAACACCTCATCAGCCTATTCATGCCAACCCTTATTGTATGTCGTACGGGCCTCTTACACCCTTGGTAATACCTTCCTATATAAAGTCGGTGCAGCTTTTCAACCAAAATTCGCCCAAATTCTCTTTTCTTGCGTGTCACAAGAAGATTACTTTTGGTTCTGCCTGTTTTTACATTTTTCTACATCAAAATTTCCTTTGTTTTCTTGACTTGTCTCCAGACAAGTTTGACTCTTGCTTGTATCAACAACCCCAGGGCCCACGCCACAGGTTTCAAGGTGGAGGGACCTATATATCGAGCTTGAATTTAGTGCTTCAAAACAGGGCCTCTATGAAATATTTTGTTTACCAAAAAGGTCTGGGGCCATGGCACCTTCGGTTCCTTGGTGTCGTGGGCCTTGCAACCAACAAATCTTCCAACCCGTTTTGCATTTGGGTAGAACTAGTGCAACGGCTGTGTTGTATTTATAGGATTGAGCAAATAAAAAAGACATGTTTTTCTTTTGAACTATAAAGATAAAAATAACTAAACAACTGCGCGATTCAATCTTCTTCTACGAATGCTTCCTCCTTGCCGGTGTAATATGCTTTTTGGTCTTTCGTTAATCTCTATATCGGGACGAGCAAAGGATATAGTACCCTGGGTTACTGGATATTGTAATTAAGGTTTATTCAGGACAGGCAGTGCTTGTAAAAGACTGCGCTGGGCCTCGTTGCTGTAAGTTTTGGACAGACAGTACTCGAAAAAAACTGTGCTGTGTCTCGTCGATAAATTTGGGTTCGCGGAGAACCGAGGATGTGTATTACAGATTTAGCCGAAAAGTAAAGTTTAGACTGGAAAGACTGCGTAGATGGCAACTAAAAGAAGACGAAAGAAGAAGATGTTCTCATTTCCTGTAATTCTCTTCACGGACACGGGCACTAAATCTGCCCTCAATTTTCCATATTGCACTTTATGTCCTACCATTCAATTCAATAGCAAAAGTTACGGCTCAGGTAATAAGTCTTGTCATGTTATATAAAATAAAGGTGAATTAGCCACATCAGCTGATCGGTACAGTTTTAATCATCAGTACAGTTGAACGATTTCATTTGGACGAAATGTGTTGAGAAAATGAGTAAGAAAATAAGCATTTCTTTACTATTTGTTTGATTTTTTCCGCTCTACAAAAAATTCATATCCAGCTCCACATTTCGAATTCCAGCTTCAAGAAAACGACCCGAATCCAGCTTGGAGTAAGCTCTGGGGACACTTGCCAATACCCCCGCGATTTCCGTAACTGTTATGATTTCGAACCAGTCAAGCGTTCTTTTCCTGGAAGGGCCCCGCTGGCTCGCTGGCTGGAGCACCTTGTTGGGACCGTGACCTTGAAAATCGGGATTGAAAACGAGGCCACAATGAGAGTGATAACAAGTATGGCGACGGCAGGAGATGTCCCAGGTGAACTTCTCGTAAAACCTTTAGGATTCGTAGCCGTGACTGGTCTTGATATTGTAAATAATGCAGTACATTGTGCAATATGGGATGCTTTTAATGCAAGTAGAAGACAGGAGAAGGCCCTGAATATCAAACCAGTTGCTGCAGATTATGAATGTCCTCGTCGAAGACCAAAGGTAACTATTAGGCCTATTAATAGACATGTGACATCCTTTCTTTTTTGCATAAAGTCATCTTGATAATCACTGGTTTCAAGAAAGGTTTTACGAAGTTTCTAATAAAGCATCAAATTCCTTGAAAAAAGATTGCAGTCCTCTTTTCCTTGTAAAGAAAGTATAAACAAAGTTTGGTTGGCACATCTTTAGAAAAGTTCTCACCATAAAGTAACGCAGATTCTTGCAGAATATTGATTGATGTTTGTCATAGTTGCATGTTGATGATCCGTTACTATATTTACCAATCCTTTTCTAATTTTAGTGCCTTCCCAATTCTATTGCTCTTGCTGCTATTCTTTCTCTTCTATCTGCTATCACGACAGTGTCTTACCAAAATTCTAGTATTATTGGTCATGCTTAACAGCTTTTACATACATGCATATTTTGAGACTTTGTCATTTAGAATGCCAAATAATGCCCCTTCTTGAAAACACTTGCTTCCTTAAGTGTCCTTATTTATATACCATCTGTATTGGTTTGCATTTTTGTATCTGATATCACCTAGTTTCTGAAGGTTTGTCTTAGGAAACTGGGAAGCTGTGTTGAAAATAAGCAACCTGAGAAGTCTTTCCTCTCAAGGTGACTACACCTTGTGATGCCTATGTCAAGCATCACAGAAATGGCAGTGACTTTGCTTGCTCTGAGTAAAGATTGGTCATATCAGTAACTCTAACCACTGAGCCATCTTGGCACCATAAGGTTCACAGAAAAATTCATTTGTTATGAAATGTTTGTTAGAAATTATAGAAAGTATTTAGTGACAACTAATTTAACTGAAACTTAATTGAAAAGATGAAAAGCCAATAAGGTAAAAGGTTTTCAACAAAAGCAGAGCTGAATTACTACTTAAGACTCTATAGAGTAGACTTTCAAAGTTGTCATGCCTGTTTTAATTTTGTATGAAATTATTAGCAATTTCTGTGAGAGGGATCATGTCTGCTCATTTGTTTGGAAGCTCAATATTGCCAGGCTATTGAATCTTTCTTAATTCCAATTTGGATGAAGCACTGCCAGAGCTTAAGAGACAAACTCAGAGTTTTGTAAAAGTAAACAGCTTCGTTCTCCTTGAGGAGCAATCTAAAGCTGAGCAGTGAGTGATAATATATTGACATCGTATAATTTTGTTCTAAAAATCTTGCTCTAACTTTGCTGGTAATCTGTACTTATGTGTGTGTGATGAATGAAGAAAAGGCCACTGTAGCAGGCTGCTCGAAGGGCTCCAAGGAGTACACAATGTTTTGTTTGCAAAGTTCAGGCCTATTTTTGACAAAGTTCAGGCTTAATCACACAAGCCTTAGATCACTCAGGCGAAATGGTACATTGTCCAGAATACTGCTCCGTTGTTTTTTGAAAAAAATCGTAGAAGTTGTGGTCAGATTGTGTGAATATTTCATCAACAAAAAATTTCCTGTAATTTTGTTGATTCACACAATCAACACAAAACAAAACCATGGCATGCTTCCATAAATCAGTTGTTTTTTCTTGCTGCTGATAAATCATTATAGCAAGTCAAATTAGAAATTCCAATTTTGTATAAACATGACAGACTGTGTAACTATGGTTTATCCCTATTTTAAGAATTTGAACTAAGGTTTTTTTGTTTGATTCTTTAACAGAGGACATCCTATGAATTCTATGTACCAAAAGGAATACTGAAGAAAGACTGGATGAGCAAGCACCTTCATATTATTCCCTCTTTGATGGTAATTTTCTTTGATCTTGATTGGGATCATATTCAGTGGAAAGAGAAAGAAACTGAATGTGCCTCAAGAGTAGCTGCTTTAAGGTGTGGTAAATGCAATTTATCCTAGAAGTTGCTATAAACTGGGAAAGATTAAGATATTTTGACCAAATTTGGTAACTGATTATACTATGTTTGTCCATTCTTTTGTTCGAAATAACCAAAGCAAGAAGAAAACATGGTCAAAGCTATGCATCAGGGTAGATGGGATTTTTATTGTAATTCTGCATTCCTATTGGATATTGGGCATGGTAAATATTTAGATTTTTCCGCTAATTGCAATAGCAGGCTTTTATCCCTGCATAGACCACTTAAGGATATGTTTTTATGTTATAGATTTAATTTGAGGTTTTACCAAATAGATTCTGTTGTAGTTCAAGGTTTCCCATAGATGTAGAGAAAGGTTAATAAACATTAAACCTGAAGATGATAACATAATGATATTCACCATTGTATCTCCTATGCTTATTTCCTCTGATTATTTACAAAACAACACTTTCGAAGCATCCACACATTTAATCTGTACAGTTATTAATATCCTTTGGAAAAGTTAAGGATGATCAGAGTTACATATAAATATTAAATCCTAATGGTTTGGCACAGTGCGTCTAAGAAAAGAATTTTGTTTATAAATGAAGATAACATGTTCCAAGACTGATACCTTACCATCTAAATTGTTGTTTTTAGCCATATATCTTCAAAAACTTTCTCACACACATAAGGCAGATTTGGGTGGCAGGGAGGCATTAGGGGTGGGAGTGGCATTGGGCTTGTGCCCGAAAAAGTATGGGGTATGATATAGTTAAAAGCAGCAGGTATTTTGTCATACTTGCATAGTGAATTCAATCACTAAGTTCAATCAAAGATCAAGTAGCAGCAGTTATTGAAAAAGGCATATATTCTTATTGATGTCTTACCTGCAGCTGTACTCTTTTCTACTCTCCACTCTTGGCAGCTTAATTCAGTTTCAGTTGTCCTTAATTATTGAGCTACCTCCCCCCCCCCCACCAAAAAAACCTATGTCTATGCTGGTCCAAAAAAGTAAACAAAGAGGATAGCGAAAGCGCTTATTTCACATGCCATATCATCAGTTGTCTTATACTCTCAATACATAGCAAGTTTATTTTGAAAAAGTGCTATTTAATTTCACAGTTGAGTTGAGAAACATAGCATAATGATCTATTTTGCTAAATTCGTGCTTGTTTTACTTACACTTCTTTTCTAGGTCAAGTTTGCAAGGACGGAATACAAGATTGGCTGTTGTACTTATTCAGAGAAATATCCCATTGCCACCAGGTATTAGCATTTGATACCTTTAACACATAGAATGTTACATATATAAAAGACATGACAATCTTGAATAGGCTTCCAGCAGTAGTATTCTTCTTTATCATAAATATTTTTGCATTTAAATGATACAGTAATTTTTTAGTTTTTGCTTTCAAGTTATTTATTTTATAAATCCCAAACATATTTTAAACAACTAAAATATTAGTTGTTTTGAAATATCTGATATTTGCTATAAAGTAAAATCGAGATTTTTGTTTTTTATTTTACTTGCAAATTTTGTAATATTTTTTGCGTTTCCATCGTTGGATTTTAAATTCCTTTTGTTTTTTTCCAAGGGGAGGATCCGCAGGCCATTGAAAGAGCAGAGTCACTATGCACCTCTTGTGAGCTTTCTGCCAAATCTTTGTTCGTACTACCATTTAGTGATCATCTCCATGGCTATGTTACAAGGTAAGAAACCCCCATTTTAAAACTGCAATGTAATTTAATAACAGGGATCAGGAAATATTGATGTATACTGAGAGAAAATGTGAGCTAGAAACGTGACCAAGCTAGGTCTCGAACCCGCGACCACCAACTCTGTACCTCGTTTGCAGGACTCAAATTTGCACCGTCCAGTTTCTCTTGTTGCAATTTGAGTCCTGCCCTGGTCGTTATACTTGCTCACATTTTCTTGCAGTATATTTTTCAACTTCTGTTCTCCTGTCACTCAAATCTTGATGTCTTTGAATGGGGGGAGGGGGAGGGGGGTGCTGGGTTTAAATGTTTAGGGAAGGTTTAAGCATTGTGGTAAGATCTGACGTCACTCAACTTTATTCCAGACTTGAAAATGCATTCTACGAAATATCACAAAATTATTACACGAATGAAATACGAAGAGTAAAGGCACACCGGGTATGTACGTACCTTCAATCCTCATTGTTCACACAGCTTCGTTAGATTGAATGGTTAGCGGTTAGTGGCGCAAGTCTTAGCGTTATTTTTAAAAGCTGTGTTCTATGTTTGTTATGAATGCGATCACACGACTTTTATATCCCCGTGCTATGTAAGATCTGTAAGATCTCAAAGACTCATCTTAAAATGTTTTTAACATCATTAGGATGAAAATAACTGTTGAGCTAATGCCAATGGTCGTTTTAAATCATTATATACTTGTTGTTATAACTGTTAAACGTTTCCCTTTTTTTAAGGAATACTTGAATAAATCTCAACATCAGGTAAGTTTATTCAAATTCAATCTGTTTATCTTTCTATAATAGTTGCAATTATAAGTGAACTTGGATTTGAAATTTTCAAGTTAGAACAAATAGCCTTCTGTTAAGATTGCACTAGTGAAATTTTTGCTACATTTTGCTAAATTCCATAAAATACTGAATGCAACGTTTTCTGATTCACCCCATTACCGTACGTTATTGAACTGTTGGCCCCGACAGGTGCCTTCTCTAATAGAGTTCTAACGTGATGACATCGCAAAAATATTTTTTTTTAAATTTTTGAATTTGGATCCCATAACCTGAAAAAGCATCATTGAATTCCTCTAAAAGTTTAAAATCAGTCAATTGTGTTACGAAATGGCAGAAATATGGCCACACATGTATTGGCTCTTTCCCCATCAAACATCGGTATTTTGGTCTCTGTTCATAACTTTAAGAATAACAGTGATTCGTTAGCAAACTTCAAATCCTTCATTGGCCACATCTCAACCGATTTTAGACATATTTGACCAATTTTGCATACATTAAAGTATTTCATGGTGATCTTTTATGCTAAGTGGTTTGAATTCAAAAATTCTAAAAATAGGTTTTTGGTGACGTCACATTTTAGAACGCTATAGCCATTTCTATTGTGTTATGATTCTATACGGAACTCGTATTTACTGTTTTGTCGCGAAGAATCCTATTTTTACATGTTTACTGCGTTGGGTATATCGTTTTTAACATTAAGAATTATCATACACCAGTCCCCAGTAACCATAATTTTTAGAACATAATTGTTTTAAAGAGTATTCTAATTCTTTTTCTACACAGCTGTTGTATGTTCGGCATCAATTTAAAATTGCTATGTTTTCGGAGCAAAAACAAGATGTGCACACAGCTTTAAAGTAAGTGGTCATTTTAGAAGCTGAAATTAGACTTTATCAACATGTCTGCTTGTAGCTTGTCTTTATCTTGTCTTGTTTGTGGCTGTCCTTTTGAAATATCGAAGTTTTTTTCTCAATTTGCTTAGAAGACAACTTATTTGTCAAATGGGCTTATAGGTCAAAAATTTAGCAGTGTCTGGAAATTAATCAAGCCATTTGTTAGTTTTCTGTGGTTTATCGTGTGATTTTGTTTCTTCCTTTGAAGATCTAATTGTTTTTGCTAAAGACTCACTATTCCTTAAATTGTTTATCGTTGTTGGATATTCTTTGATGACTTTCGTCCGAATTGGTTATAACACGACCTGCAGGGAAGTATAGAAATAAAGAGGTCATTATGGCTTTGAGGCGATTAACGTTGTGAAATTATCATTAAAAACACATAAAAATCATTTGGTTTGTTCAGGTTCTAAAAAGTTTACCTATCTTTAATGACATTAAAGAAAGCTCATTTTGAAAAAAGGCCAAATATTTTCTCTCTAGACACTACAAGCAGGCCTACAACCACTTGCTTGAAATCAAGTTGACAGATGTGAATAACCTGGAAGTTAAGACTGTGGCAGGTTTTATAAATTACAAGGTAAATAAATTATGTAACCATGGTATTTTGTTGCATTAGCTGCACATTGATGAAAAAGACATGTTTCAGTGTAGATGTCGTAGCCTTTATTTATGAAAAATTGTCCATACCTACCTAGAGCCCACCCAAATTTATTTAAGAGAGTTTTCTACTTAGGTTTTGAATGAGATAAGAATTTTTTGGAGAACAAAAATAGTTTTGATGTACTCATCTGGTATTTTTCTGCTTTTGTTTCCATAAAATAACCTCTTCGCCTCGTTGGTAAGCCGAGTTTAATGAGCTTTCTGCAACAATCTTACAGCATCTGATAAAAAGGGTTCCGTCGTGCATGAGCTGACTAGGGCTGTTCGGTTTGTCTAGGGTCAAGTCTGGTTTTCAGCTAGAAATGAACAAAGCCTAACAAATAGATATCGTCCTCAATTTATGTTCAATAGGATTTCTTAATAAAAATTCATCACCACGCTCTTTTCAAAGCCAACAGATTTTTAACTTCAAATGCAAAAAAAATTATTGGAATTTCGCGAAAGGAAAAGCAAAATATCATAATTTTCTTAGCTTCTAAAAGCGCTACTAACCGTTTTTCGATAATCTAAGGAAAATTTGAGTGGACCTTGCAACTTGAAACTCCTTGTCTGCTACGTCACAGACTTCTTTTTTTCAATCGCTTTCGTACTGCAAAGCAACCTCCATACGCGCTTGGTTATTTCTGACGTCATCCAGAGCGTATTCAGATGCCTTGATATTGACCGTGACGACAATATGGAACTGCGTACAAGCAGAGTTTCCTCGACGGAGATGTATTTTTCAGTGATAATTGTTTACAAGATCGAAATAGCTCCTGTGCAATATCAGAATTCTACGTGCAAGTGCAAGTCTCTTCATGTTTCTAACGGACAGTTTGTGATAGTCAGCAGGGGACAAATGTTTGGATTGCAATATCAAACAGGGCTGGTAGGTTACTGTGCATACATGCACGAAGCAAAAAAATAGGCCAGAAAAATCCAAAAAACGCCAAAGACGTTCTCCATCTAATATCCAAAAGGCCAAATTATGTCAACCTATATTTCAAAGCGCTACTAATTCTAAGTTAATGTCATAAAGGTTTCGGAAAATAGCAAAATTTTGTATATATCACCGCAATTGGTGATTTCTACATTCGCCATTTAAAATGTTCCTATCAGATCGGATTTCTATCTGCAAATTTTTTTTTTGATCTGGTTATTTTTAACTTCTAAATTGCTGGCTATATTATAATGCTAGTTTATAGCTTGAAATGTTAGTATTTTACAGTTTTTACATTGGATCTGATGATTACAGTTTTTTTCCTCTGATGAAGCCCCGTTTGCCGGGGCGAAATATTAGCCTTTACTGATTTACGTGTATTTATTGTTGTGTATTCTCGGCGTATTGCGGTGTTTCTTATTCGCTACATTTTTATCGACTTTTCGCCGCAAGAACTCCTTGGAGCCCGTCGAGCAGCCTGCTACAGTGGCCTTTTCTTCATTCACACATTTACATTAAATGCCTGCTTAAATCCACTGTAAGATTCTTGTGTCTGACAACAGGCAATTTACCAAAACTTAGTTCATGCAACACCCTAGTACTAATTAAGCCTTTATCTTCGACATGGTGTAACATCCTAAGCTTAGTATAATCTTTTCCCATTTTCACCGTGTCATTCAAGATATATCATTAAAATTCCTTTTATAGATTTGTAGGCTTAACTTTAAAGTTAGTGCCCCCCTGGATGCTATATCTCAACTGAGAAAGCACATCGACTGCTTCAAAACCAAAGTTGGTATAGCAGATTTGGCATTTGAGCATTTAGCATGGATGGGAAAGCAGTGAGTTGATTCTTGTAATTTTTTTACCATATATGATTTGTATGGTTATTTCTTAAAATGAAGATCGTCATGAAATTTTACTATATTGGATTTTGGTGTAGGATTTATTACAAAAACCACGATAGAGACAGTTTGATTATTTTGGATACGAAGGATTTTTCAATTTTCAGTCACAGATGTTGGAAGTACATTTTATTGAAGTTGCACGTAAGGAAGATTCGTGTTAGCCGATTTTTTAGAGTCCTTGATGCCATTATAGACAGAGCTGTACTATTGTTTGTGTGTAAGGCAAAATGGTTCTAAGCTACCGGTTGTCAATAGTTGGCTAATCATCAAGCGTGGAACACCGAGTTGCAACTTAGAGCCTACCTATTCTCCCCGCAAAAGCATGACCCTGTTTATACGAAACCACTTCCAAAAAGATCTGTAGCCATTTGAGTTCATTTGGGCGTTTTGTTGACACGAAACTTGTCAGGACCAAAATTCTGAAATTTTGACAGTTCAAGCATGAGAATAACCTTCCTATAATGAATCTCACGATTAGAGTTACTGCAGGGCAGTGTAACTGCTCTTTATTTTAGTTTTCATTTTTTCTAAAACTGCTTTTCTTAGGTTCAGTCTTTTCGGCGATCTTTTTCAAGAAGCTGTCAAAGATGGTCTGCAGGCGATACAGGTACCTAAACCTTTTCTTGTGATTTCGCAATGTTAGATTCATTACAAACATAAGTGAAATTATTGATATACTTTTATTTGTCCATTGGCTTGAACCAATTTTCTTGAAATTCCAAGAGAAATCTGTCGTTGGCCTGTTTGTAGAAGATTTTCAGGACTCAATTCACGATCCCCATCGATTACAACCTTCTCAGTTTGTTTCTAAAAGGATTTAACTTAAAAGACTCTATTTTCGTTTTTTATTGTTATAGTAAGTGGAAGTAACAGAGATTTTCTACATATAACTGTAACTTTATGCAATTGATATTTCAAAATTGCATCTGTTTCTCATTATTTGACCTGACCCGTAACATTTTCGTTTGCGATTATCTTATAAACGCTGCTGCTATCCGAGCTCCATGTATTGCTGTTTGACTCATCAAGTTGTCACCCCAACGGAATGAAACAGATTCTGGTTAATAATGATAATTCATAGACTTACTACAGGAGCCTCTGTTTGGCTACTGCCTCACTTGACGGACGCTACAAAAGTTGTTTGTCTAGGTATTTCTTAAGACATCTATAAATCACAATTTCGTTTGCAACCAACCCTATGTTTTGTTTTATTCCTATCTCAATATTCCTTTAGACACAGCATCCTGGATTTTATTATCAACAAGCAGCTGTTTATTCTGTTGCAAGAAGAAAAGAATGCAGTCGAATTTGTAAGGTAAAAATGCATTTACTGTTTCAAACTTTTACATTGATTTGGCATAAACTACACGCAATTTCAACATCACAATGAAGGTGTCTTTCACAGTCTTTCTTTAGTAATCTACCCCTGCGCTATTTATTTTCTGAATTGTTAAGAATAAAGATCGTGAATGCCCGGTTTTACAGACATCAGATATAATTTCGATGATTTTCGAATCATAATTTTGCTTGATCTATTTACAGTAAGGTGTTTTTTATAACCATTTTCAAGATGTTGTTAAATGTGTGCAACGATGTCATAAGTACAATATAGAACAAAATGACGTAACTAGTAACGCTAGTAAATTGACGTAACGCTTTTGTATTCTTCTGCTAGTATTTTTTCGTAAATTGCTACTGGCATTCTTCATCTGTCCTTTTTTCAGTATTCGCAACCTATTACACCCGATCCTCTTGAAAAAGCCGACTACCTCGAATATTTTGGTCAGCGGCCGTGGAGGCAAGGCTGCCAAGGTAATAAAAAGGAATACTCGAAATTAGTTTTCAGACTTTCTTCTTTTAATCTATATAATGAAGTTCTATGTGAAAGTACGAGGATGGCTCAGTGGTTAGGGCCGCAGATTACAGAAACAAGGGATTGGGTTTCGAGTCCCTGACATGACCAAACTTTCTCTAAGGGGGAGAGAAGGTGCCAGTCCTCTTTAGTTCCAGGCATAGGAGTCACGGGGTGTGTTCACATCAAAAATAAAAGTCAGGACACTGTTCGATAAGCGAAGCTTCTCAGACCCCCTTTTTGCCCTGTCCCGTGCAAGTTTGCAAACTACACTTACACTAATTTGCAAACTCCCGCGGCTCGCCTTCCGTTTAAACTAGAACTGTAGAACCAAGATAATTCACTCTGCAATCTGGAACAAATTTGACCCTGCTTTGAAAGCGAAAGAATTTTGTACCGTCACGGTTCTGTTTTTGAACAGGACCAGAAGAGTTTTAGTATCTCAGTGTCCAAAAAATGCCATCTGGTGCTAGGTAGAAGCAAATGTAAATTGTGTGTAAATTTATCAAGTCAAAAAAGTAAATATTGTTAATGAATTGTTTACGCTTCCTGAAAACAAAATCTGAAAAATGAACCTGGAAGTAAATCAAATGAAAAACAAGATAATCGGCAAATGTATAAAGTTAACATCTGTGCGTCTTTCCGTATAGAGGTCCTTTTCAAGATTTTGCCACAACTGCAAAGGCTAATACTTGTTTGCATTTTATATTTAATTTATGTAGCAAATCTTTAATGCTGCTATGATATCAATCTTATATTTTATGAGCAATTTTTTTGCGGTACAGAATTTGAAAATGGCTTTGAAAAAAGCAAACATTTTACGACATACTAAAAGCTTTTTCGTCTGACACTCCTCAGAGCATGAAACGTCAGAATAAGGTTCCGAAAGCACACGATGGGAAATATATACCCAGTTGTGGATCGAAATAGGCCAATCAGAAAAACGCAAGCACAAGACCGGTATGGTTGACCAATGAGTGCCGCGAGCCTAGAGAAAAATTACCAATTATTGGCCTATTTCGATCCACAAATGGGTATATATTTCCCATTGTGTTCTTTCGGAACCTTATTCTGACGTTTTATTCTCTGATGAGTGTCAGACGAAAAAGCTTTTAGTATGTCGTAAAATGTTTGCTTTTTTCAAAGCCATTTATATTATATCATATGTTGTTATTGAAATGAAAATCATTAGACTAAAGCGATGATTGTTACATCCAGCAAACGAGCCCCCAGATTCGGCCATGGAGCAAGCTGGAATAATGTCATTGCAAGCTCAAGAATTAACAGTCGATCACTCAGTGAGTGTAAATCTTTCTTTTTATACGTGTCTGCAAAAGCTAAAAATTCCATTTTATCATTTGTGTAAAAAGCAAGGGCAAATTTCAAACCTATAGATTTATTTACCTGTTCAAGTCAAACTTCAAACCAGATTTATGTATTGTAGACAAATCAACTATGACCAAATGGGATTGTGATATCTCATTTTCATCCACATATCTTGTTATTTTGTTTTCACCCTAATATTCGATATTCATGTTTTTTCTGATTCATTCAATGTTTTTCCCTAAATGCTCTTCTGTTCAGTTAGATTGTAATTCGTCTTGAATTTACTTAAAAATGTTCTTTGAAAATTTCATTTTTTATAGGACCCAGTGCTTATCGACCCTCCCCCCTCTAGTTTGCCTTTTAAACAAACGAGAATCCAAACTGTCTTTTCTGATAGTTCAAGGAATTTCTATTTTTCCATCAAAAATGCAACACAAGTTGCTTCAAAATCTGTTTTTGATCCGCCTTGGTGATGCTTGTAAAAGGGGTCCTCTTTGGTACCGTAATATAGAACGAGACGATACTTAAACCAGTTTTTATTTCTTGACAGGGAATAATCACACCGCTTCTCAGCAGTGCCGTTGCACAGTTCAGAGAATACAAATCAGTCAGACTAACGTTGTCTTTGAGTACGTATAATCCAGTTTGTTTTGTATTGGGTAGAATGGAAGATTAAGGTCTATCTTTTTGCTTATTTTATTGATACAGGTTTATTGATGAAATATGCCAACTTTTTCGCAGGGGTCCAGATGGGGGAAGAATATTATCTGTCGAAAGATTACACAAAAGCCTTGACGTAAGTTAGTTTGCTTTCCCCCTGTTTTGTCAAAAATGTACCTGATCGGTGAATTACATGTTATCTGGAAAGTGTCCTTAATACATTTTCCATGTTTGTAAACAATAATTTTTGTTGCAGCTATAATTAGCCAGAAGACCCGCATTTTTTTAAGATTTGTCCTATTCTGATAAGACTGTTTTATGAATTCATTAAATCGCAGTTGGTTACAAGATTCACAAGACATATACAAACTTATTGCATGTCCATGTAAACGTATTGCTTAAAGCAAATAGTGGATGATGTTATTTTTTATCGTGAAAGTATATGTATCTATTTAAGCAAGATTTTAAAAGGGATTCAATTTCAAGCATCGTTTTTAGATATTCCTTTTAGGCATTTAGCCGGAGCTGTTTCATAAAGGATTACTTTATTGAAGAAAACATTTTTCTTCTCCTTCTTTTCTTATTTATAATTTTTATGATTTTTAATGATATAATAACTTTAATTATATGTGACATCATTGAATATATGCTCCATCTGAAGAAATTATCAAGTAATGAGATGTGCATCTGGGAAAAAAACAGATGAAACTTGGTTTATTGTCGTACTTCTTTATATTTTTCTATCTGCTGTGAAAGGTTATAATACTAAATTTTCGCTGTTGACGTCATCTAGACCCATGTATTCCAAACCCCTTGATGACTCTTCATTTTATCTCAAGGCTTCTGAGTCGTGTAACTATGTATTACCGAAGTGAAAGATGGTGGGCTTTGCTGACATTCATTTTGGTCACAGGCTTCAGGTATGGCTTTTTGATAGAAATTTGGAGCAGAATTTTCTTCAAATTGAGGGTGGAAGTAAAATGTTTATAGGAGAAGAAGACTCATAAATATGCAACAAGTACCATTTAGTGTATAGTAGACTCAAGTTACATAAAATATTGCTTGAAAAGCTGTGATAGTAAGCGAAGTGTGGCTGTAAATGGAGCTAAGTTGAATAGTTTTTCATATTTGGGCCTAAAATTTACGTGACTGTAATAGGTGATTTTAAGCGCAGTGACTCTAATAAGCAAAGTTGATTGCACTTCTTTGCTGCAAATATTGTAAGCATGTTTTCTTCATATTCCAAAAACTCCTTTGTTCACAATTTCGTTGTAATTGTTTGAAAAGCTTTGCAGTTTCTTGTTATGTTTGTTTTGTGCAACCACCCCACCTCCGCCTCTCTTGAAAATGACGTCAACACGTTCGGTTTTTGATAGGGCAATTTAATGTGCTGTATCAGTTAGAAATGCTGTGAATATTTTAAATTTAATTTTCCAGATGTGCATTCGCCATTGGGAATGTTCAAGACTACGTCACATTTGCTTTGGAACTTTGCAGTGAGCGTATCTTTGATCAATGCCTTTAAATGCGTTAATTTTTTTACATACTTACATTTTGATATTGAAGAATTTCCTGAAGGGTTTTGTGTAGAAACATCAAATTAAGCTAGAACCATGCATATTTGTGAGTTTATTTTATGTTTGACATGGTATTCAAATTACATTTGAAATCAGAAATTTTAGAAGTCAGAAGTTTTAGTTCCTTTAAACACACATTAACCAAATTACCCCTCACCAATAACTTCCTCCATAACGTTGGCTTGTCGATAAAAGAGAAGAAAATGAAATATCTTGAAGTACCGTAGAATAGTGTCTCTGTTTACTTCCAGTCGTGATACGTTTTCTGTATTGCCTCAGTTGGCCGTCCTTGCGTTTCATTTTTAACAACGTTTGACAACAAAAAAACTTAAAAATGTACCTTAACAAGCATTTAGATGCTGAGATCGAAAGTGACGAGAAGAAACGAATAATGAAGAATTTGCTTAAAGTTGTGGAGGTAAGTAAATTTCTCTTTTCAACTTTGTAGCTGTTTCTTTTCAAGTAATCGGAATGTTGATTTATGTTCACTATTTCGTCAACTGTTTTACTTGCTTATCGGTGAAATGCCTGATCTCTCTCATCAACTTAATCATATTGTAAACAACATCTTTTGTTGTTTTATAGATTGTAAAAATAACGTCCTTAATTAATAGTTAAGTTACCCTATTTCGATAAAGCCATTTTAACAATTCATTATACGCAAGTCTTATTTTTCATAACGTTAGGGGAAATTGAACTGAGTTAGCACATGTGTCCGAACCGGCGATGAAAGAGCGTCATTTGCACATGCGCATTAGGGTGAAGGCTCACAGAATAAAACAATGCTCACGAAAACAAGCAAATTTGTCGAAACATAATTTTCCCACAAAAGCATGTTTTAATCGTAAATTTAGCAAAACCTTAGGGCATTGCCCCCACACTTCCGCAGTTTCTCCCACTGCAAGATACACCTGAACTTTCTTCGTCTTCGAATTTTCCCGCATCTGTTTTGTCATTGGTTTTGACTGCGCACGTGCATCAAATGAAAAACATTTTAAAGCCAACGTACCTTCGAACAAATGGTGGCTCGTCTCCCCAACAAATTTGTTCATAACTTGAAAAGAAGGTGATCTAACTAGCTTCCATTTTTGATGTTTCCTATAAATAGCACATATGCAATTTTATAGCTTTTAAGCCAGCTTAGTATATTACGAAAGAGGATTATTTTCTCGTTCTTCCCCTTCCAGGGCACGTATCCTGACCCGGAGTTAAATGATGAAAAGGTGAGCACAGAAGACATCAGTGGATGGAATGAAGCTATTGCTAGTGACAATTTGATAACAGTGCAGATGGAAACTCTCGCCAGCTTCAGTATGTTATCAGTGTAAAATTTAGTCGATTTTCGTAGCCGTTCTTTTTTGGTGCATTCTAATATCAATGGCTCCTATATTTCGCAGTCTTCTTTCTACCTTCTCCCTGACCTATCCTTCTTTTCAAGCTGGGCACTAAAAGTTCTGTATTCCTACTACACTTTTGAAGCCTGTGCGTATTTGGTGACAATATTTGATGCACTGTACGCATACAACTCCATCTACTCTCACTCCCACTCACAGCATACGAATGGCCATCTTCCTTTTTCATTTCAAGCTTTGACAATATTCCCAAGCAATATTTGATCTGTACCATTTGAGAGTATAATTTTGTTTGGGAATAACGTTGCCTATTTTATCTTATTTTTATGCTATTGTAACACATGCATTTTTGGAAGTAAGTTTGTTATATAATTTTTATCCATTATTGTTATCTTAATTGAAACTATGTTCCTTAAACAGTTGAATGTCGATCTGCCTTTGACCAAGACGTATTTCATGCTGATGAGCAAGTGACTCTCAAGATTTATTTACGGTAGGTAAAACTTTATTAGTACCATTAAACCTTTTTTAAAAGTAGCTCTTAGTACCGGATAAAGGACTACGAAGGTACTAAGTTATTGCAATTGCTGTAAATTTTTCATTTTTTTATATAATATCTTTTTACGTTAATCAGGACACACATTGATAACAGCTGTAACGTTGAAGTGTTAATCCTGTATAAAGATTCGTGTTATTATTATTATTATTATTATTTATTATATATTATGAGGCATGAAAGAAGAGCAATCTTGGACAGAATTGTATTGTTTTGGCCGGGATGTATTGACCCTGCTGTCACCAAATGAATTAATAGGGCCTGGCAAACGAATTTCATATTGTTGAGATATTTTAGTGCATTAAAAAGTGCGAAGAATCTTTCTTGAAGACTGAATAGTGTCTCTCAAGCATCACTTTTGAAGCCCCAACTGTTTAATGCTCATGTTAAAATTCTTTGCGTTAGTCTTGACTTATATCCAATTTCTGATTATATAGATTGATCAAAAATGCCTTTTATGATCGTGTCTGAGTAGTTAAGTATTCCTTAATAATTTGATATTTCTATAATTGATTATTTTTGTTTATTTGTATCAGTATATTATTTTTATCATCACAATATTTTCCATGATAATATTTCTGGATGGTATACCGAGTTATCCTTGACCTTTCTATCACCTTAAAATTCAGATCAACTGCTGTCATGCCGATAAAGATTTCAAACTTGTCTGTTATTTTCAACAATCAGGTATGTTACTCGTGTTAATTTAATATGTGAAACAACAGCAAATACGCATTGATATATGTTTACAAGTAATTATACTGAGCCAAACGGCTACACAAAAAAATTATTTTCTTCTTAGAACGTATTAAACATTTGCTGTTCGATTAAGATATTGAAGAAAATGATTCCGAAAAATTTGTTGACAGCACAGTTGGAAGCAGAAGTTCTCATTTAGAATTGTTGTCAATATCAAGTAAGATATAATTGAAAGGGTTATATATTCCTTGCTGTAATAACGACAATAAAATAAGCAGAGAAATCAAGTACCAAAGATGAAATAGACTGAATTTTTTCTTTCGGTGCAAAATTTGCTGATTATATTGTCGCTATTTTGGTAAAGTACCACACGCAACTCACATATTTTATTGGATCTTGCTGTAATTAATCAATAGCTGCAATGTCGTATTTTAAAGAAATATCTGCCAGGTCTCAATAGTTTTCTACAGCACCATTACAAGTAGACCCTGCTTTCTAACATAGACTTTAATTATGTGGGCTAAGATCAACATTCGATATTATTAAGCTTGTGTTATAGAAATTTTGAAATAGCTCGACCATCTTGTTTAGTCTGTTTTTTAGAATCATCCTTTTTTATTAGGTGTTTAGGAATGAAACATTTTATTATATATCTCAATAGTTTGATGGCACAGAATTTAAGATGTCAGAATAATGATCGAAAATGCGAAGTTTGACAATTTATCCCTAATGTTTGATCGAAATAGGCTAATCAGAAACGCGAACAGATTTTTGATAATATTCCCTAAAAGTGTAATTCGGTCATTGGTGAACATTTATTTGCTCGAGAATCCAAGCTGCAGAAAAACTTATGGAAACGCTCATAAAATCATCGGGCAAAAGAGGCCGTCTTGTATTTTAGGTATTTTGGAATCTTCCACATTAAGACAAAAGATCCTGAATTGTGTAGGCAGAATGGGTTCGTTTTCTCTCTTGAACTTTATTAGTTGTCGGCACTTGCTGATTGGTCAAAACTATAAACCAATCAAATGAACCATCCCTCCTCTCACGTCGCTTTTAATGTCACGTCACGAATTCTGAGAAATGTCGGACGAAAAGTACTTCATAAAAAGACTAACACTTATTTCGTATTTCATCGTTCTATTTACCCTTCTACCACAAATTGTACAAATTGTCACAGTTTTAGATGATTAAAAACATATAACATATCAGAAATGCTTTGCCGTTTTGATATTTCTAAAACTTCCCGAATAAAGTCTATCTATGTAATCTATCTATCTATTCATCGAAGGAAGCATGGAAAGGAACCAAACTAAGGCAAATACCCAGTAAAAATAGCTAAAAACTGTATATTTCGGTATGGATGTCCTTGGTTGTAAAGACATTTTTAGCTACTTTTTTGCTTATCACCTCTGCTTACTACCACATGGATGTCCTGCTTACCACCATAAAATACCGTCGCTGTTAAAACCAGTATTATTCTACCGCAGGTTTACAACCAAGTTTCACTAGATGCTCATGATGAAGATCCTGCAAGTGAAAATAAACATTCATCTTTAGTGCTACATCCAGGAAAAGTCAAATTTGTCAGCTTCAGTTTCATTCCACTACTTTCTGATATTGGTACAAAATTAGAGGTGATTATGGCTTTTTTGATAATTTTTACCTCCTGGAAGAAGTTTCATGTGACTGATGCTTTTAGAAAATCACCCAATGTTTACTTCCTGGTGTTTGCTTACTGGAATGGTGTCTTGTAACTGTCCCTTTCGAGAAATGCACCCAAATTCTACTTCTTAATGTCAACTTCCTGGTATTAGCTTCCTGGTGTTAACTTCCTGGAAGTAATGTCCCGTGTTCTTTGTAAATGAGCCTAAAATCGACTTTCCGTATCGTTTTGAAATGAATTTCGAAATGTTTAAAATGTCACACTAAAGGCTTAATTCATTTTGAATTACCTTTACGCTTCAATCATTTCAAATTTGCTTCAGACACTAGAAAATGAAATATTTTTGTCTTTAAATCATTATCCACATTAAATTCTTTGCATAAAGATTACGTTTTAGCAATGGCAACAAACGCCTCAATCATTTTATGCCGTTTCAAAGAAGCAGAAGAACGAGAAAGCTCTGTTCTCTGTCATCAATAAAGGTTAAAAGAAATTTTGAAAGTGGTTCAATGTCCTCTCATTGAAGCCATGTATGCCCAAACCAAAAAGGAGAATTGCTGATATGTTTCCGAAATAACTATAATTAAATAATAATTTCTTAAGGGTTGAGATTGATGGTTCAAAATTCACCTAAATGTATCACTGAACTAACCGTTCTTCAATACACAGGGCCTATAAGATACATAGATACTGCTATTTTATGAATTGTTCCCTAAAATATTTTAGTCTATCTGCCCTAATGCCATAACTTAAATTTTATATTACTCTTCAGGTAAAGCAAATCCTATTGAATCTTGGGAAGAAAGTTATCTTGAAATGGGATAGTGCAGGGGATGACGCAAACTTCCAAGGTGCTGAATATCAAAATATGACGTCTGGCAGGGTACCAGTTTCCCGTAACCGAGCTGGAGATGTTCGTTGGGACTCTGTACAGATCCACCCCGTAGCTGAGTGAGTCACAGCTCTCTCGTTTACTTTGCCTGGTAACACCAGGACAGTCTGTCTCTTTTGAGTTTGTTGTGGCCTAAGCACTGTGGGATTGGTCGTCCTCTTTCGAATTTGCATGCCAGCTCGATTGTGTTTTAATTTAGGTCTTTCCTTGTCAGTTTGTACGTCCTGAGTATCATTGGTACCGTCACTAATCATTGATTGCTATGTATATTTCTAATTAAAACCAAACAGCTAATTCAGTACACAATCAAAAGGCTTTGGTTTAGGTTGTTGTTATCTTTATTGATTAAAAATGGCATTTTGCAGCAATTGAGCAAATGCCGCGAAAACCCTTCGGATCTTCTACTAAAAACGTTTCCTACAAGCACAGTGCAGTGGTATTTGCTCGGAGATGGGAGGGGGGGGGGAAGGGGGAGGGAGTTACCTTAATAGGTTTTGAGAGACAGGATGTGCCATTATTTAGGGGTACCTTTTTCTGAAAAGGGCGGAATTATGGGTATCAGTTTTCTAAATATATGCGAAATTTTGGGTACCATTTGATGTAATGTGTATAATTATCGGCACCATATTGGGAAAATATTGCAAAGTTGTTTGGGAAATTCAGCATTAACAAAATAAATGTCCAGTTTGAAATGAAGGTATGAGGGTAATATTGAGATTTTTGGGCAAAGAACATACACAATTTGTCTGATGATTTTGTTGTTGATTATGGATTTAGTTTTCATCATGTTTGCGGAATTAGGTGTCACATTTTTCCGTCATGTGCGGAATTCTGGGTTAAAATTTTGAACCAAAATGGCACGCCCCCTTCCAAAACTAGGTTAAGTTACCCAACCAGTGGTATTTGTTCATGAATTCTAAACAGAAGTTTCATTGAAATCTTTGAAATCGTATGTACTGTAGTGAGTTTTGTATATATTTATTTTTTCATGGCTAACTATGAAATTTTCTTCCTGTTTGTTTGCTAGGCGATCTAATGAAATACTTGAAACTGAGAACTTTCAGATTTGTTTTCCTGAAATTGAATTCCGCTATATAATTCAAAAGCTGTCCTCAGACAATGTATTCCCTTGGTCATTCAACTAAATTTACTGACCAGACTTTAGATATTTGCATGCATTCATATTTTAACTATTTATATTATATTAATGTATATAATTATAATTATGATTATGATCTCTGTTTAGGCTGGTTCCACGAAAATGTGATATTTCGTTGGATTTTGTCCACGATCCACCCTTGTATGTCGGTGAATTCTATCAAGTTGTTGTCGACGTCACAAATAATGAAAAGTTTGAAATATCCAATGTTTGGTAAGTTTTATCTTTCAACGAGAGATTTGTATAAGTTGAAACTAAGTCCTGGTTACTATCTTATGTTTGTTGCTTTTTGTTTGTTTGTAACACTAGATCTTACAAATATTAGAAAACATTGTTTTATATGGCATTGGACATTTACCTCAGTGTTACAATTTGAAACTAAGATTTACAATCTAAACTTTGAGTTACAATTTGAAGCTAAGAATAGAGTTGTGTAAGCCATAATTTGAATCTAAGTGCTACAATTCAAAAACTTATTGGTAAGGCGTGTGGCTCCACTGTCCACTTTAGAATCTTTGCTTCAGACAGAATTGAAGTTTTGGAGAGACGTTTGGCTAGCCCTCTTTTATCTTGATGTGATTTGTTAGGGTTGTTTTGTGCGGTAGTCATGTGGAAAAAACAAAGGAAAGTTTATTAAGCAAAGTACTGTTTCTTTGTTGATTAAACAAAACTCGTTAAAGCAATTAATGGACAATAGACCTAAAAGCAGAAGTGGCTGTTGGTAAGGCATAAGATTTCATTTTCAGTACTGTATATACAGTAGAAAAAAGCTCCTGTTAACCAATGCCAGTGACGAAAAAAAAATTTAATTAAAATATTTTCCTCATCATTGTGTTGTTTTGAAAAATTAATAACCGCTCAATTTTATTTTGGTGTACTTAACTCATCTCTAACTAGAAATTACGATGCGTTTAGCCTTTAATTTGGTTTTGGCTTAATGTGTCTCTCTATATTTTCAGTGTCAATATGAATCTGAAAGTGGATGGTGAGGAAAAAACTTCAAGTAAGGCCTAGATCATGTTCTTTCTTCTAAAGCTCTTTTTATGACTTCAGCCCTTGAATTTGATCTCTTGACACTTGATTTTACTTGTCTAGACTAAATTTGCAGATAGTAAACCCGGGTACCATTGATTCTCGATAATTTATGATTGATTATTTCATTGATTTTATGGGTATTCCTATGAGACTTGGTCCCCTCATTGCCTTGTTTAAAGTGCCACTGAAATGATTTGGGGCTCATAAATCGGGATTTTCAGGGGTCTTTGACGATTGACGTATTGGGCTTTGCAGAGTCGACTCAGTCACAGTGAAACAATTTTGATTTTTTCATTTCATCGCTTTCATCCATAGATGAATCTATACTGACAACAAAGGGTGTTCGTGACTTTCAAATTTTGTTCTAGGCCGCCTGCTGAAATCCCTTACCAGTACAGAAAGTCCCCAGGACGAAGAATCAGAAGTCACTTTTGATATAAACAATCTTGCACCAGGAGAAAAGGTTTGTGAATGCTTCACGAAGAAGTCATTGAAATAGAATGTACTGTTCGAACATTGTCTTATTTTGAATGTTCTTTGAATTTATTGAAACTTTGAAACATCAGTTAAGGTAAGAATGTAGCGAATGACTTTTCGAGAAATTTTGTTAGATCATCCAAGTTCATATTTTTCAATCAAAGTGACCGTCTTAAGCATTTTATGCGGATATAAGTATTTATCTGTCATTTTTACGGAAGCTTACCTTGTTTAATGAAATCTTGTACTCTTGCTTCTGATGATATCACCATGGAGATATATTTTGCGTCTGTTTGTATTTGATTTTGTTTCTACCTAGCATCAAAAGGTAGTTTTCAGTACAAAAAGAAGCTATGCTTATCGAGCTATCCTGGTCCTTCCTCTCGATGTGACCAAAGCTACCTTAACGATGGTTAAGTGAAAGGAACTTTTGTTGCATTTTCTCTAACAAATGTTTTTAGGATATTTCAATCATTTGGATCAGTACTCACAGGTGTTTTGTCAAAAACAATTTCAAAAAAAAATGCAGATTCTCTTTATCTTCTATTTTGCAGGCCTCGTCTTGCGTATATGTCAATGGTCTGCAAGAAGGAGAAGAACATATTACTGCTAAGGTACAGCATGTTAAAATTGTAGATTGTTTTGCCAGGTAACGTATATTTCTTCATGATCAAATGAAATGGCTTAACTGCATATCCAGTTGTGATCTGTAGTACTTTGTTCACGTTGATTTCATGTCAAATTCTTACAATTTACCAGAGGTATCCATTTGAAGGGAAGAGTTTTTGCCCCGATTAATAAGAAATTCGATGCAAAAAATATTTCAGATCAAATTGCTTAATTTCGACAACATCGACAAGAATCCTTCATGAAATTGATTTCTTGCCCTCTCATTCCCACTCTGAATTTTTCATTAAAATAAAATATCCCTGAGAGTCTGCCTTTATTTCGTCCATTTGTATTTAAAGGATAATATCGATGGTATAAATAAAGTCTCTTTCATGGGTGCGGCTATCGCTTGTCAGCTGCATGCTTGTGTTATGCTACCGTATCGTTCTTGGAAAGGCCAAGATTTTATCAGTACTGTTCGTGTTTGAGTAGCTTACTTAAGTTGAATGTTTTGTTGTATTTTGGTTGTCAGCTTTTTATGCAATGATTAGAGAGTATCTGTAGCTGTTTCTCCTAATCATCTTTCCATTTTTGTAAGGTATTTTACCTTGGCTTGGCGTCGCCAAAGGGGCTATAGGGGGCGCTGTACCCCCAACACGTTGTCCATCGGCGCATAAAGGATTTTTGCCGGGCAAAAGAAAAACTTTTTTCTCACCCGGCAGTATAATTGTAACATTTTCGAAACAGTTGCAACGTATCATATTTTCTGTAGCAGTTGAACTTTCAAAGTATGGCACTGAAGTATTAATTTCGAAATAGAAACGCATAGAAGCAGCATGTCAGATAATTAATCCTATGACCACGCCATTTTTGTCGGCAAATATCATTTCTTTATACATCCGTCCTTGAATGGGGGTAGTCATAAGTGCTTTTTTAACAATAATTTGAATAAATCTTGAATTGTTAGTGTCTTAAAATTTTCCACTACAATGAAGAGAAACAACCCTCATAGCAAAGAAACTTTTCTAAAATTTTATTTATAGATGACAAAAATTTTTTCCAGTTTGTAGTAAATTTGACGCTATTTAATTTCAGGTCACATACGAGATTGTTGTCCCTTGTGGAGATTCTGACCAAGATGTCACCTGTCAGTGTGCTAAGGTAAAAGATGTTTGATTATTGCCATGAAGATTAAATTTTACACTTTTAGGAGCAAATGTTTTCCTAAATATCACTGTGTATTCCAACTGCTATAGAATGCCGCTGCCATCGTTTGTCTTATCGACCGTGCCAAGATCACAGAGCCAAAGAGAGAGACAAGTACTGTGACGATAAACATGATAACAAACTGTACTGAACTTAGCATGCAGAAAAACATATTTGTGTACAAATTGAGTCTCTAAGATACACATGAACTATCGGAAGGGCAATTTAAAGTGCTGAGTTAAGTTTATTACGCAGCTAAGGGAGAGTAAACAATAGGATATAAAGTGTGACGTCACCAAAGTCTATTGTTAGAATTTCTTAATTTTGACCACATAATCTAAAAGAACAGCAAAAAATACGTCTCATTATGCAAAACTAGCAAATGTTCCAAATTGGGCGAGAAATGGCTTATGAAAGAGTTCAAGTTTGCCAACAGAGAAATAAATACAAAATTTTTCAGCGGATAGAATTTCAGACATTAAACTTCGGTGAAAATATTTTCGGACATATTTTTGGCATTTAGGACAAAAAAATTTTTAGGACAATTGTTAACCAGTTTTTTGGATGTTTAAAACGAAACCACGTCATTTTATCGACTCAAACTCTTGAGAAATTTGCAAATTTGATAATGTTAAAAAGTTTCAGCGCCGTATTGGCCAAAATGTTTGGTTTTAAAAAAAAGTATTTTAGAACTAACACCCCTCTCAACGAAGTTCTCTTCTGAGCTCATAGTTTCTTAAACAGAATGCCGAGGAAGGAACACTTTTGATGTTATGATCATTCAGTTCTCAATGGCACTGTTATTGTTGAGTCGGAAGAAACAGAGATAGGAAACGAAACAAACGACTGTGACAATGAGAACGACGATGTTGTTTGTTTTGACTGATTTTTCTATTTGCTTGGATAACCATCTGTTTTCAAACGTTTTGCAGACCTACTCATGTTTAAAGATTTAACCTTAATCCTTTAATGAAAGTATAGTATAAAGTATAGTGTAAGTATAAGGATCGAAATGTATAAGACCAATTCTAGTACCAAAGGGTGGTCTAGAAATTTGCTGTCTAGACAGGGATTTTTTTCCAATAAACTGGCGGAGAGGACTGCCGGAATTTTTACTTGTTTCCACTTCCAATACCTTAAAATTTTGAAGGGGTGTCCAAAAAAATTCTCCCCAGATGTCACGTGACCGATGACGTAAATAGTAACGGTCAGAAAAAAATGAAAGTCATCAAATTTAGAAACAAACCAAATTCATCGAAAGAGTATGCAAAGCTGTGAAAAATGCTTAGAAACTTATATTCTAAAATCATTGAGTTGAAAACTGTCACGTGTCAAAGTTATGTTGACGTTATCATATGTGCAAGTCACAATTACGGGAAACTGGTAATTACTGCCATTTTTGACTTCGATTATTTATATTATTAGAGGAATTATTGTGATTTTACATTATTTTAGATTATCGATAGCTATTTATAAGCCCTTAGTTCAATTGGCGTTCAATCTCAATCATGAAAGAAGACTTCATTTATTGTAGCTTCATTTTTTGCTAAATGTCCTTGCTAACACTATCATAAGACTGGCAAGTCGCTAGTTTGTGATGCATAGTAAATGTTCTGTTCGATTCTAATAGTCTCTGATGGTCAGTTATAATTCCTCTAAACAGGAAGAATCTCTTGCTGTTAAAGTCATGTCTCCTTTGTCTGTCAGCTACCAGTTTTACAACATGCAGGTAAGTTCTGTTTTAAGGATTGTTCCATTTTTAGGAACACCGGTGTTTTTAGGACCGTCTTGTTCTTTGGACTATCCAGTTCTTAGGAATATAATGTAGGATCGTTTTGTATCTTCCTGGTCATACGACCGTTCTGTTCTAATGATTGTTCTGTCTTTAAAAACACCGGCGTTTCTCGGACCGTCCTGTTTCTATGACTGACCTGTTCATAGGACCGTTCTGTTCTAAGAATTGTTCCATTTTTAGGAACACCGGTGTTTTTTAGGACCGTCCTGTTTCTATGACTGTCCTGTTCTTAGGCCCGTCCAGTTCTTAGGAAGATCCTGTAGGATCGTTCTGTCCCTTCCTGTTCATAGGACCGTCCTTTTTGTGAAGCCGTCCTGCTCTACGCACCAAAGCTATTGCATCTTAATCAGTCACTTAAAACCCTTCTGCATCAGAAGCAGCCAATCCCTGAATTCTTTCTCCATCAAGAGCAGCTATCTTCCAGCTTGAAAATTTCCGATTTGTTTGAGAATGATTTGTTTATAATTTTAATAACTATGTTGTTAAATTTTTCTTATTTCAAGTTTGAGGTGATCGACAAAGTCAACGCCAAAGAACCATTTTTGTTATTCTGTAAGCTTGGTAGTGCACCTAGATGGCCTATTTTGATCCAATCAACGTACTTCGACCTGGTATGACGTTTTACGGATCTTTTATCAGGATCTATTTACTATTTTGATGTGTGATATATTTTCTTTCCGACTTTATTGATAATTGCATTTAGAAGTTTTGTTAGTATGTTGTAATCAAAAGCCGAGGGGCAATTCACTTATGCAAATAGCGTACGAGATTTTCCCTAAAACAAAAGGATTTCTGGGAATTTTCATTTAAAACAATAGGATTTTCACAAAGGGTGTACGAGATTTTCTTGGAGCAATCGCTCGTTTTATCGTTATTGTCTTTTTTTAGAATGGAAAAGTTTTGCGTAAAAATGGCGATGTCGATGGTCATTTGAATGATAGTAAGTTTCACAAAAGATTGGTTGCAACCTTTGTTGTATTTCGTATTTTAGATTCATCCAAACATTGATTGAGTTGTTTTGTTTTCTTAATCATTTTTTTACTGAAAACACATACAACAACAAGATTCATTGATTTTAAACCAATCTTTCTTCCCAAATATAACGTTTGCGGTCTTCATTCACATTGTAGGTGTAGCTTCGAGCATTGTCAATAGAAAAGTTTTTTCTATTGAGTATGTTTCGAGGATATCATGAAATGCACCGATAAAATGAATGCTAAAATCGTGATTGGTTGATTAACGATTGAATGATTGATTGATTGTTTCGGTAACTTGTGATTTGAGCCGATGATTTGACGAGATCCCGTGTGTTATACGGCAAATTATATGTCCCGTGTGTTATGGGACCAAAGGCAATGGCCCTAGAAAATTATACACACTCATATTCGAGTCAAAATCACCTGGAAAAAGTATTTTTCGACTAACTGGGTTACCATATTTATTTGCATTAAATTGTTTCATTTTCATGAACATGTATGTGTCAAAAATACTTTGATGCGAATAGTAATACTAAAATACTAATGTTGCAATAAAGTTAGAACTAATAGATGTGGAAATTTCACTTAATTTTCTTTAGAATAGGCAATTAATTTAAATGTTTCATAAAAGTCTGTCTTCGCATAATAGCCATGCTGATAGCGAAGATACGAATAATCTCGGAAACGACACACAGTTTTCGTCGTTTTCTGATCACATCTGTTCTGCTGTTGATTTCTGATTTCCTCGTTGATCATTCACGTCAATTCAATTTCAGTTGAGATCTCTGAAGGCAACGAAGCCACTGAATGTCATTGCCTTGTCACTTCCGCGGATTCTTGCCGGGATGAAGTGGTTTCGTTTGGTGACTTTGTCATTGAATGGAAAAGGTACCATTTTTTGTTTAAGAAACAGTAGGAGATTGAAGTTCATGCTGGTAATTCTTATTTTTGCCAGAACTTTGAGGCTGGGTTGTTCTTAATTTGTTCTTGAATTATAATTGTGTAAGCAGTGCATTTGCTAAATATTGTGCCCAAAGGGGATGTTTGTGCTCAAGCCATCTCTTGTTTTTCCAAGGGATTTCACAGTTTTATTCCAAGCTATATCTTACAGTATCACAGCCTAAGCTTGTTCAAATTTGTTCTTAATTTTTGACCAATTTTGAGGCTCTTATGCTTACCTATTTGTTTTTATAAAAATGTGTACAGGATTTTTATGCAATTCTCCAGAGCTTGGCTTTGATACTTAAAAGAAATAGTTTATTGTTGTTTAATGTGAAAGCGCAAAGAAAAGATTGAAATTTTACTTATAGAAAAATGATGATTCTTTTTGGTATATTTTTTTAAACGTCGTTGCTCCTTGTGATTGCCATTTAATATAGCGAAGGCTTAATATAAGCTAGTCAGTTTTTCCTTGTTCGAACTAACCCATGTAAACCCTAAACCTTAAATATAACTTGATGGCCTAGAGTTACAAAGGAAATTAAAATAGACAAGAAAAGTTGTTTTTTCCCCACCCGAGAGCCGATGCACCAGTCTTACCTTTAATACCTAGGGTGTTAGAGGGGCAGAGAAGCACAACTTACTTAAGGTGTCTTTACTAAACAGTAACATAAAGAACTCTAAAAAGATAACTCCAATCCCTAAAAATTATCAACGATTCGAAGAATCATACTTTGCTTTATACCAAAAAAAAGGAGGGACGTGCTAACTAAACGGCTTGGAAAGAGCATTTCAAACAGGCAAGATAAGCCACTTGAATTCACCCAGTTGAGCCAATCGACAAGACTTTTGTGCTAAAACCCAAATACTTACTTCGTTATTATTTTCGATTACCACGTGATATTAATTCCGGTAAGATTTAGTTTTATTACCATATAAAGTTTGCTTTTAATTTTGTTGATGGCAGTTGTGTATAACACTTTTGGTAAAGCCATTGAACCCTGTTGGAAGAGTCCCCAATGGTTTAGCAATCACCGCCTCGCCACTTTCCTAATATCTAATTTTTTTCAAAAGCAGTTGATTTTCAAGTAATTTGAAATTTTGTTGGCTGCCTATGTCACCTTTCTACGATAAACCATATTTTCTAGAACGGACTCCAGTATTAATATGCCATGGGTGACAACCAAGGTTCCACTCCCAGATGTCGTTGTAGCCGAAGTGCCTATTTACATTGATACTCGTAAGGATTGAACTTCTTATTGCCGCAACTGTGTTGATTTATGTTGTTGTAATGGGCATAACACTTCTTTTCTTGATTTTCAAATGAATAAAGGGACTGCAATCTTGACTCTGTTTACCATTTTTTCCACCGCTGTTGCGCTTAAGAAAGGAGATTGAACCTTTCCTGTTTTTTTTTTAAATAACTGTTTGCATTTGATATACTTTGGTACTCTGCAAGCAATAACTGCGATTCCATCTATATAAACATATATTTATCAATACAGAACACATGCTGCTTGTATGTCCTTTACATAACTTCTAATAACGTTTTTGATGTAAAGATCAGGACGGTTCCAAGTTGCTACTCCAAGTTTGATGCTTAATGCGATCATTAGGCACAGCTCTGCCTAAACTACATCGAGCACTTTATGACAGACCAGGAAACGGTGATTTCCATAAATTTCTGATCAAATACAAATTCAAGAGGCAAAATTCTGCTGTCATTAATAGCTCAGGAAAGTAATAGGCTTTTTTATGCGACACCCAAGCAGGCTTTGAAATTTTTGGTGTTGTCTTGTCGTATTTATAGGCTTACTTTACACGATTTTACAGGAATACCTTCATGTGGGTGTGTGCAAGAAGCTCTTCCAGTGACCTACAAAATTTACAATCGAACAGACATGGTGCAGGAAGTTGAAGTGGAAATCGAGCCGAGTGAGGCTTTTATGTTTTCTGGTAACAGACAGGTAAGATTTTGTGCCCATATAGACTTGTCTTCGTATATAAAATTGATTAAAAAAAGGTAACGAATAAAGGTAGTTGTTTGTGCTGTGTAAAGCGATTCATAATCTACACCTATTTTTAGCTTTCATTTTTATAAAAACCAAATAACAGCTGCTCCTCTTAATACAATGATATGACACCTTTCTCGAAAGAGCATGGTACTAGGTGGTTATCTGACTCAGCGCTGAAAATTGGCCATTTACGGTAAGCTTAGTGTAAGTTATTTTGCTACCTGTTGATGTGCATCAGTTAAAGGCAATGCGTCGCTCCGTTCGTTGGTAATTGTTTGTTGAATTTTGAGGTTCCTCGAAATTAGAGAAACGTGACAGATAAGTACAACTGATCAATAGCAAATGTTCCAAACCGATATGACACCAGGATCATATCGTTCCAGGGAGGGTCATATTGGTTTGGGCAAGAAAAAATAACTCGAGGCTTTTGTAGCGGTTATCATGGCCCCGAAGGCGCTCATCGTGGTTTTGCGGGCAATGTGAATGAATGTTTTCTGATTACTCAACGAAATGAATCGAAAGCCGCGTTAATCATGACGAAGGAAGATCAGAAAGAAGAGTATGCCCCGCCATATGGGACAAAAGTCTATTATACAAAATATATGGTGTGATTGTAAATATATTGTTTAAATCTAATATAAATTTGTTGTACAATTCATATCGACGTTACTTCATGTAACTTAAAGCGTGTCCACTTGACATTTATAAATTGTTTTCGGAAATTTCAGAAATATAAGGTCTGAATTTGTTTGCAAATATATAGGGTCTAAGCGCAAACTATATGTGCAATGACAGTTCCCGCCAAAACATATTGTGCCTCCAACTTGTGAATTTGCTAATTTCCAACTTGTGACCTTACTCTCTAAAATCGGATCTGGTTTGCTCGCACAACTTGGTCTGCCTTTGAGTCGGCCAACAAAATGGCTTCTTTCACACGGAATTTGTTTCCACCGTTGCCATTGTGGTGGAAGCTTGAGCAACGACTTCCCCGAGAAAACGGGCTAGTTTATGGTATTGTGGGCACAAAGCTAAGCCATTTCATGCTTGTATTGGAAGCATTCGCAGCCATTTTGTGCAACGTGCAATGTGTAAATCGAGTCAGATTTGGCGGGAAATGTCACTACGAATATCGTTCACGCTTAGACCTTATATATTTGCAAACAAATTCAGACCTTATATATTTGCAAACAAATTCAGACCTTATATATTTGCAAACAAATTCAGACCTTATATATTCGCAAACAAATTCAGACCTTATATATTTGCAAACAAATTCAGACCTTATATATTTGCAAACAAATTCAGACCTTATATATTTGCAAACAAATTCAGACCTTATATATTTGCAAACAAATTCAGACCTTATATATTTGCAAACAAATTCAGACCTTATATATTTGCAAACAAATTCAGACCTTATATATTTGCAAACAAATTAAGACCTTATATATTTGCAAACAAATTCAGCCCTTATATATTTGCAAACAAATTCAGACCTTATATATTTGCAAACAAATTCAGACCTTATATATTTGCAAACAAATTCAGACCTTAAATATCTGAAATTTCCTACCACAATTTATAAATGTCAAGTTGACACGCTTTAAGTTAGGAGAAATAATATGCCCCGCCATATGGGACAAAAGTCTATTATACAAATTATATGATGTCATTGTAAATATATTGTTTAAATCTATTATAAATCTGTTGTACAATTCATATCGACGTTATTTCCTCTAACTTAATGCGTGTCCACTTGACATTTATAAATTGTTGTCGGAAATTTCAGATATATAAGGTCTGAATTTGTTTGCAAATATATAAGGTCTGAATTTGTTTGCAAATATTTAAGGTCTGAATTTGTTTGCAAATATATAAGGTCTAAGCGCGAACAATGTGCGCAGTGACATTTCCCGCCAAATCCGTCTCGCTTTACAGTTAACACATTTTACATTGCACAAAATGGCTGCGAGGAACATTGACGAGTTGGTTGGGAATATTATTCCCCATCCTTCTTTTCAGAAAACTTTAAATAATGTATTTAGGGCTTTGCCTTCCACTGCTGAAGTAGCAACGGCTCGTGCTGGAGCTCAACAGCTCCGACGAGACCCATATTGAATGACCGGCAGCAATTTAATAACGCGCAAGAAGAATTTTCCTCGATTTTTCGACGAGGAAACTCTTTAGACAGCCGCCAAAGATTTCCCCGTGGGAGAAATTTTGGGCGCAATGCTTATAGTACTAGCATCAGACGGCCTAGTTCTGTGCCCGCAACCCCATACACTCGCCCAACTTCTCGGGGAAGTCGTCGCGCAAGCTCCCAGAATGGCAACGGTAGAAGTAAATTCCGTGTGAAGGAAGTCACAAGTTTCCAATAGTTGAGCTACTGTATGCCATGAATTGTGTATCTCAAACAGGTTCGCAATTTCTTCCTTCTCTAATAATTTTCTAGGTCTGCCACAGGCACCTTCATTGTGCTCTTCAGGGCACCTAACAGAGTGTGCAGTAATTTTTGGTATGTAGCTTTCATCAGTAAAGATGTTACTCTCAACTTAATTGTGTAGATTACAAATTTCTACAAAAAGCTCTCTTAGATACACACACAAACTTTCAGGTGTTTCTGTCGCACATTCACACCTCCTTATGAAAACGCTTAAAACATGTAAAAATTCTTGCAAACGTCTATTCCAAAATTCGAGCATATTCAAATTACTAGTGAAAGCTTGTCGTCGAGTCTGAGATAGTTGTCCAGGAAGATCAACCAGAAACTGTTGAAAGTCAACTTCGAATGACATAATTAATATTCGTTGGTATTGCTTAGGCCAGTCTTTTGCCTCTGGTGCTCATAATTGGCGGGAAATGTCACTGCGCACATTGTTCGCGCTTAGACCTTACATATTTGCAAGCGAATTCAGACCTTATATATTTGCAAACAAATTCAGACCTTATATATTTGCAAACAAATTCAGACCTTATATATCTGAAATTTCCGACAAAAATTTATAAATGTCAAGTGGACACGCATTAAGTTAGAGGAAATAACGTCGATATGAATTGTACAACAGATTTATAATAGATTTAAACAATATATTTACAATGACATCATATATTTTGTATAATAGACTTTTGTCCCATATGGCGGGGCATCAAATAACGTCGATATGAATTGTACAACAGATTTATATTAGATTTAAACAATACATTTACAATTTACAATACAATCACATCATATATTTTTTACAATAGACTTTGGTCCCATATGGCGAGGCATAGAAGAGCACAAAAAAAGCTTCAACAAGTGGTTGTCTATGTTTTAGGCCGTCGTGCCAATTTACTCAGCTTTTACCCCACTTATGTTATGGGGTTGCGAACTCCGAAGTCGTCTAGTATAGGCAGGAACAACGCCAGACCTCAAGGAGCAATCCAAATATAGTTGATAAACCAAACTAAACAAAACGATATGACCCTGGGGTCATATTGGTCCGAAGGGTCATCCTGGTCTGGAACACAAGTAAGAAACGTCCTTTGTTACGAAATGATAAACCAATGTTCTTTGTTTTGATAAACCAAGGAACGGCGCAACGTTCTGCCTTTAAAAAGTTAACAATTTTGTTTTCTAGATCCAATTCCGCATCCTACCACATGGTTCTCACGTTCTAAATTACAATATGTACCCAACCACGCCAGGCAACGTAGACATACCTAAACTGCACATCAGCTTGCCGCGATACCTAAACAAAAGCGTCGACACGATAGCTCAAAAAATGCTACCGTCATCAATTTTCGTCACGGTAAGTGCCTTCACTGCTTTGGTTTTATTGTTTCTCGCTCTTTCGGAAATACACTCTTTTTAATAAGAACAATTTTTTAAGAACACGAGCCTCAAAATAAGTTAAAAGTTAAGAACAAATTAAGAACGAGCGGAGGTTGAGCTACTGAAAAATGCAATTTTGAACAACGTTTTATCTCAAAAAACGAGGATTTTTAGCCATGTTTGGGTGCTTTTTCGGTGAATATTCAAACGACACATGGAGGTTCTCTCGCTCACTTTGTCGACAAATGAGGCCTGAGCACCTCCCTAGTGCGAAAAAACTAGCAATCGCACTGCTTACACCCTATTAATTTGAGAACAAATTAAGAACAAGCCAGCCTCAGATTTGTAAACAAATTAAGAACAGTCAGCCTGAACTTAAATTCGTGGGTTCTTATAAAAAAGAGTGTAAGGTATAATATCCTGCGTAAACAGCTTGATTAAATGAATTTTAATCGCATTTAATATGAGACAGGGTACGCCTTGGGCTTTTGTTTTTGGTACAGGTAGCACGATTGTGAAGTTTTGTGCGAACTATAGCAGTGCTCGAGTGAGCATTTCGTTGTTGCCACTGGTAGAATCAGTACTTTTGACTTTAATTTCAACACTATATTGTGGCAATGTGCCGTGCTCAAATAGCTTAGAATGCCTAGATATGTTATATAATATACAGTTTTCGTGTTCCCTTTTTAGAGAAACCGTTCTAGCTTTCCTTTTTGCTGGTTTTCTGTTCGCTATTTAAATCTGTATATATATATATATATTATCAGCGATATCCTTGCTTGCTTCCGTAGCCAGGTGTGGTACACATTCCCATTGCCAAAATTTTCTGGAAGCATACATTGGTTTCTATGTAGTTCAGACAATTTGCTGGATACTTATTTTATTACGTCTCCGTTCATAGTCATAGTTACCCATGTAGATTCAGTTTTGCCCGTTCTTTCCTGCAGAAAGACGTTATTTTGGTTTTTTGTGGAGTAATCCACAAAAAGGTTTGCACACCCCTTCAAGTGACGCCCTTGATTATATAAAGTCCTTCCGTTTCTGTGTTGTGTCATTTATGTTCAATATCGATCACACGGCAATCAGATTCACCAGCTGTTGTATTTTATAATTATATTTCCTATTTCATCGCAGCCTATGAAGGTGAAGACAGTAGAATGAGCATGGGACCTGAAAAATTTGACCAGCGAAAGAATGATCGCATCTGCTAAGTATTTTGATAAACAATGTTTTTGGAATTATTCCTTATTGACTATAAAGTATAATTTATACCAATTAATTTTCGTAAATTATGCAGATTTGATTTGGGTGGAATTGTAAAGCTTTTTTTGCTTTGAGAGAGTTGTCCTTTTTCGTAAAAGTTTTATTCGAACTCTATGAGAGACCGGTACAACGTTGAGTTTCATCAGCACACATATATATACCTACACATGAAGTTGTTAAAAAATTGTCTGTAAAGGCTTTGTGGCAGATCTAGGCTATAGTTCCAAATAGGTCGCTCTCCTGGAAAAACCACCGCGAGACTCAACACTCTACCATCGGCTGAAATCGTAACGAGAACCGTTATTTGAGATTTCTTATTTAAAGAGATTTGATAGGCATGTGACACCCCACGCTCAACTACTACCTTCCTGATTGTACCGGCTTGCAAAGGGAAACCACTTTTGTCACAATTGAATACTTGATCCGCGGAAGTAATGTCAAATTCCTTCGGTGCGTTTAGGGCCTATGTCTTTAACAGAGAGATTACTCATTGGGCGGATCACAAACCACTTGTCTCAAATGTCAGCAAGCCATTTGCATCTGCTTTGAAGAAACTGCAAAGGTTGTTACTAATATTGCAATCATACGATGTTAAATCTGCTATAAAGCTGGCAAAGACATTGTCCTACCAGATACACTCTCTCGTGCATACTTGCCGACAAGTGAGAGACAAAAGTCCGCAACTGAAGAAGAAGTAGAAACTATCTGACAAAACTTTTGATAGTTTACTTTAACAGATCCTAAGTAGTAGCACTTCTTTTTGACTAGGAACCTTGAAGAATGAAAGCTGAAATCAAATTTATATTTAACAGCAATAAAAATTGATTCGCACTAAATGTAGCTACTGTCCTTTTAGCAACATGGAGTAGGCTAGCAAAGGTGTCACTGCTGCTGGCAGAACAAATGGTTCAAGAATGCATGGTGCTAGCTGATCATAACAAATTCAAATCTTTAGCATTTTCTTACTTTTTAATTAAAAGAAGAGATGGAAGTCTAAAAGTGCCGCAGCTTCTGCTAAGAAGTATTTTTGCAAGCTTCGACAAGCTGAAGAACATCAGAGTTTTAGGATTTTATCGGGAGACAAAAAGGTCTTTCAACAGTTGAAGGCATATGTAGAAAAAGCCAACACTTCTCCATGCCTTAATGTAGTTACAGGTGTGAGAGTCGATCAGTTTTCCCCTTTACGCAGAGCAGCTAACGGACAGTATAAACCCCGTTTTTCCAGAAAAACGAAAAAAGATATTCAGCTGATTTTTGTTGTAAATAGTAGCTACAAGTATGGTGATATCTGTAATAGGAATTAGATCCTGTTTCCATTTATATTTGAGGCGACTGGGCCCTTTTTCTTATCTTCAACCTTCTCGCGAACGCGAATCTGAATCTGATTCTGCAGACACGAAAGTCATTTTCAACAGCTTCTTCAAAAACTGGTGTACTGTTTCAAGGTGCTCTGAGAAACATTTCTTAGTTGCACTGCAATCTGTGTTTGGGTGAGCCGCAATTCCCATATTTCTTAATGTTTCTACTCCCCTACTTGAAATCACTAGACCCTTAAGTGTTCTTGCAGTAGCAACTTGGAACCAATTTGCCTGTTGGGACTGACCATACATAAGGGTGTATATGAAACAGTCCTTCTTTTATTAAGTATTTTATTTTCTTTGATTGCCTTTCAGTTGTCATAACATCCATTATTGCTTGGAATATTTTTGTTGCCCCTGCTTTCATGCACAACTCTCTAAATTCTGTGGGCTCGGATATTGGGTTACCACTACTACCAAATTTATCTTTGCATGGTTCCCTGACCTTTCTATTTTCTTCATTTATGTTGCAGTAGTTTTTAGCCTTCTCTATCAAATTTCCAAACCGTAACTTAGTTAGAATCACATTGTCATTGTTATCAAAAGTAACTCTCCAACTTCTTCATAATACATTTTCGTGTAATTTTCATTTTCTTCTGTTTCTTGTGAACTAAGCAACAATTGCTGGCTAGGGCAGCTTAATGTCTCAGTTCTTTCTGATTCAGTCTCCATCAATTCATCACAGTCATCTTTATTATGTTGTCTTTGAGTTGTCTTATTTTCTCCCTCTTTCTTCTCTTCTTCTGCCTTTGCTTCTTCTATCATCTCTTCTTCTGTCTCCACCTCTTTTATCCTCTTTTCGTTCTCTCCATCACTTTGTGGCTCCTCATCAATTAGTTGCTGCTGTAAAAATGTGTTAAATATAAAATTTAGTTCCATGTAAAGCCTTATTGGCTACAAGTAAAAATTTAAAACATGTAGGATAAATTTGTTGTCATTCTTTTTGTCGCCTTTCTTGCCTAAAATTATCTGTTGTTGGGGAATTTTCTTTGCCGTAGGTTGATAGTTACATAAAGTATTATCTTGAAAGGTCAAGAGAAATTGCAGTTGAGGTGCATATGACTAAACGACTAGATACATAATTTGTGTAAAGTTATGAGCAGTCAAATATGTAAAACAGACATAAGTATGTTAAAAACAAACATACAGACATGCTGTAGGAATTTCCTTTTTATTTCATGTCGTAGATGCTTTGTAAAATCTCGTTTCAATGGTGCAAGCTCTATACATTTCGTGCAAACACGGACAACTTTGTGGGCCTTATCACCTCTCTCAAGAGCCAATTTCCTGAACGCTTGAAGATAACGATAAGATGGGATTTTATTATTAATAATTTCGTTTTTCTTGGTCCTACACCATTTAAAATGGTCAGAATTATAACAGAATTTGCTTACTTTCACCATCTCGTTCTCTCTTATCTAGTAAGTTTAGGCAACCGCGCCAAAAATCCCCAAGTTTCCTGCTAAAAAGCTCCCCGTATCCCAGGCCCCATACAAGACTGTTTTGTTGAGAAGTTTAGAAATGCGAAAAATTCTGGCGAGAATGATGTTTTGTTCAAGCACTATTACATAAGATAAAAATCAATTACTTTCGACTTTCCTTTGCTTTACTGCCTGAATTGACGGGGATTTGAAACTTTTGCTTCGAAATCCTTTTTCTGGCTGGCAGGGGCGGATCCAGACTGACTGACCCGACTCACGGAAGTCAGCCAACAATTTTCAATCTGTAGAAACGAAATGAAAAAAATTAGCTCTCAAACACATTTTTCTTAAGTCCCACAACAGCACAAAGATTTTCTTTAATTTGTCATATTATCTATAGCGCCTGTTCAAAATCATCAGATCTGTCAACTGTAGGTTCGAAAACTGTTCGACGAAATGATCTATCAATAAATTCTCCCATAGAAATTCACAGCTCAATGCATAAATCATTAGAACAAAGATGTTAGGGTTAAAACTCGCAATATCATTGGTAAGTCAGTCGAATAAATTAGGAATCTGCGCGGTCATCTTTTAACAAAGCTTTTCTGCACAATGTTAAAACGCTATTGTTCTCGTAAGTCAGTAGAGGCGATGTATGATCAATAAGGCAAATAATTTTTACAGGGGTCAGTATGAGAAATATTTTGGGGTCCAGGCGATGTATGGATTTTAAGACTGACTTCCACTGACTTACCACCATAGAAATAGTAGCGCTAGAATGCGTGGTCTATCACGTGACGCGTGCGAACTATGGGGAACCAAAATGGTAGCAACAAGTTGGCAAAAAATTACGCGGGAAATCACAGCGGACAGTATTGCCTACCCCTATCACCGTATACGCGCTTGAATTTCTAATTAATCTAATACACTGTTGCTAACATTGAATGATAATCGAACTTTGATAAAAGAAATGGTAGTGTCGCGTGCTGCTTTCGGCTGCCAGAATCGATGGATTCCTAAAAAAGACTTGCTTCCCGGTCAAACAAACATATCGTTCCACAAGTAAGTAGGCCCGTTGTGTGTACTGTGTTTCTCGTTATTCTTGATAGGAATTTGAATAGAAAAAAATATCTTCCAAAAATTCTATGATACTTTTATTAAGTATTCGAAATGATTTTCATTAATGATATTTCTACTATGTTTACAAACAGACAGTAGGTACATAAAATCGGGAGGGCAGTGAACCAAATTAAAAGTCATCTTATGGTTCGTGGCATTAATTCTTCAAAGAGGGTGCAATCGGGTGAATTTACTCGGCTGCCGAAGATAAATTCTCCTACAATTTCTTATATTGTAGCAAAATTTCCTAACAAACTTTGGTGGAAGGGGGACATATAACGTATTCTTATGTATTTCAGTAAATACATACTCAAATATGTGGAACCATACATCTCTTTATTTAATGAGTTAATGAGGAAATGCATAGATGGGTTAAAATTTCCATTCCTATTCTGTTTTTTTATACTGGATTATAATAAGCAGGGGTGGGGGGGGGGGTGGTTGCGAAAAACTACTGACCTGAAGAAATACCATGGTATGTCCCTATTGGGTACTTTTTAACAAATAACCTAATGCAAAAATATTGAAACAGCTCATAAGTGAAGGAATTAACCTCCTTGCTGAGAGAGAAGCTAAAGTTCATGCAGTCATCTTTGATGGTGCTCTTAAGAATGTTAGCATGGCTGAGAAACTTGGATGTGATATAAAAAACCTTTGCACATTATTTCCATATCCATCAAACCCCAGTGAAAATATCTTTGTAATTCTTGATACCTGCCACATGCTGAAGCTTGCAAGAAATGCCTTTTCCACCATCAAGATCTTTTGTACCCCAGGTGGACAAAGAATATCTTGGGAGTATGTTCTTGCACTCTATAGAACACAAAAAAATGACATACTATCAGTGTTGCAGCACAGACTTGCAATAACTTTTTTGAGAAATCTGGGGTTGCAAGAATTTAAGGACAGCAAAGCAAGCAGCGACTTCGTCCTTCTGATGAACAATATCTTTGATATGCTTAACTCAAAAAGCAAATTTGGACAGCATACAAAGAGACCTGAAAACAACAACGCTGTTTACATATATTAATTTGAACTGGAAAAAGTTGATTCAAAACTTCGGAATTTTGTCACAGACCTAACGGCTGGGATTTGATTTCAAGGTAATTTAAGCTAATTTTGTTATTAGTCTCGAATGCATCAAGTTTCAACAAGACTTTCTAGACACTGAATCGCGCTGTTGCTGACAATTTTGTTAACCAGTAACTTCCGCGTTTCTGTTGGCCAAAAACTTGAGGAATTTATTTAGTACTACTCAAAAATAATATCGCATACCCATTTATAATGGTTGAAGGTTGTCTAATGATAATGAACTTGAACTGAATAAAGCCATAATTAATTACTAAGCTGCCCTAGGAAAGGAAATTTGGTAAAGAAAGGAGTCCAAACAAAATACGAAGAAAAACCGTAAAACGACTCGCTGTGGCGTATGGAAAAAGTAAAAACGCCCGTACCTTCTTCTATTTTGGCGCTGGAAAGGTTTCATGAAATTTTTCTCCTCATATCACCACGCAGAATCGGTAAGTCCATAACTTCTTATTTGTGTACAACGTACGCCACAAAAGCTTTTTGCCAACATGTTGCTACCATCTTTGCTGCCCATTGGCATTACGCAGAAAACAATAGGCGAACAATAGCGCGCGCATTCTAGCTCTACTATTTCTATGGGGTCTGATAAACCAGGTTCCGGATGCAGTATGGATATTTTGAAGTCAATCAAGTTACTTATTGGCTCGAATGCTTTTTGACACAAGTTGGAAGGTGGTTGGGTAAGGTTTAAAAATTAATCAAGAACAAATTAATTTGTAGAAAAGCTCGTTTTCAGGTTTTGAGCTATAGACCAGAGGGTGGAAGGGGACCACCACCACCCGAGCGGAGAATTTATGAGATCAATCTATTCTGGATCAGTTTTTCGTGTAGATTCCGAATTTGGGTGTTGATTCCCCGTTTTAGGGGGCTTTTCAGAGATATAGGGGGTCTAAAGTCTGATTTTAGGGCTAATATAAATGTCAATAAAATATAGACAGGTCAGTTCTTTGATGATATCTATGCTTGTTGACTCTCATTTGGAAGTGAGGGGGCCATAGAAAACGAAACAGGAGTACAAAATACTGTAAATTCCACGAAAAACTGATTTTTCGCAACTGAATGGAGTACTGTAGCATGATCACATAGGGAAATGGCTGTTTGTACTCACCAGGAATGTGGCTTTCTCAGACATGTGTAATGACTTATATGGATATTTCCATATAACTACAGCTTTATTGCTATGGATCAGAAAGGAAATGAGGCCCAAAAGCAAATCTTTATGAGAAGTACTTTAACACATGGTTTTGTGTCATAACCTAGGAATGTAACTTGTATGTACTTCACAGCCTTAAACGATGATTACCTGTTAACATTGAAGACCATTGAGGGTGTAAAAGTGTAGAGGTTTGGATTTTCTTTCAACCTGAACTAACCTAAAAACCTAGACCTAGAAACTGCAATTTCATTGCTTACAAATTCATTATCATTTTCAATGTTCTGTGATTAAAGCAAGAGTAAACTATGAAAGGTAGTTAGAATATATGGCAAACAGAAAAAGAAGATGAGCTGTTCATTACACTCATTTAGTCATTGAAGATCAGATCCTTTGCCCTTTAACGATATCGCCAGTGTTACCTGAACTTTACGAAGGCCGAATCTGTCTTTGCAAACAAAACGCAAAAGGGGAAGAAAGTAAGCAAGAAGGCATCTTCTTAAAAAAGAAAACAGTGACGAAAGCAAGCGCCTAATAACAAGGGCCAATCAATGTTAATAATGGGGAAGAAGCAACTATTGAAACTTATATAAACTTTCATCATGCCGAACTCTGCAAAAAGCTCCAGCATTAAGAGAGGGTAAAGCTTTCCTGGTATAATAAGTACACAGTATTTTGTAGTAAGAAGTCGACTACCCTTACTTCTACAGCTGTCCACGATCCCACTAGGCATGTCGCCCGTGCCGCACAAATATGCAGGGCTCTTTGTTATGCAAATATTTTACCAAATCTCACCAATCAAAATTCAAGTTTTCACATATTTGTGCGGCACGAAAAGTCTGTAAGCACTATGTTAGATTACTGTGCCGCACAACTGCTGGCAAGGGAAGAAAGTGGATGAGGTTGAAAGTTGTAAAGGAGAAAAATCCCAATTTTCTTTATTTATGCGGAAGCGGTGCACAGGAAGTGTACACTTCTGAATCTCAAGATATTTTGTCTCAACTGCGTGTTTGGATTTGCTGGAAAATTTGGAAAACCTTTTAAAAGGGAAAATTTTTTAGACTGAACAATTTGAACGTTTCAGGGCCCCAGTCCCCTCAAAACTACTACAATGCCTGCAAACCTCGTTGGTGAGGCAACTCCTAAAGATAAGGGCGTCCATTAAGGCGTTTCATCAATCAAAGTGTATCAGTCTTGCTTAGCGGGACAAATCGCAGTTAGAAAGTTGACGCTTACAAGACATGAAAATAATTTTCTAGACCAAAAATCAAGATGACTTTCTTGAAAAAAAGTGAAATTATTCCTTTTATTTATAGTGGTTGCAATAATCGACATTGTGAGCTTTAGGGTTTTTGCCCTTGAAATTAAACCTAGTTGCTCTGGTTCCGGGGGGAGGGGGGCTGGGTCCCTATCATGGCACTACCCTTGACCATGAGGGAGGCCCTCTAGACCGCCTGCTGGGTACTGTTTATGTGCGACCGTCAACTTTTATACTGTATCCGCCCCTGTTGAGTAGGTAGGTAGAAAGGGAGATAGGGAGGTAGGTAGGTAAGTAGATAGGGAGGAAGGTAGAAAGGGAGGTAGGTAGGTAGGTATTTTTTAGAAAAAGTTGGAAGCTTATGCAAGGCACAAAAGCATTCGTCAAAACTGTCGCAAAGCTAGGGGCATCAAGTAATCCTATAAATTATGTAATTGGGGGTATTGAAAGGTTTACTTGTGCGTTGTTTGGAGAAAAGAGATTATCGTCTGTTCATGATATTAAACGGAAAAATTTTTGGAGCTTCTCTTTGCAACCACCATGCAAAAACAGCCTTTTAAGATACATCAAGCGTTCAAATTACATTGCACAAATGTGCAGACAAGCCTCTCAACCAATGATAGAGCAAGAAGGCTCAAGTACACCACGGGTGGAAAGGTGACTTTTCTAATTCTGTTTAATGAATTTTTTTCGCAAAATCCAGAGGATGTTCAAAAATACTAGTGGAGGTTGACGATCTTGTAGAAATGGAAGACTTAAGAAGAGGCATTGATATGTCTGAGGATAAGGATGAAGATGAATAATTTTTTGGGTAGACTTGATAGTATTCAAATATATTGTAACAGTAATGTTTTCTTTTGGAAAAAATTTAATTTTTCACACCTCCCTTAATCCCCTAAATTCTAAATATAGAAAAACACTTTCAAATATCAGCCAACAATCATAGATATAGTCAGAGAACATATCAATATTTATCTTATTGAAATTTATTGAGGAAACCAAACTTGTAGCAATTGACCCTAAAATTTGTCTTTAGACCCCCCATATCTCGGGAAAGCCCCCTTAAACCGTTGATCAACACCCAAATTCGAAATCTACGCAAAAAACTGAACCAGAATAGATTGGTCTCATAAATTCTCCGTTCGGGTGGTGGTGCTCCCCTTCCACCCTCTGGTCTACTATACCTCAAAAGCCATTTTGTTATTTTTAACTTTGAAGAAATATCTGAATGGTCAAAATATTTTTAGGTTTCTATCCTTTTCTTTATCAAGGCTCAAACAACATTAAAGATTTATTCAATTGACGGGAAATATTTAATCAATAAACTGCAATCCTCAACTCTATATGCATAAGTCTACATTTACTCATCATCTCAAAAGCTATTCCTGCCAGAAAACTGTGTAGTCATAACTTTACTCTAGACAAGATAGCAAACACTTATGGAAGTCTGCAACTGATATCTTTAGTGCCACAACTCAAATAAGATACGTCATGATATAAGGGGCTACAGCAGCCCCAGGCTTCAGCATGCCTATGTAGAATGTAAAATATATATTGTTGGTTAGGTTCAGGGAAAATGAAAACTGCCTGTACAATGATTCTCTGTCATTAGAAAAGATGTGTCATCTACTGAGAGCATTAATATCTGCTGAATTTTATCTTCACTCTGAGTTTTATGCCTTCCACTCCCATCTTTCTTGCAGCATTTCTTGCCTTGCTTATGAGAGATCTTTTGCTCTGTTGGAAACTTTCTTTTCTCATTCAGTTTCTAATGAAGCTAGTGATATACTTACAGGTTCTTTCAAAAATGGTGCATTGGTTGTGTTGAACATGGTTAATCAAAAATTGTCAGGTTAGGAAGAGGAGCCCAATCTATGTGTATCATAGAGTTATTAAATGTTCATGGTTTGCTTTTATTCAGAAACTGGGGTTTAAAAAGGCATGTTATAAATCTAAGCAGTGCAAAAATTAATCTAAGCAAAGCAATCCAAAAATTGAACCTATAGTCTAAGGCAGGTGGTTGTGACCTTAACCCATCATTCAATGCAAACCATATTGTTCCTCTTCCTGGCAAAAAAGTTGTTTGCAACAACCATGTTTTCAAGAAAGAACCAAAATGAAAAAAGGAAGCAACCAGAAAAGCAAGCCAAGATTTCCTCTATTAAAAATGTTTCCATTAAAATGACTTTAGAATCAGTGGAGAAAACAAATCTGATGAGCCAAATGCTTTATCAAAACCAAATCTTCCAGTTCTTATGGTCAATTTGACAAACATTGGAACTTTTAGCTAAAAGCTACCGGCATGACAGATATGCAGAATTATGAAATCATGCAAAATATCTGGAAGCCAGATACAAAACTTTATCATAAAAAAATCATTGAAAAAGTAAGGAAATTTGTATACTCTTGGCTCATTTATTATTTTTTGTGTAATGAGCCAAAAATTGATGCTGAATAAGACTTTTAACAGATATTTAGCTTTCCCATAATCATACACAAAGTGCATAAATCACCACGTGTATTAAGTGGAAAAGAAACTAGATATGCTTTTGCATAAATTGGAATACTGCTGTTCAAAGGGAACAACAATTTAATTGCACACAACTAGATGACACTGTTTGTCTACTTTGTGCTCTGTTTGGAAGAAAACTGGTCAGAATGCATTTTGAAAGTCTTTTGAAGAAAGTCTTTTGCGAGTATTGGAATTGATTAATACCAAAATGGATCAAAGATTCATGAATGAAACAACACTTACACAGGTTTAGCAATAAGCAGGTTTAATTATGCCATTGAAAAAAGATATACATGCAAAGGTCAAAGGATTCCTTCCTTGCAAAGTGTGTTCTTTTATCTGTATAACTTAATTTGTATACCAAGTACCTACAAATTCATGGTTAAGGTTTTGCTTTACGAGACGGTTAAATCTTTGATTCAAACATTCTTATATACTTATGCCATTTTGATATACATTTTACAAAAAGACCTTTTTGTAACCACAACCCTCTCCTAAGTTTCCACAAAATACCACCAAGTTCAACCAAATGTCAAAAGAAAAAGGCTTGGAGAACTCAGCTTATTAAAGTAGTCAACAGATGTGACCCCAGTTCTCACTGCTTCTTTTGTTCATTTGTGATTTTAAGTTTTTTTCGCAATGCCTTTTCTTTCTTGTCAATCTTTTTGGTCATCCTGTGCTCTTCAATCATATGTTTGGCATGTGAATGAGCCCTGATTTTTATGTACATTAAGATGCAGTCTTTTAGTGTTGCCTATTTTACAGGTTCTGAGGCCAAACAATTTTGGCATACTCTACTCAAATTACTCAAAATTGCATCTTCTTGTAGACAGTTGCCCAGAATTTCTTGCACATTTATCCTTGTTTTCTGGGTGGAGATGTGGTCTCGGAAAACAAGCTCTGTTTTTTCTAGTATTTTTGCAAAAGATTCCTTTGGGTATGTCAAACCTCCCCTAGTTAGAGTGTTTATAAGTCTGGTTGAGCCTTCTTGCCTCCCCTCTTCTCCCTTACAAGCATTTAAGACCTCCAATCGTTCTTTTAACAAAAAATATCCAGTTTTATTTTCCTCAACTTTACGCATGTTGTCATAGGTTTTTTTTGTGAGCTTATTAAGGATTGCACCACAAATATATGTCACTACTTCTTTTTCATTGCCAGATAAAATTTGTTTCTCTACCTCCTTGTCTTCTGTTATTGCATAGTTTTTCTTTGCAATTACTTCTTGACATTCAAAAATAAGCCAGGAGGAGAATCATTGTTCAATTTCAAGACAATCTTGTAGTTGAGTAACAATTTCATTGTCTGTCCATATTTGATGGAACTTTTGCCACACTTTGTCAAGGGAAAATGCCTTTCCTGCTACCGTATCCTCAAGGCGTTTGTTAAGAAAGTCTAAATTTGGAGAAGGTGCATCAAGAAGGCGTTTGATTGTGGCACTATATAGTTGTTGAAGCATCTCTTTTTCAGACATAGCCTTCAATGCCTCTTTATAAACTGAACTGATGTTGATATTTGGAAGAAGACCTGCGTTTGGTTTGGGCTCTGTCTGTCTTTTTCTTTTCTTTTGAGTTTTTCCAAGAATCAATTTCGTGTTTTTGTCACTGCAAAATGCCACAGTTACTTCCTGTAATCAAAGCAAATAATTATAGTGTCTACTTATGTAACATCAACTAGTTAGTATGATAAAGTATATATCAATGGTATTTATAATGGGCTGGGGAAAAAGAGCAAATACTTCCTTGATGGAATTTATTATAGGAGGCAAGTTAAAATAAAATTCGAGAGATGATGCCATTGTTATTTTGGAGACAAAATGAAACTATGCTCAAGCACTAGCATATCAATATGTAAATGCTTACTACTTGAAATAACAGAATCACTTTTTTGCGAAAAAACCCTCTTCATCACAACTACCGGTCCCGTTCCATGTTATATATTTGTTGTATCCTTTTCCATATTTTTGCTTCAGAGGGAGAAACTAATAATTAGTTCTTTTTTTAATCAGGTATTGCTTAATATCGTATGTTACCTTGCCATCTTGCAGCTTTATACGATCGACGATATACGGGTAGTTCTGCGGCAACGAAAAAGTTTTGGATAAAGTTTTGGAAGCCGGTTAGGCCATCATATGAGACGGCTTGCCGATCCATTCTACGCATTGAGATTGGTTTACTGAAAATTAAATTGTGGAAATAAACATAATTTACCTCTGCCGCCATCTCTAAGTCTTCTAAGTTGATGTCGTCTGAAAAATATTCAAATTCCATCTTTTTGAAGTTCAACGTCGAGAGATCTTCCCACTAAAAAGCGCAACCGGAAATGACCGCGCGCATCATTTTGATAAGAACCTATTGTTTTGTTCTCCAGCTTAGTTTCCTATCCAGTCATATTTCCATCCATATTTTTTTTATATAAGGCTTGTAGGCCGAAATGGCCCATCGCCAACACAATTACCATACATACAAGTTGACATAATTACAAATTAATAATAAATCTCAGAACATAAGTACAAATTAACAATAAATCTCAGAAAACAGCAAACAGAATTACTATACTTACAAGTTAACATAATTACAAATTAACAATAAATCTCAGAAAACAGCAAACAGCTAATACAAAGATAAACAGATAAAAAAAATGATGACGAGCTGGAAAGTTTACGTTACGAGGATATGCACGTAGAGGACTTCCCAAAAGATTCCCGTGACTCAAAAGCCATCGCTATCGATATCAGACAATCCGTATCTTCTTGACTCATCAACCAAATAAACTTATCACAAAGGTCAAGGGATGATATTCTGGGAAATTTTGAATTAATCATAGATAACATAGAATTCCTAGCAGTCTCGTAAAGGGGACAAACTAATAAAAAATGAATTTCGTCCTCCACAGCAGTTTTATTAAAAGATTGACAATACGGACATTTTCTATCAATCCTAGGAATAGGATTCTTCCCGTATCTACCTGTTTCAATCCTGAGGTTGTGGGCACTGAGACGTAGTTTTGCAAAGTTGGATCTTTCTTTTTGCTAGGTATCAAGTCTAAGTAATGCTCAAACTTATAAACAGTTTTGAAAGATGCGTATGTACAAAGCTTTTTATTGAGAATAGTTTGTTCTTTTAAATTTTCCATAATTTTTGACCTAAAATGGGAAGACACTTTTGATTTCACGATAATGGAGTTATCGGTTGTATGTATTCTGTAAAGGGTCATCAGGGAACGGGCAATACTGACCCAATTAGAAACACCGGAATCTGCATCATTAATTAACATTTGAAGAGCTCTGTATGCATATCTGGAGGAATCGAGATTTATTAAACGAATATAAAATTTTAAGATATTAATATGTCTATGTTCAAGCAACGGACAACGTCCCAACTCCGCATAAACCCCAAGAGACGTTGTAGATCCTTTAACACCTAGGGTTGACTTGCAAGCCATAAGATGAATTTTTTCCAGGCATTCCCATGTACCAAATCCCCATACGTCAGTGGCATAATTTAGAATAGGAAGTATTGTACTGTCAAATAAAACTGACGATTTACTGGAAGATGACATTGAAAGATTTTTCCAAAACTGCTTTGGACATTCATTTTTAAGCAGCCAAAGCTCTTCTTTCGCATTTGTAAGGTAGGAAGCGCGTTTTCTTTTCAAAAGAGCTTTGTGTCTCTTTTTCTATAATTTGTAAACCTCATGTAAAGTATTATAACGTATTGGGTCAGGTTTATTGAGTCTCAGGGCTGCTTGTAAGGCCTTACGTGAAGTACTTAGCAGTTTTTTGCTGGATTTACACTCGTTATCAAACCAAACAAAATGTTTTTTCTTCGGTACGTTACTAGAAAAAATTTTCTTAGTTCTAAGACAACCTTCCGCAATTTGAGTTAAATGTTTGCGCATTAATGCAACAGTATGACCAACAGGAATGGACTTATCATCAAGATCAGTTTCCAAATTTTCCAGAAAACCCAGGGTATTATCATTTTCGATAAAAAGTTTAATTTTCTGATGGGAATCAACACTGGGGATGTATTGTTTTGTGTAATTGCTCATAAGAACATCAACCGCCAAGGAAGATACATTGTCGGGCTTGCTAGAGCTAACTGTTGAATTATTACAATTAACACTTTGCTTAATTGAGATCTCAATAGGAGAATGACCGGACAAGCTACTCATGTTCCTAACTTTAAGGCCACTAATCAGACCAAATGTTTTCTCATTTGCAAGAGCGTAATCTACTGTGCTGTTACCATTGGACGTGAAACAAGAAAAATGTGATGAGCGCTTTTTATCAGTACGGCCATTAAGGATCCGAAGGCCTGCAGTTTTACAGAATTCAATTAGCAATCGACCGCTATGATTAATTGTATTATCACTAGATTGCCTAGTAATTAGGGCAGTGTCTGGCGAGTAATCATTAGCGACCGGTAGAAAATCGTCTACTGAATCATTTACGATAAAATCTGGCAATGTCCCAGTTCTACCATTGAAATCACCAAGAATTAAAATAGATCCTTTTGCGTCATAATTAGCACATTCGTCTTGTAACATATTAAAATTTAGGCTTCTGCCAGATTTAAACCAAATTGAGTCACTCGGTGGAATATAAACAAAGCAAACAAAGAGATCATCGGCAAGGCCAAAAGCAATTTTATCAAATCGACACCAAAAATGATATGCATCCGATTGTAAAATATGGCACCATGATGCCAGAGAGTAGAGTTACGAACGAAAAGAGACATCCCGCCAGAAGACCTCCCATAGCGAGAAGTTCTGCACCCCAACTGATGGAAGACAGAAAAGTTTTCGTTAAGATCACGAAATTCGGGATCACCTTGATCTCGCCATGTTTCAGATAGACAAACAATATCATTATTTTCCAGAGCTTGAGAAAGATCATTGTCACGATCACCAAATGCCTCGGCTACTTTTAACTTTTTTAAACCGTTGATATTCCAAGCGCAAAGCCGTAATGTGCTAGGAACAGAGTGACTGACCTTTTTTGGCATAGAATATAGATTACGAAATGCACGATAACTATTTGATTGTGTATGTAAATGAAAATTAGAAAAACGATGGTGAGTTTTTATAAAAGGATCATTTCGGCCACCCCCCTATGCACTGTTTGTAAGACGGAAAAAATCGTTGTATGAACGTACCTCGTGAATGAACGAGTCGTTGAAATGCTTTTATATGGTATTACAATAGGCGAACAATAGTGCGCGCATTCTAGCATGTCATCTTTTCGCCGGCATTTTCACTGGCATGGTTCGGCCACAGAATAAGAGTAACTGTGCCACTGTGGTATTGGCTTCGGCCACTTCTAAGCTCTGGTTACCCTGGTTGCGCTCAAGTTTTATTATCCGATGCTCCATGCTACGAAGTATTGACTTCAGGTAATTATCTTCATAATCATCAGAGTACATTTGTCAAAAGCTAAGCGCTTTTCTAGAATTTGTGTTGGGAAGGCCTAAAATTTGACACCCCGAGCTGTTCGTCTTGTAATGGATTATAACCATTGTGGGGTGTGGGGGCTTTCACATCCCCAATAGTATTTCAGAGAATAAGGCTTTAGGTATTTCAGAGACCTTCATGCCAGGGCCTATTTTAAGAAATTTTTAATACTGCACATTTATGATTATATTTTTTGTAGGAAATTTTGTTGTTGCAATTTTTGGAAATTTCTGGGCACATTTCGTTCAAAGTTATTTAGGAGATACTTTCCGACGGTCATACGGGGTTTACAATACATGACCTCTATATCGAACTGACGGGGAAAATTCAAATTTTGTGAACAAAGCGAGAATCTGGGATAGCGGCAATTAGACATTTTAACAAATCCCAAAATTGAATACTGCACATTTTCGAAATCAATACTGCACGTTTTTAAATTAATACTGCACAAAGTGTGTAATACTGCACACTAAAATAGGTCCTGCTTCATGTCATAAAATCAAATATTAGAAAGATGTTGACACCAGCACAAAAACGCAAAGGATAAAAAGTTTGTCCATGACAAGGTCAGCCACAAGAGGGAGAGCGACAAAGATACTAGATGATTAACAAACCATCTGTTCCCTCAGAAGTACTCTCAGGAACCTAAGGAGGATAAATAAAAAAACTTAGCAGGCAATCTAAATTTTACAACCAGCCCATTTATAACAGCCATGATTTTTTACAAAACCAAATATTGGGAACAGTAACAAGGCCATTTAATATCTATTTTTATGTATGGATAATTTTCTCAACATTTTCTCTATGTTTAGAATCTTTGATGGTGTAACAGAGCTAAATTTATCAATTTCACTTGGTTTTTTGTATACATAGGTATTTTGTATATTACGTAGATTATTAGGATATCCCCCTTGTGCATGTGGGAGATGATCCGAAGACTGAAACCTCAAAGAATGACGGTTTCTTGTGAGCGGCTATACTTTTCCTTTCCATTCCCATCTTATAACATCCCAAGGCTAAACTTTAATCTAAACAGCTAACATAACCAAAAACGGTTCTCAGCGAACTCTAATACTTATAACAATCCAATGAAATGTATAACGAGACACAGTCTTTCTCAAGCACTGCCTGTCCTAAATGCAAACTGGGTTGCAAGAGCTTGGGCAAAACAGTTAGCTTCCTTCTGATGTTTAGCCTTTCATGTCTATACCTTCTGAATTTCTCTCTAAATCTCCTTGAATCTAACTAACTACGTATATTTATATGTACAAGGAAAATACCAGAAAAGCAAAACTATGCATAAAATGTTACCCAATATAACCAATGACTACGTAACATGACGTAATTCTAATGAGGGGTAATCCTACGGAAAGGAAAAGTATTGTCGCTCGCAAGAAACCGTCATTCTTTAAAGTATCAGTCTTTGGATCATCTCTTGCGATTTTAGACCTCCATTTTACAATGGTAAAAAGCTGTATGTGTGGCACTGTATTCAAGTTAATATATACTTTATTATGTTACTCCATCCTCGTCCCCCTCCCACCTAGGAATACTTGATTATGTTAGTAGAAAAATTCCATGATTTGCCCTCGGCACCAACACTGCCCCTCCTGCCCTTATCTTTCTTGAGGGTAAACAAACTTATGTTTTGAAGACTTGAAGATTGCTTTTCTCCGTAGTTTCTCAGTAGAAGTGTCAACTGCAATTCACTATGAGCTCCAAATTTTTTGAACATTCAAAAGGCATGCTAAGATGAAAAGAGGGATCAAAATTGACAACCAGTGCTGCTTCTTATCTAGCATTAGAAGTAACTGACAACCTGGTATTTTACAAGACCATATGGTGAAATTGTTGTTTCTATCTGCTGTTAAATTTTTTTGCACTAAATAATTTTCAATAGGATTAGGAGGATTGCTTTAGTGAAATTTTCTTAAAAGAGTGCATTTTCCAGGGAACTAGAAGCATCAAAATTCGAAAATTTCCTCCCTCAGCGGCAACCATGGTGCCACCTCAGGTAGTAACTATATCCTTTGCTTGCCATGATATAGAGATTTGACAGAACTATTAGGAAACGCACTAACACACCATTTGCTAAGGAGGGGGATGGTTTTTAATGTGACATGTACATCCGGGGGAGCAAACACGACTCAGTGTGAGATACTGTAAGAATGGTTAGAGTGTACCATCGTATGATTATATGGGTGCTCTGAATGCATGAATTTCATTCCCATGAAAATAAAATTGAGCACAATAGGGGACAGACTGCCTTTAAATTCTAGAAACTGTGTTTGCAGGTTTGGACATCCCAAGCTGTTCTATGAAAATGGATCTGCGTGCATACAGGTGTGGTCTTATCATGGATTATAACAACTGAAGTGATTGTAATACGTTAGGAAGCTTCACAATTCAATTCTGTTTCGTGAATAAGGCTTTGCTTTTTTGCTGCCTAAATGGTAATCATAGTGGTCTCGTTCCCTGCCATGCTCAATTTTTTTTCCAATGTTGCCCAAAATGTTTCTTCTTCAATCTTTTTAGAGAATTTATTATTTTCTTTGCATGATCGGCTTTGAAAATTTGCTAACTTTTGGCATAAGAAATTTCTAAACATGTTTTGAGAAATGTTGACTTGAATAAGAGAGTACAGTGAAAATTTGATATGAATGTCTTGGTAAAAGCAAACGCCAAATTTTGAAGCCAGCAGGTCAACCCTACGGACCAAATGCAATCATGCTTGTCTTGCAACTTTTCAATTTGACCCTTATCTCTTAAATTGGATGAATATAACAATTTCTTTTACGGCCTTTTTTCTGAAAATTTTGGAAAATAGTGGCCCTTTTTACAGGAATTCTTTGATGCATCTATAAGATGGGATCAAGTAGAATGAAAAGTCCTAGCATGGTGAGCATATATCAAGGCCAAAATAATACCATTTACAATACAGATTTTGCACAGATTAACATGATTTTCCTAACACACATTAACATGCATGTTTAGAAAACTTAGCCAGCTTGTAAACAAATTATCGCGTGTTCTTGTGTAAACTTGTAAATGTATGAGATTTCAGTAAAAGGTCACTGGAATAGCAGTCTTAATTATCAATTAAAAATGTCTTTTGCTGCTAAAAACAACAACAGAACAATTTATTACAAAACTTTTAATATAAAACAATTAGCATGACTATGACTGTATACTTGCAGTGACATTGAATCGTGATAAAACTAGTTAAACATAGATTCAAAGTATTGAATATTATCCAGGAAAACCACAATTATACCTGCTATATATGTTCTCCTTTCAAAGTCCGAAGATGATCCAGACCTGTCAACTCTCCCGGTTCAGCCGGGAGACTCCTGGTTTTGACTGCTTTCTCTCAGTCTCCCGGTTTTTATAACTTTTCTCTTGGTTTCAAAGATCTCTAGCAGAATAGAATGTCTAGGAAGATTCTTCACCGAATGTCCGATTGAAGTTCAATCATTGAACCATAGTCATAGAAAACACAAATCTGGAACAGTCTTTAGATCTGTCTGGAACCAAACAATAGAAGTATTGTTATCTCATTATCGATGTTAGGGGAACAACGACAACAACCTCTAGGCGCATATCGACGAAGCAAGCACTTGCTTACGGAATGGATTACATCGGCTTTTTGAATTGTGTTGATCTCGACGTTTTTCCGGATTTCTGCGATGAAGACATTCTAAATGAAAGTATTGGAGTTAACTAAAAAATAGAAGAGCTTAAGATAGAGGTAACTCATTCTTTTTTGTCAATGTTTATCTTGACTGCGGACTGTGATGGCCCGAGAAACAGGCCCACATAGACTCTAAGAAAGCCCGGAGTTCCTTTCTTGGCTACAAACTGAATATTTTTCTTGGTACTACAACCCTTCGCAGTGTGATGATTATCAGAAGATAATTTATTTATCTTAGAATTTTCCTGACGTGACATAACATTTTGGGCTCTTGACAACCGATGTCTGCACAACTGTAAACAAACACATTTTTACACTGTAGCTGCCAAAAACAAAACGATTATGCATAAAGTTTATATGATTTTCTATACAGTAATGTTTATTGTACCATTTCATATTTGTAGGCTGCATGTGAGACAGAAAACTTTGACTGTTCCGAGTGTGAAAAGAAATACAAAACGAAACGAGGATTAGCGCGCCACATTAGGGGAAAACATCCCATACCCGGACAGGTGGACGTATTGCTCAGAGAAACCTGAAATTCATCCATTGGAAATTCGAACTTACATCAGGAAAGCTGCTAAGAAACTTTCATTGGATGATTGTTTTCCGGAAGTCATTCGCCACAGTTATAAAGATTTTGAAGTATCTTTAGAAGAATGCATTGAACTCAACAAGGTCTTTCTCCCTATATTTCAAGAGGTTAAAGGAAATGCTGAAAAATACTATACAAACTTCTATAAGTTGTTATTGCCAAGTCAAAATTTGTCGGTAACAGGACTAAACACTGATGAAACAAAGTTTTTGCTGACAGAATTAGCAAATATATGTTTAGCACATCTGTCTGGAAACTCAATTGTTGGAGAAATCTTGGCCGAAGCATCAAGTACTGATATGATAATTCTCAAGGACAGGGAAATAAATGCATTGCAATACTTGTCTGGGTACTGCTTCAGAAAAAATATATTTTAAGGTTAGAAGCAGCTCAAATGCAACAACGGAGATTGGAATGCAAACATTAGCCATTTTGAAAAGTGCAAAAACAGATGAGGCACAAACATTAATCGATATGAAAGACAGAGGGGATCTCTGGAAGGTTAACCAACATGATGTCAATGTTTTTAGACAGGCAGAAATTCATTTTCACAAGGAAATACATGGTTCTTGCAAAGGTGTGAATGCAAATAAACTCGTTCAAATTTGTTTACAAGATACCACTTTGAAGGCACATATTTCATGTATCATTGCCGGAGTAGACTTTAATGTTGACAAAGAAGTAGCAACAAATACTTTTGAAAGTTTTATCCATTTATATTGAAGAGTAAGATCACATTCTTATGCCACAGACATAGAAGAGAAACATAAGAAAAGTAAAATGTTATCAAAAAAAAGATCATTGCGAACAGAAATGAAGCAAAAAAGCTCGTCTAGAGTGCCTAGTGACTCAAACAGAAACAAATTTAGTTTTTTCCCTGTGTATTTTGGCTTTATATGTATATCAAGTAACATTTTGTATACCTTTAATGATTGACTTTTTTCACTGAACTTTGTGTTTTCAAAAGAAGCTTTGAGAGCCATTCAAAATTTACCTTATAAAAGGCTCATTAAGGGATTGTTAGCCTTAATTAGAGCAATAATACAACTGAATAAATAAAAGCTAAAGTGTGTTAACAACAAAATCATGGATGGAATGGAAAATTTGTTTAAAAATTTAAAAGTGGGGGCCATGATCGATAAGAAAATTTCATACCGAGAGGTGAGATCGGGCAAGCTGAGAGCAGGATTTCAGTTGAACATTCTCATACAAACACAGAATGGAATTCGCAAAGATTGCAAATATACGAAACCATAATAATAAATATAAGAGGCAAGAATGTTCTTATCACGTCACAGAATCAGTTATGCGATGTGACAATAATATCAAAAACTTAACGCATGTGCATATGATGCCAAAGCAAACAGACCTTTAAACAACTGCTGGTTCGTCCATCCAATAATTACAGACTAAAATAACTGCCCAATCTCTTCAATTTCTATCTGTCTGAACATAAGCTATTACTTTCCCTGAGGAATAGTTCTTTAATTTTTTCCAGCTTCTACATGCAGGTTCCTGATAAAGTGGTTCCTTCTAAAAAGCGTTTATTTCAGGTCAAAATTTCTTTAAAGACATATCTTTAGAAGATAAAAACGTTAAGATTAAAAGAGGTAAATAAAGTATCTTAGTAGGTACTATTGGTTGGAATCGTGATACGAGAATCAGAATTTGAAAACTTAAACCTTCGTTTACGGAGAAAAAACCAATCCATAAACTTGAAAAAATCTGCGTTTTTTATGTCAAAGTTATTTTTTAAAGATAAACCTTGAGATTGAAGACGTTCAAAAAAATGTGAGAAGTATATTTTTCAGCAGGTTGAAATGATAAAATGATGACGAAAATTTGAAAAATGCAACACTTGTTTTTTAACAAGAAAGCAAGCCTATATCCTATAGGAAAATAAGAGTTTTTGAGGTGTTTGTTCCAAAATAGATATTGAATATCCTATACCTAAAAAAGGTGAGTTATTTATTTCACTAGTTTGGAATGATAGAATCATCATCTCACTATTAGTTCTTGAAAAATTAAACAATTTTTTTGTCAAAAAACCAAGCCTATAGGCTTAGGAAAATCCGCGCTTTTGTGGTAAAAGTCTTTGTCTGAAAACTTATCATTAACTTAGAAAAAGAGGTAAATGATGTACTTTTGTTGGCTGGAATAATAGAATCATCAGTTCATTGTCAGTCGTGACGCTTAAAGTGCCACTGAATTGAAAAAAAAGAAATTTTTTTTATTGTTGATTCTGGTAGACTAATCATCGCTGATTTCGAAAAAAAGTTTGGTTTTTTAATTTGGAGCCCACAAATAGGGGTTTCTGGGGTTCTTTTGCGAGTAGGTCGTGCGAAAAGAGGCTGGGGCGAGTGACGCATTCAGATTTATATAGTCAATTCAGCCATAGTGAGGTCTGTAAGAAGATAAAAAGTTACAAATTGCGTTAAACATGATACAAGCATGAAACCTGATAGAGATAGGCAGTTTGATACGCTGAAAAAGATGGGGTGTGAATAGACGCTGACAAATATCCCCTTGTGCTATTTATAGAGTGGGGTACTAGGTTCCAAACCTCTAAGCAGTAATTGACATAATTTAGCCATTAGATCGCGAAACCAGCATAGAACGTGGTAGTAATAGGCAGTTTGATACGCTGAAAAAGATATGATATGAATTGACCCTGTAAATCCCCCTTGTGCTATTTATAGAGTGGGGTACTAGGTTCCAAACCTCTAAGCAGTAATTGACATAATTTAGCCATTAGATCGCGATACCAGCATGGAATTTGGTAGTAAAAGACAGTTTGATACGCCGAAAAAGATAGGATATGAATTGACCCTGAAAAATCCCCCTTGTGCTATTTATAGAGTGGGGTACTAGGTTCCAAACCTCTAAGCAGTAATTGACATAATTTAGCCATTAGATCGCGAAACCAGCATGGAACGTGGTAGTAATAGGCAGTTTGATACGCTGAAAAAGATAGGATATGAATTGACCCTGAAAAAATCCCCCTTGTGCTATTTATAGACTGGGATACCAGGTCCTAGACCTCTAAGCAGTAATTGTCACAATTTAACCATTAGATTGTGATACCAGCATGAAACTTGATAGAGATAGGCAGTTTGATACGCCAAAAAGATGGGGTATGAATAGAAGCTTAAAAATATCCCACCGTGCTACTTATGGACTTTTAATCAATTCCATTTAAAATGAACTTCTTTACTTTTTGAGGTCCCCTGACCACGAGGTTCTGGGGCAACTTATCCCATCTTGACGGCCCTGGCAATAACTGATGCTTTGACAGTGGCAACGCAAGTTGGAAAGTGGGAAAAGCGCCGAGAAATGTGCAATTTGTGTGGTTCTATAATAGATCAACTTTTTCCCTTGATCAGTTTGCTCACTTTTATTCATAATTTGTAAAGCTGTTCGTAAAAGCATTCTTATTCGACACGCTCAATAATTCATAAAAGGTAATTGATCGGCATGAAGTCTTGGTAAAAACTGCACGCAAAAAGTTTGCTTATTTTGTATGGGCTCGAAATTTTTGCAAGAAAATACCTTGCACATGTCTTGTAGTTAGATAGCTAGTGGTATTTAAAGCACAAGTATCGCACTATTTCCATCCACTTCACGTTCATTTTGGTTTTTTATCGCACTCGAAATACAGTCTTCAGTACTGAAGCCCGCATCACTTCCGCGACTTATAAACGTTAATGCGTCACACATTCCTGAAATTCCTCACAAGCCGCGCACAAATTTTCGCACAAAAAGTCTTGAAAATCGCAACTTTGAAGCGTTGTAGCTTCAAGACACTTCACAATTCCGACAAGGGAACTTCAGCATCGGATTCAGGAGCACCGACTTGACTTAGAACATCAATAAAAAAAATTTTGATTTTTTCAGTTCAGTGGCACTTTAAGGAAATTACGCTATTGTGGTTCTTCATTCTGATTGTTTATTTGTGCTTTGAATCAACGATGCATGAATATCGTGGCCATGAAAAGAGGTTCTGAGAACAATGTGGACATACTGCCTAGCAAAGGAAATTCACATGCATATTTTATTGAAGACGTTGATTGCTTTAGTGAAAAGGCTAAATGCTTTGATTGTGGCTTCCACTATCGTTAGCGCTGAGAAAAAGTTTGAAAATTTGAAATTCTAGAATGACTGCAAATTGGTTCTAGCGTGATAACAACAATTATTTCGAACCGTTTATAGAAGTCGCCTTAAAAAAATCCCACGCAATATTCATGAACTTGCTATTATACAATTTTGGCTTGAATTTGAAATGAAATTTGAAAGGCCTAAACTTATATGTGCAAGAAGTTGAAAAGAGTTTAACAATGAGATCTATATATAAAATAGATGGAGGCTTGTAAAATTGAATTATTACTTTACAATATCAAAAAATAAAAGGATTTCATAATTCAACTTTTTCAAAGTCAACCTAGTCAGCTCACTCAATCTTTCTCTTCTACAACCATATCGAATCCTATTTGTCGGAGAACCTTCCACTGCGCAGCATTTTCCCACATGTTTTCTTTAGAAATTTTGTAAATATATAAGGTATTGTTTATGTGTCTTTAATTACAGTTCTGTTTCTCTAGTTTTCGCAGCCAACACAATCGTTGCTGAGGTAATGTGTAAACGTGTTGAACTAATTGCCATATGACTAATCCCATTAACATTATTCTTATTCCTGATTGGTTGTTTAGGTGTAATTTACTTAATCCAAAGTTGTTAATCAGTTGGATTTGTTGTTGATCGTAGTTGGTTGTTGAGTTGATGTAGGAAAGAATGCACGGTTTTATCGATTGATAATCTTACGGTTTACCCAGCCTGTTTATTGAGTTTTTCTCTCATTACGTGATAAAGAATCAAAGAATGCATGGGGTGGGATTCACCTCATATTCACTCCGACCCTAACTAGCTACAGTCCCGGACAAAAATGGTTGAGATTTTTCAAGGAAAGCTTATCTTTTCACTTTCCTTTCAAAAGTAACTCCCCCCTACCCCAATTCAATGTTGAACGCATGATTCTGAAGAGAAAATGATAGAACTACAAATCCAACATTGCTTCGGGGGGAATAGGGGGATTCGAATTTACAGGGGCAAGGTAAAGAGAAAATTACAAAAATTGCATTTTGTCCCAACATTTTTGTCTGGGATTGTAGATCCCCTCATATATTATTTAGAGACACTGCACCTCTCCCTTCTCTCAACTACTTCGGCTCATCCCTTCCAAAGCGACGCCCTACCCTGTTCATCCCATTTCTACAATCTTTATGGTCATTTTAAATAATTACGCTGCAATGAGCACCCTATGTCAATGGCATTATTTTGTAAAATAATTAATTTTAATATTTCTCTCTTTTTGTTAGCAACTGTAATCATTGAAGAAGGATTACGAAAGGTGCCCATGAGAAACGGCCATACCAAATAAATAGGCACCACGCAGCCATTTGGCTAGTAGAGGCTATGGACTCCCCCATTTTTTTGCAAAAATAGGTTAGAAAATATTTAAAAAATTTACTCAAGCGTAACTTTGGAAAGATAACTCTAACGGATCCTAAGAAGTTGCAGGTTTTCTTGACTGGCAACCCATTTTTTGTTCATTTTCTAACTTGGCTAGCTCGGTGTTTAATTATCTTTCATTTTCTAACTTGGCTAGCTCGGTGTTTAATTATCTTCAAGGTAATTATATCTATTTCTATAGTAGTTTTCTTTTCTGAATCAGAATGTTTACAAACAATAAGTGAAGAGAAGCATCTTTCCTTTGATTTTTGTTTCGTTTGTACATTCTACGCCTTGATATGTATCTGTTCGACTCGATTATTTAGAGGCTTTGGTACAAAGAGAACAGGGTCTTATACTTTTGAACTTCAACATATTGGTCTTAAAAACCCTTGCGATTGATTTTCACTTTGCATGAAGGGCCACATCTATTATGAAGACAATAATAAAGTATTCTTTTGACAGGGGCCCACTGGTAAATTTCCTGGTACCCCATTGTGCCAGTCCGCCACTGGCCCAATTTGTAACATGTTGAACTGATTTCTTATTTTTAGATGTGATTCGCGGTGTTCTGTTAGGCTAGGTGGTCCACGTTAAGAACTCTTTTGTTGCTACCCGCCAATCCTGAATGTTTCTTAAATTTTGAAAATTATGAAACAAAACAAGGGAAAAGTCTCAAAACCGGCAAGAGATAATAAGTTTTAAGGATTTTTTCGGGAATTTTGTTGAACAAAAGTGGAAGCACTGGAGGTTGTTGTCCGCACTTTCTGCGTATCAAGTGACTTTTTGGGTGCACAGGCTCTATGTTTATGTTGCCAAAAGAAGAACTAGGAATTTCGAAAATATGTGCGATAAGATATAATGCCGGGTAAAATGGTTTGATAAAAATGGGCTTTTCAATTCACTATGCTTGGCAATGTGACAGGCTATGTTCTGGAAGAAAGTCTTCATTATACATAGGTTATGGTAACAGCAGAGTTCCAAAAGCCTCTGTTGTAGCCTGTAATGTTGGGGCATATATACATATGATTGCAGAAATACGATTTAAAATTGAACATTTAGAAGAAAACGAATTATCGGCACTCACAGCGAAGAAATTATCCTTTGCTTCTGTTGTAGCCTGTAATGTTGGGGCATACGTTACATATGATGTTGACTAAGCCGTCGGTCGTTGAGAGACGCATCTTGAGGATTCTCTCGGTGCCATCTGTTGGATGTTAAATCATCTGGAGCAACGTGTTTTTCACGGCAAAGCCAATTCCATGTTCTCTCGGTTCCTCGGCATTTTAACCTTGTCAATGTTCCTCCATGTAAGATCCATTGTCTTGGAGTCGTCTTCCCTGCAGGGCCATAATGTCGATATTCAATCTGTGCAATTCACGATCTGCTGTTTTGCGAGCCTCGTCAATTGCTTAAAATACTTGACGCGGCATCAGGGTAAAAAATCTGTCGTTGTAATGGTTGGTCTTCGGCATTGTGTGACAACGACATCTGGAGTTGAGCATCGTAGAAACCTACCACCACATTTTCTAGAAATCGTCGTAGCTGAATACGACGGCTAACTCTAGAGTTCGGCACCGCAAATACCATCATTAAACATTTGGGGAGTTCGTCGTCACATCCTCGTTTTCATTTGCACGCCACATTTAGCAAGATCTTCGTCGCATGCGAGCTCCCAAGGCTTAAGTTTCCTATGTAATTAAAAAAATTGACAATGCTTAACTGACATGACTTTCCTGGCTGACCGCTTAGTACGATATGTTAGCCTGTCTGGAGCACAGGCTACTACTTAGTCCACAAGGCGCTGTAACTTTTCTTCTGCTTGGGCTATTAACACAGTATCGTCTTCATAACGTAAGTTTCTTAAGTTATATCCACCCACGATGAATTCTTCCATGCCCTATAGCCCCCTCAAATCATCGCGCCATAAAAATTGACGAGATCTGAAAGACGGATTTCAAAGAAGACGGATGTCTTTCCCAAATAAATCAAAACATTCTAGCAATTTTACAAGTTCTTCATGATTCACTTACAAACCTTTACAAACTAAGAGTCATTTGCACAAAGTGTCATATGAAAGCAAATTTTCTGTTTTTTCTCTAACAGTTTCTGTCTTTTCTGTAAAATGATATCTATATCAAATGGATTGGTCATGTGAACAAGGTTTTAAAATCATCATCACAAAATGTCATATGATAACAAATGTTTTGATTTTCTTTAACAGATGCAAACATGCAGTTCTATCACGTCATCACTTTGGTATTAGCAACCACTACCCTTGCGACCATTTTTCTTTGTTCATGGAAAATGAATACGACGAGAACTCAACGGAACTTTAAAGATATCGCTCTGTCAAGAAATCCTTGGGATGGCGTCCCTGAGTTTGTGCTATACTTGAGATTAACCTCTAGTCCGCGTTGGGAGCAAGAATATAGAAATAATTTGGTTCCCTCTATGATGCTCTTCTTCCCGCACGAACGAGCGAAACTTCTAGTTGCATTGGACAACGAGAAGAAAGAAGACCATTTGTTTGGAGACAAGATAAAAACGGAATGGCCATATCCACAAATATGCTACAGAGATTCAAGTTTCCTTGATGCATACCGCGGATGGGGCAAGGCCAGAATGTTTTGGGACATGATGTATCTCGATAAATGTACCAATGTATCTTATGTCGGGTATGTCGATACTGATACATTTTTTAGCACCTTAGTAACACCACAGTTGTTATTTGACAATGGAAAACCAATTATTATTGCAAAAATTGGCCACGTTGAACACAAATGTTGGGCTAAAACAACAGAGTTGTTTTTCGGCAAAAAAGAAGTTATGCAATGCATGTCAACTTTCCCTGTTATGATAAAAACGGAGCATATGATAAAAATGAGAGAGTTAATTGCAAGAAAACATAGTGCGGACTTTGATTCAGTGTTTAAAAACCCTCCACCTAGCAATCAAATGGATTGTCTTTGCCAGTTTAGTATCATGTGCAATTATCTTTGGTACTTTCACAGAAATGACTACTCATGGCGTTTGCAGAATGTCTCAAATTTTCTTTGTTCAAAGCAAATAAAAAGGTCGAAAACTCAACCGAGCTTTAGAAGAATCTTTCCATTAAGAAACCCTTGGGATGGCGTTCCTGAGTTTGTGCTATACTTGAGATTAACCTCTAGTCCGCGTTTTGAGCAAGAGTATAAAAATAATTTGGTTCGCACTATGAAGCTTTTCTTTCCACCCGAACGAGCAAAACTTTTAGTTGTATTGGACAACGAGAAGAAAGAAGACCAGTTGTTTGGAGACAGAATAAAATCAGAATGGCCATATCCACAAATATGTTACAGAGATCCAAGTTCCATCGATGCATACCGCGGATGGGGCAAGGCCAGAATGTTTTGGGACATGATGTATCCCGATAAATGTACCAATGTATCTTATGTGGGGTATGTCGATACTGATGCATTTTTTAGCACCTTAGTAACACCACAGTTGTTATTTGACAATGGAAAACCAATTATTATTGCAAAAATTGGCCAAGTTCTGTACGAATGTTGGGCTGAAACAACTGAATTGTTTCTCGGCAAAAAAGAAGTTATGCAGTGCATGTCAACTTTCCCTGTTATGATAAAAACGGAGCATATGTTGAAAATGAGAGAGGTCATTGCAAGAAATCATAGTATGGATTTTGATTCAGTGTTTAAAAACACTCCAGGCAAAATGGAATGTCTTTGTCAGTTTAGTATCATGTGCAATTATGTTTGGTACTATCACAGAAATGAGTACTCATGGCGCTTGCAGATGGTCCCAAATGGTGACTGGAGAGGAGAAAATTTGTTTGCCAGTCAAGTGTCGCCAGATTATTATCGGACTAACGTACCCCCAGAGATGACGATACCAATGCCGCGCTCATCAATTCACCTGAGGTACACAATAACAAATGGTCAGTATTACAATTCAAAAACCCCTCCGAAGAAAAATATCGAATATTTTATTAAGGTGGGACTCTGTTACTCTGCTGGCTTTGATGTCTGTCCGGAAAATTGTAAAAGATTGATCCAGGCAAAGATACATTTCAATCTTTATTCATTTGAATTCTATCAATGGTTTTGGGACAAAAGGTGCAAGAAAGAACAAGACAAGCATTACAAAAACGTTAGAGAATTAGTTCGCTACTATGTGTTTTCAAAAATGGAAGTTTTTGGACTTTCCTCTCTAGATAAACTGTGTAGTTTAATCTGAAATAATTTAGTCACGTTACCATTTGACGGTGACAAGATTTGTATTTTTACCTCTAGTTCGTTGTTGAGATCTCTTCAATTGTCTATAAATTTGTCATAGATGAAATGTGTTGTAGAGGTGTGTGCTGCAATGATGCAGCACAATGACATGATCGAAACTGTAAGGGATGTAATAATCATGGATAAATGCATGATTTTGAAGGAGAAATGATAGAACTACAAATCCAACATTGCTTTGGGGGAAAGGGGGATTTAAAATAACAGAGACACAGTCATGTAGAAATTGCAAAAATTGAATTTTGTCTCAACATTTTTGTCCGGAATTTTAGATACATACCACCACTCAAAAGTTGTTTGATGACCAAAAAAGGTTGTGAGCATCACTTTGTAGCAAGATTCTTTGTGCAGCTCTACACAAAATTTACAGTGCTAAAAGTTTTTTGTGCCGTTCTAGAGAAAAATTTGTGCATTTTACTTTAATGGGCAAAATATTCAGGAAAACTTTTGCAGAGAAAAGCAAAGAAAAGTTTAAATGATGAAACACGCACAAAAAAGATGACGCTCAAAATAAACAAACACCTATTGGGATATAGAAATTATAGACAGATATAGAAAGACATTCGATGCTGAGGTGATATTATTCTTACAAAACTTCAATATCGTTTTGACTCGCACATAAACGAAGCACAAAATTGATAATGTCAAAGCAGGAGCCTGTTTAAAATCTTAATCTCTTTTTTATATCAATCAAAAGTTATATTGATATAAAGTTATATTTATATCAATCAAAAATGATAATATTGATCTTACCAACGTAAGTAGCAAGTGATTGCTTTTGAAACAAGCCTTGAAATAATTTTTTGATCCTACACGGGACGTCATTATAATATAGTTTCAAACTTTCACGATCACAGTTCACAGGTAAATTACTATGGAGAGAAATTTGAATCCTTCAACAAGAAGTACGTTTGACAAAAAAGAACATGCCAAAAAGCTATATTATATTACATTACATTATATTATATTACATTATATTATATTATAGTACATTATATTATATTATAATATATCATATTATATTATATTGTATTATATTATATCATATCATATTATTTTATATTATATCCTATTATATTTTATTATATTATATTATATTATTTTATATCATATTATATTATATTTCATTATACTTTATTGATATACAATATGCATAGGAATTTCAAAAAATCCCCTAGGAATTTTTATCGCTACACAGTTGGATGTTGCCTTTGAAAGATTTATGACCACAACAATCGAACTAACTGTATGTAAAGTTTTTGAATTACACTGTATTTCACCCTAGCTTAACAAGAGATTTCAACGAGGAAAAATGGTCTAGATTTAAAAGAATTTTTAAGAACAAAGATCACAAAGAAGAAGATGATAAACAGAACAAACTAGATAGTGTCTAGATACTGAATTCGATAAAATTTTAAAGAGATTTTATAGATTATGATCATTACTACTGTTATGTTCGTGTTTGTATTATTGTAAAGGTCTTTTTTAAGCTTTATATGTTGTCTACTGGTAGTTGCTGCAATTCTACTTTTCCACTACTAATTCTCTTTTGTTTCAGTTTTATCACTGCAAAAAAATTGACCAACGAGTGTATCACCGTACATTTATGATTTATCATTGCACAAATTGGCTCCCACTGCACGTTAAAATAAACCCTGCTACAGTTTCGACCATTTCATTGTGCTGAATCATTGCAAAATATACATCTACTGTGTTGGAAATATACACTCTTACCAGACTGTCAAGATACTGTAAAACATTCTAGTTTAATCTTTCACATCATTCTAGTATATTCGTAGTATTAGTTAATTCCAATTTTCTGCAATAATAATTACTTCCGCTTTCTCAAACATTCTGGAACAATACTTTTCTAGAAACTTCTAGAACATTACAATAAACATATAAAAAAGCATTGCTGTATTAGGTTAGTTAGTTGTTCATATTATTACCTCTGTGTTAATCAAACTGCGTTAGTCTGTGAATACCTTCAACAGGTTTTGGGCCCAGAGCCAGTAACAGAAGCTTGACGAGACGTGTAGGCCTGTTTTGGTTATCGTGAACAGTCTTGAATTAGAATTGGTTGTTGTGATATCGCAAGTGGCTGGATACTTCATTCTTCAGAAGGATTGAATATGTGCAATTCTTGCAAAGGCAACAATGGCATCAGAAGTAAAGACTGTAACAGTTATTCCGTTGAACGGTAAAAATTATCACCGCGTACCATTCAGCACCAGATTCATCCCCAGATTCATCCCCAGATTCATCCCCAGATTCATCCCCAGATTCATCCCCAGATTCATCCCCAGATTCATCCCCAGATTCATTCCCAGATTCATCCCCAGATTCATCCCCAGATTCATCCCCAGATTCATCCCCAGATTCATCCCCAGATTCATCCCCAGATTCGAGATTTATCCCATGTGTCGAGATGACAATGATTAGTATGAAAATATGTTATTTCTAGCGTTTCCTTTCAATTTCCACTCGATAAAATCTTTTCCTTGCCAATTTATTTTTTGATGTTTTTAGCGGGCCTAGGCATGCGTATTTTCCATCCCCAGATTCATCCCCAGATTCGCGTTTTGTATAATATGGGCCTAAAAACAGCTTGAAATGTGTCAAAATGACAATAGCTCGAAAGAATGTGTAGTAATATGCGGTTCTCCGTCAATTTCTACTAGATAAATGTCACGTTTCTACCACTTTGTCTCCAATGTTGCTAGTTGGCCTAGGCAGTACTTTTCATCCCCATATTCGCGGCCATAGATATATGAACTTCAAAAGAAAACAGAAGATACAGCTTACAAGGGAAGGCGTTCGAAACAGAAGGCATATAGCACATTCGAGAGACAAAGACGTGATTCGAGCAGCTCAGACAGCAATACTGTTGGATTGCTGGCAAATCAGGAATTTTCAGCAAGCACTACCGAATATCAGAGTGACTGGATCATAGATTCTGGCGCAACATGTCACATGTGTAATGATTTAAATCTGTGTGCGGAGTATTCGGAATTAGGTGAGCCTCAAGAGATCACACTTGGAGATGGACGTCCGGTTCAGGCTTCAGGTAAAGGCATAATACTGTTGGGTATAAAACTATCTGACAAGAAGGTACAAAGATGCAAATTGAATGATGTATTATATGTTCCAGAACTCGCTTACAACCCACTGAGTGTCTCAAAAGTTACCAATACTGGAAAAATGCTAAAGTTTGTATCATCTGGTTGTGAAATTTTGGATGAAAAGCAAAACATCGTTGCTACTGCTACAAAAATTGGAAGCCTGTTTTACCTAAACTCTGTTGCTGCTAATGTACATGCTCGTGCAGTCATGAAGCATTCAAGCGGCGAAACAAAGGTAACAATTTGGCATCGAAGATATGAACACCTTGGTCTAAAGAACTTGGAAAAGCTTGCATCTAGTCATTTGGTGGATGGATTTGATTACCAGAAATCAAACGAGTCACATTTCTGTGAGCCCTGCACGGATGGGAAGCATCATCGAAGCAAGTTTCCAATTGCTGGTGGAAAAAGAGCCATAGAAGTACTAGGAATAGTTCATAGTGTTGTTTGTGGTAAGCTTGAAGCAAAGTCACTCAGTGGTGCTCAATATTTTCTTACGTTCATTGATGACAAGTCAAGATATCTTTGGGTCTATATGTTCAAGTACAAAAGTGAAGTCCTTGAAAAGTTCTTGCAATGGAAAGCCATGGTGGAGAAATCAAGTGGAAAAAGAGTGAAAACTTTACGCTCAGACAATGGTGGCGAATACGTCTCAAAAGAGTTTAAAGATTATCTCAAAAATGTAGGGATTCGTCACAAATGCCCCGTCCGGAAAACACCCGATCAGAATGGCGTCGCTGAAAGGATGAACAGAACACTTGTTGAGATTGTACGATCCATGTTGTCCGACTCTGGTCCGACTAAGACATTTTGGGCAGAAGGAATGTCAACTGCAGCATATCTACGAGACCGAAGTCCAGCGAAAGCTGTAGAGGGTATGACACCATATGAAGCGTGGACTGGCGAGAAACCTAGTGTTCAGCATCTCAAGGTTTTGGGGGTGAAGCATATGCCCACGTGCCAAAGGATGAGAGGAGTAAGCTTGATTCGAAAGCGAGAAAATGTATATTCCTTGGATATGGCGCAGAAACAAAGGGATATGGCTTATACAATGAGAAGAACTCAAAAGTATTTTATAGCAGAGATGTATTATTCAAAGAATCAAAGTCAACAAAAGAGAAGGAGAGCATTGAAACAACAGCAAGTAGAGAAGGTCAACCAACTGTTGAGTTAGAATGCATCAAAGAAGAAGACAGAAATATGGACGAGAAAACTGAAGTAGAAGTGCTAAAATCAGCCAGAACAAGAAAACCACCGGATTACCACGTGTAAGAGCCTACATTGCTGATAGCGAGTTGGGTGAGCCTATGTCGGCAGCCGAAGCCCGGTCAAGTCCTTAGAAAAAGGCATGAGAAAAGGCAATGGAAAGTGAAATGGAATCATTAAAACAAAACGAAGTCTGGGATCTTGTTGAATTACCTCATGGAAAAAATGCCATTGGCAGTAAATGGGTGTTTAAACGGAAATTTGACGCTGATGGAAGAATCGAACGATACAAAGCGCGACTCGTTGCACAAGGGTTTACTCAAAAGTATGGAGTTGATTATGATATTCAGTCCAGTAGTAAGATTCGAGTCAGTTCGCACTATTATTGCTTTAGCTGCAAAGCATGGATCAAAGCTCAAAGCTTACAATGCCTGCTAAAAGTCTTGGAACACTGACATCAATTTCCAAGGTCAAAATCAATCATCCTCCTCTCCCCTACAGAACAATGTTGGTTTACTATCAAACGGGTTAGGATTTTAGGAAGCACTTTCTTTTGCGCTTCTTTTATGATATTTCTCTAAATCATCAACATTGTTTTAAAGGGAAGGGGGCGGAAGTAGCAATTTTTTTCATGAAAGGAATGAAAGATATAAAATGCAGTGTAAATTGCTGGGTGTTCCAAGTACTTTTGGCAGGCATTGTCTGAATTTTATTTTGAAGCTTATTAGATATTCCACCAAAACCAATATCTACCTATAGGTTTTCGATGGTGCTGATTCCATTTCTGCCATTTTCAACGTCGTACGTGTTATCGATAAGGAGATATGGGGGTATTGTCTTTTTCGGGGGTGGGGGTAAGCTACCCCCATGAAACTAAATGCCATATTTCAACTAAGTAAAAATTGCTAAAATCAAAATCGATTTCCAATAAATAGGATCAAGATTGTATTTTGAATCTTTTCAAAAGCTCGTAGCTAGATGGCTGTCTAAGAAATAATGGGATAGATGAAGGAGACAAATATGATTGGCAGCTAGAAAATAGTCTAAAAATGGAAATGGTGCAATTTTATAAAAGCGACATCGATTCCTCTGTTTCATGTTTATGATTATAAATAAGGTCGTATTTGAGAATTATGTCGGGTAGCTGCTCTCCTTTTATCACGGATTTACAAGTTGTCATTCATATAGCCCCTTGTTGTGCAATTCAGTGCTCAAATGACAAATTTCAGAGAGTATACCTAACTTGTAGAAAGGAACTCCGTGTTTCCCACATCAGTGCTCCCAACTGATTGATCTACTATTCCATGTTGGTTGATAAGGGAACTAAAATACAACTGACATCCACTCGCCTTCCTGCGCTCCTAAATGCTTGGTCCAGAAGCACTACAAAGAAAACCTTCTTCGCTACTGTTTCTGCTTTGTCAAAATGGCCTTGTAAGTTAGACTCTACCTGCTACTTTTGTTTTCATAAAGCGCAAGGCAGATTATTTCATCGTTAATTGATTGCTGTATTTGTTTGCGTGATATTTGCCACAACAAAATATCTTATTTCATCGAATGTAGCGAGCGTCGATGTGAAGGACAAGGCCGCGCAAGGCAACTCTCACCCTCGGAAATGAACGCTTGTAGACCGTTGTGTAGACCGTGACTGTTTCTTCGCAATTTTCTGACTTGTCAGGGGGAGGTTTGTCCCCAAATTCACCCAAAAGGTGTATAATAATACCCCTAAAAGACAAAAATTAACCTTTGTATGAATTCCATGAAGAAAACGGCGAAAATCCCACGGTCTACACTCAAAAGGAGAGTAAGATCTAGAGTACTTCAAATTCAATTCTCAGAAAGTGTAGACCGTTGACACGTTGACACTTTCCTGAATTTCTTCAGTTTTACAAATTGAATCGATCTGAAAACCTACAATATTTTTTATACTCACCATGCACACCTACTGACAAAGGTTTGTCTACTTTTTTAAAAAAAACGATTTTTATGAACATTTAAAATCTGTAGACCGTGGCTGTAGACCGTTGGTAACCATTGGCAATAGGCATTTTCATACTACGCCATATGCCCATTAGGAAAGGAACGTTCTTTCAATTCCTAGCTTACTTTAACAATGGAAAACAAACAATCATAATTGGCACAAACCATTTTCCAATTACTGGGACAAGGGAAGATAGAAAATAATAGGGAATGGGGTGTCTATGAGCGCTACCATATTGCCACATGTGAATGCGAAGGAGCATAGCCTAAGCAAATCTATTAAATTCGTAGTTTTGGGAGGGTTGTGGTGGATAAAATTGAGCCATTTGAACAGTTTCTCACCTGCATGTTTTTCGCAATTATCTATATCATGCATGGTTTGTAGACATTCACATGATTTTTTTTTGTTTTTTTCATCAACAATTAAACCATAAATAAGGGGACTTTTCAGCAAAAAAACACTTTTTCAAAAGCACTAAACTGTACTGTTTTTCCTTTGAAAATTATAGTTTTCTTAAACCGATGATCGACTTCTGCACAAAATACTTGTAAATGGTCAGCTGAAGGAAGAGATCTACATGAAGCAACCGGAAGGATACGCTGTTAAAGGAAAAGAACATCTTGTCTGCAAGCTGAAACGAAGTCTATACGGACTGAAGCAGTCACCTAGATGTTGGAATGAAGAACTAGACAGGCACCTGAAGACAATGGAATTCAAGCAAGCTACAACTGATCCGTGTATCTATACAGCTTCAGGAGAAGAAGTCTTCTTAGTAGCTGTTTACGTCGATGACATCATTTTGGGTGGAAAGACTGACAAACGCATAAAAGAAGTCAAAAAACTAATTGCAGAGAAGTTTAATGTTAAAGACATGGGTGAGCTACATCATTTTCTTGGCGTAAAGATTGCTCAGGAGAAAGAAACTGGTGAGATATCGATTAGTCAAGAATCGTACTCAAAGGATCTACTGAAGAATTTTCAGATGAAAGAATCGAAGCCTGTTGCTACACCAGTTGAAATTGGGTTGAAGTTGGAAGTTGAAATTGGGTAAAAGCTACTGAAGGAAGTGACCTATTCAACCAAGAGATGTATCAATCTGCAATTGGAAGCTCATTATATCTTTTAGCAAGAACACGCCTTGCAGTGGCGGATCCAGACTACCGCCACTACCGCTCGAGCGGTAGTCGGATTATTCAAAAAATTATAGAAACGAGGATCAATTTCATGTTTATCCTACTACTTTAATTAAACCATAGTTAAAAATTGAAAATTTTTTGATCGTGCTGCAAACCAAGAATTTCTTCCTAGAAACATGCCTGAAATTTCCACAGAGACAGAAATACTTTTTAATCCTTATCGCTATGGAGATTTGCGGCCAATTGACCAAGCCACATGTTTGCAAATAAAAGGCTAGCATGGGGGGATGGTGAAATCATGGCTTGCTAGCTAGGGGAGTTGAGTCGGTGTAGAGCGGATTTGAGCTGCACTGAGCGGTAGTCAGCCTGCCTAAACCAATCGAATCAAAAGAAATCACAGCCAACCTGGGGGGATGCATACAAATTTTGTTGACAACCTATGAACAACCGAATTGACTACCGCTCAGATGGGGGATTGAGTAGTACTGCCGCTCAACACGACTCAAACGTTACAGAAAGATGGGGGGATGCCTACATATTCTGCAAGTGGGCAAACTGTAACTTCAAAGCCGATGTGACCCATTATTTTGTACAATACACAACTATTCGTAGGATTATATTTCATAAGAATATTAAGACTCGAATATTCTAAAATTTAAGAAGGCATCAGGATTAAAAGTCAGGCCCACAATGTTCGCCAAAAGTATGATTCTTTGTTTAACAAAAGTTGCACTCAATAACTGCAAATTTTATCTGGCTTTTTATAATTACCAACAGGTCTGATTTTCATAAGTAATTGTGCGACTAAATGCGAGTTTTAGGCAACACTTCAAAATTCTGCCAAATGTATCTTTTTTTCTAATTCTATTGTGTTTCTCGGCTAAATGCCGTAAATTTTTTCAGAATATCCATCCATATTGAGTAAGATTATTTATTTCTTTTCAAGCTTGTTGTAAGGATACATAATTTCAGTAAAGCACCACTTGTCTCTTGAAAATGTTCTACATAAGAAATTATAGAAAGCAATAATCATTTTAGAAAACCGGGTGTGACCAGGAATTGGGTGTGGTCTAAAGGGTGTGGTCGACCCTCTATCTCATTTGGGCGGTAGTCAGATTTTTGGCTGGATCCGCTACTGCCTTGATATTGGGTATGCTAACGTTGCAAGATTCTGTGCTAAACCAACGAAGCAGCATTGGACAGCGGTTAAACGAATCCTAAGGTATTGGAATGGTACGCTTAATTTTGGATTACTCTACTGCCCAAGAAAATGAAGACAAGAGCACAAGTTATTCAGATGCAGATTGGGCCGGAGATTTAGATGACCGCAAATCAACCTCGGGATATATCTTCAAAATTAATGGAGCAGCAGTCAGTTGGAGAAGCAAAAAGCAGACCTGCGTTGCACTTTCAACTGCTGAAGCTGAGTTTATAGCTCTAGCAAGTGCAGTTCAAGAAGCTATATGGCTGCAACAATATCTTTCCAACTTGAAGAAAACTGGAGTTAAACCAACAGTGATACATGAAGACAACCAATCCGCTATATGTTTGGCGAAAAACGCACAGTTCAATGGACGTGCAAAACACATCGACATCAAGTATCACTTTATTCGAGAGCAAGTGGCATCTGGTAACATAGAATTACAGTACTGTAAATCCGAAGACATGATAGCTGATGTACTGACAAAAGGTTTGAGCAGTCATCAATTTATGAAACTACGAGGGATGATTGGAGTCAAAGAAACGATTGAACAGTCCGGCAGCGAGTGAGGAGGAGTGTTGGAAATATACACTGTCAAGATACTGTAGAACATTCTAGTTTAATCTTTCACATCATTCTATTCGTAGTATTAGCTCATTTCTATTTTCTGCAATAATAATTACTTCCGCTTTCTCAAACAATCTGGAACAATACTTTTCTAGACACTTCTAGAACATTACAATAAACATATAAAAGAGCATTGCTGTATTAGGTTAGTTAGTTGTTCATATTATTACCTCTGTGTTAATCAAATTGCGTTAGTCTGTGAATTCCTTCAACATACTGCACATTTATCAATGATAAATTTATAGCAAACTTAAGAGATCTCAACAGCGAATAAGAAGAAGAAATGCAAAATTTGTCGCCGTCAAATGGTAAATAACTAAATATTTTCATAATAGGGTACAAAGTTGATCTAGAGACGAAAATCCAAAAACTTCCATCTTTAAAGAAGCATAGTAACGAACTAGCTCTTTGACGTTTCTGTAATGCTTGTCTTGCTCTTCCTTGCACCTTTTGTCCCAAAACCATTGATAGAATTCAAACGAATAAAGATGGTAATGTATCTTTGCCTGGTTCCATTTTTTGCAACTTTCCGGACAGACATCAAATCCAGCTGAGTAACAAAGTCCTTCTTTAATAAAATCTTCGATATATTCCTTTGGAGGAACGTCTGAAAGATAGGACTGACCGTTTGTTATTGTGTACCTCAGGTGAATTGATGAGCGCGGCATTGGTATCGTCATCTCTGGGGGTACGTTAGTCCGATAATAATCTGACGACACTTGACTAGCAAGCAAATTTTCTCCTCTCCAGTCACCATTTGGGACCATCTGCAAGCGCCATGAGTACTCATTTCTGTGATAGTACCAAACATAATTGCACATGATACTAAACTGACAAAGACAATGCATTTGACGTGGAGTGTTTTTAAAAACTGAATCAAAATCCATGCTGTGATTTCTTGCAAGGACCTCTCTCATTTCTATCATATGCTCCGTTTTTATCATAACAGGGAAAGTTGACATGCATTGCATAACTTCTTTTTTGCCGAGAAACAACTCTGTTGTTTCAGCCCAACATTGGTACGGAACCTGGCCAATTTTTGCAATAATAATTGGTTTTCCATTGTCAAATAACAACTGTGGTGTTACTAAGGTGCTGAAAAATGTATCAGTATCGACATACCCCACATAAGATACATTGGTACATTTATCGGGATACATCATGTCCCAAAACATTCTGGCCTTGCCCCATCCGCGGTATGCATTGATGGAACTTGGATCTCTGTAGCATATTTGTGGATATGGCCATTCTGTTTTTATTTTGTCCCCAAGCAAATGGTCTTCTTTCTTTTCGTTGTCCAATACAACTAAAAGTTTTGCTCGTTCGGGTGGAAAGAAAAGCTTCATAGTGCGAACCAAATAATTTTTATACTCTTGCTCAAAACGCGGATTAGAGGTTAATCTCAAGTATAGCACAAACTCAGGAACGCCATCCCAAGGGTTTCTTAATGGAAAGATTCTTCTAAAGCTCGGTTGAGTTTTCATCTGCATTTCCATTGATTTCATCAAAAAGGTCACAATTGCGATGAACACCATTGCTATTAGCAAGTAGACGTGTAACAACTGCATGTTATCACCTGTTAGAGAAATTAAAGACAAAATTTGTCAAAATGTGAAATTTTGCTCAAAGGATTTTAAGATATATTTGTAGATATCATCAAAATATAATTATATGATTTGATATAATTTTGGCAGCTTTCCAATATTATTTAATGATATGCCTATGAAGTAGGAATCAATTTCCCTTTACTTATACAAGACAATCCGTCTTTTGGATTAGACGAAGTGGAAATACATAGCATTTATAAGGACACTGAGAATTGCCTATTGGACACTTAATGTAAACACTAGGTATATGCTTGGGTCCTTCAGGTGTTTGGGACAAGAGTTTTCTGTATCATTCTAAAATTTATGGTTTTATAAAAGCCTTTAGTACATTGATTATTAGGACCAGTGAACTTCAAGAAAATAAATATCAAAGTTGAAGAAAGATATTAAGAATATAGACTTTAAGCGAATACGAATAAAGGATAAAGAAGACACGATATTTTTGTTTTTGTTATATAGTAAGGTCAAAGTTGACAGAAAAGGGATTTTTTTAGGATTATTGAGTAATAACCTTTAATTTGCATCGTTTGTTGTTCTGATTTTAATGCTTTAAAGGCAAAATATTTTTCATCTTCTACATTCTTACGGTTGATAGAGCTGAGCTAATGCTTTTGGTATTGTCGATTGTCCTTTTTGAAGAAGTTACATAACACTTATGTATAGTTGCTTATTAATGTCAAATATAGATTACATTATTTCTTTTTGCAACATTCGTCGAAGCTATGAAAAAAGGGACCTGCATTAGCTTTAAAATCTTTGAACCAAGCCAATTTAACAGTTTTCTAGTTATCAAACTTCAAATGGCCGTATCGCATAAAATATGCAAAAGATTTAACTTGTTTTCCACATTTAGAGACATTTTAACGTGTTGTTTCTGCCTGTGCAATAGTACAATAGTTTATTCGTTCAAAATTGAAAATTCAGAAAAAACAATTTTGTTATAATGTCATCCTTTTGCGCCTCTGTTGCTCAAGTCTGGTTCTATCGTTAAGGTTACGGTAGACGTTTTGAACACGAAAATTGGTTTTCCTTCCCAAAGGCCAAACGGCTCAAGGAATCTGGATAAACTATATATCATTCGATGCACAAGATTATGGCGTATCTAGCCAGATAAAAATTATTGGCAAATAATGTTAAATGCTATTTTCCATGCGAATTTGCTGGTCAAAAAGTGTACCACCTTCAAAAGCTATTATGTACCCTTGCGTTTAAGGTAACAAAATCTGACTTAGACCAGCAGGAAGTGCAGGTCCTAATCTACCAAAAGATGTCTCAGATTTTTTAAATTCCTCCTCTTCTTGAAACTATACCCTGTCAAAAATTGGCAAATAATTTTTCCACCCTCCCGCAGCGGTATTTGGGTATAAAAGACGGACCAGAGAAAATAAAAAAATTTTGAGACACGCTTTGTTTGCCCAACGTCTGCCCTGGCCGTGTGCAAATTTTCGAGCTATTCGATTGGTTCCTTGGGTACATAATAGCTTTTTCGTACCTGCATGTAGAGGAATTTCGAGTCTGGAGAAAACGGGATTTTACTGATCGCACTTGCAAGATACACTCGTAAACCACAGTGTAATCCGGGTCAAGTCACTTGAAGATTTAAGATCAATAAGCCTGTTTAAATAGACACGGCCGTACATTGGATATATAGATGTGCCATGCGATATTGTAAATGAGAAATGCGACCACAACCGCAAAGCAACGATAATCGGCTTAACAGGTCAAGAGATTTTCAGGCCTCAACTAAAAGTTTTGATAAAGAAATTATGGAAACCTTCGCTTACATGGGATTTTTTCCACTTTCAAAATTTCTGTTTGTTTCAAATTTGGTATCATTGTGTGCCTTGAAAGTTCGGCTACTTGAATGTGAAAAAATCGAAAAAATGATGTTTTCATCCAGAAAACGTTACATTAACAGAAACATATAAAACAACTTGTCAAGGCCAATATTAGAAAAAAGAATGTATCAAAAAACTAAACTTTTGCACAAATTACACTTTTTATAAATACATATTCCGCGAACACCAAGTTTCTAAACTAGTGCTAAAGACATCACTTCTTCCTTCTATTCCAGTGATGTTGTCACTATGGATCACGGATCAAAACCTCTTGGGCATTGGTAAACGTCGCCAAAGGTGACCTTTGGAGTTGCTCAGCGATTCATATTCGAATTAAACAGAAAAAAACATTCGAAAATACCGAAAAAAGTGCCACATAAAGCAAATTTACTTATAATATCTACACTCAGTGAGCAAAAGTATTGCACAGGCTGAGTCAGAAAGTAAGAAAAACAGTTCTCATAGAAAACGACAACATAATAAATGACGACAAGAAGATTTGTGAAATTTTCAATTCTTATTTTGTAAACATAACCGACACACTACCTATCACATCACAGCCAGAGTCTGACGTTGTAATCAATTTGTCAACTGATCATGTGCTGTATTCGATTCAGAAATACAGGAGCCACCCTAGTATTATCAGAATTAAGGAGAATGTTGGTATTATTGACGAATTTGAATTTGATTTTGTTGCACCTTTTGATGTTTGGACTGAAATCAACCAGCTTAGTAGTTCAAAAAATCTATCGGGGAGATACCTACGGACATTTGATATTACTCTCAGATTTGTGTATTGATCAAATTACATTGTATATTAACAATATGTTCGAATATAGCTAATTTCCTGACCAACTAGAAATGGTTGATGTATCACCTATCTTCAAAGCGAACGATTCTACATTGAAACTTAACTTTAGGCCTACAAGTGTCCTTCAAGCCATTTCTAAAGTATTTGAATGCATAATGGTCAAACAAATGAAACTGTGTGGCTTCGTGTTTACTGTGTGGCTTTCGAGACGGCTACAGTACACAATATGCATTGTTGAGTCTTATTGAAGCTTGTCACAGTAAACTGGATAAAAAGAGCTATGTGGGAATGGTACTAATGGATTTATCAAAAGCTTACGACTGCCTTCCACACGATCTCTTGATAGCTAAGCTAGCTGCCTATGGTTTCGGTCTGAAAAAGACTGAGACTATTTTGAAGTTACCTTTCAAACAGGAAGCAACGCGTCAAATATGGCAACTCATTTAATGAATGGCTAAACATAAAATCTGGGGTTCCCCAGGGTTCAGTGTTAGGTCCATATCTGTTTATTTTTTTCATGAACGATTACACATATGTCATTACTAAGTCAGAATACTATAATTTTTCAGATGACAATACTATATATGCATGCAGTCAAACCCTTACCCTGGGTACCAGACTCACTATATATGAAATAAAATAGAGAGTCTGGTCTAGTGCGCCCCATTCTCGTTCTGGTGTGCTGATATTAACCAATCAGGAGCGAGTGTACAGATTTCTGTACGTTCAAAGGTCACATCGAAACAATAAACTTAGCTTTGGTATAAAACATTGAACAGAACAGAACATAAATAAATGCTAGCGACCGTAACGATTGAGTCTAAAGATGCTGTTAAAATTGTACTCAAAGAATATTTTCCGCATGCTGTGGAACTGAACACAGAACAGCATTGAAAGCCTTGTTTGTAGAGAAAAGAGACACCTTCGCCATATTGCCAACTGGCTTTGGAAATTCTCTGATATTCCAGGCTGTGCCTCTCGTTGCAAAGAAATTAGGCCTTGTAGTGAAATGCAGTAGATAAGAAACACCGCAAGGCGCCGAGAACAAACAACAACAAACACAGTAAATCAGTTATAGCTAATATTTCGCCCGGCATACGGGGCTTCGCTTGTCGTATTGCCCATATTTGCGGTGGTGACCTTCCAACGTGATGATTCTAACAACCACGGTGTCCGAGCGCGCTGCCTTCACAGTGAGGAAGTAGACGTTGAAAGTACACACAATTTATGAGCAAAATTACAAAAGACTTATTTTAAGTTGTATACGAAATTTGATAATGATTAACATTTAATAACTGCATTGTGCTAACTTTAATTTCATGCTTCGCACATGATTTTTGCTGCCAAATGGCGTTTTAAACCTGATTTGATTGTTATTTTGAGGCAGAAAAGTCTTTTACCACTGTATTAAAAATGTCGACTTTAAGGAACTAAATAAAACACATTTGCTTTAAGATTTCCCAAAACTCCTCTGACTACTGAGTTTCTTTGTTATTTATCTGACAGTCTTGTTTCACAGGCCTAGTCTGTTAAATAGACTTCAGTTCTTTCAAGTAAGTTCACCAGAACGAGAATGGGGCGCACTAGACCAGACTCTATTATTTTATATAGTGAGTCTGGTACCCAGGGTATCAAACCCTAGAACAGGCTGTATCTTATCTTAGGGATGATACCCATAATGCGTTGTGTTGGTTTCGGGACAATGGAATGGTTGCAAATCCTTTCAAATTTCAAGTCATGTATCTTGGTCTAAAGCAAGACCAGGAATACGTGTTTGAAATTGTTAACCAACCCATTCCTGCAACTAGCACAGTCAAACTCTTAGGTATTACTATAGACTCTAGGCTAAAATTTGTCGACCATGTAAACGCACTTTGCACGAAAGCAAACAACATGACCAGCGCATTTTCGCGAGTAGCAAAATATTTAAATCAGGACAAGAGACATATTCTTTACAATACATATATCCTATCAAACCTCAATTATTGTCATTTAATCTGGATGATCTGTGGGAAATATGCCAATGCAGCAATAAACAGAGTTCACAAAAGGGCACTGAGAATTACGTGGGGGGACTTGCAACCCCCTTTGCTGAACTTTTAGCTAGGGGTAGCGAAAGAACTATTCCCACAAAAAATTTGCAAAAATTGATGATGGAAATATATAAATGCCTCAATTCGGAAAATTTATTTTTTATGCGGCAAATATTCCGGGCAAAAGATGTAGCCTATAACCTAAGGACTAAATATTATCTACAGTTACCAAGTACAAACACAATGACATATGGAAATGATTCACTATCCTTCAAGGGTACCATCCTTCAGGGGAACACTTTATCTGATTCAATAAAAAGCCTGACAGCCAGTGCTAGCTTTTAGAGATCAATTAAAGAGTGGAAAGGTGATATTTGCTCATGTAAAATATGTAGATAAAAGGTCCGTGGGAATCTCATCATAAGCATATATTTATTGTATTTATGGTAATTAGAATTTATTTTTATGTAAATGGTTGGTCTTAATTAGTTCAAGTTAGAACTAACAGTATTTTAACCAACTGTAAATAATGTTACAATAATAATAACAATAATATTGCATCGGAACTCAATCAATATAAGGTGTCTCAAATTGTTGGTCAGGGAAAAAAGATGCTGCAAATTGCTTGAAACAACAGTATTATGTTTTCTCATTGAATGAAAAGACCAAAATTCTGGCGATAAACATGTACATTCAAGTTTTTACGGATTTGTCAAACCTTTTGCTGACTGTCTATATTCGAACAACAACATTGGATTTTAAACGTTAATATTTGTTCCAGGTCACTAAACAAAAACCATTAGCAAATAAGGGTAGGATGGTCCTCAGAATGTTTTACCATTGTCAATCATAAGATTGAAGGTGGTGTTCTCTCATCATTTGAACCATTTAGTTTTGGGCTGTCGGTGCGCCAATCGCAAAGACGGCCATAAATAAAACCCCAACCGTTTTTGAGGGGGTTGAGAAGAAGAACAATGGCCTTCTTCCGCCGACTAGCAGCACCTTGTTCATGCAAAAAGTCGCAAGCCATACGGCCATTAACTAATGCACGAAAAAAATAAGTTGAAAGTCAACATGCATGTAAATAAAAACCCCTGAAAATTTCTAGACAAGGGTTGGGTGGGCAGGGTCACAAAGGAAAAAACCTTTCCTCTCCAAAGTCCAACTTCAAGTTGTCGTGCAACGTGTGAGAATGAAACTGTGCTAAGACAAAGTATATATACCCAAAGCCAATGCACATTTGCACGCTGGTTGCTTTAGCCGTATAAAAAACACAATGTAAAGCTTACTCGAGCACTGCTACAATAAACACAAACTCCACAATTGTGCAATCTGTGCCCAAAAAGAAAAGCCCAAGGGGCACCTAAAAGGCGTACCCTGTCACATATTAAACGTGATTAAATTTCATTTAATCAAGCCTAATCACCCGTACAGCCTCCAGGTTGAATTTGCTGAAATCATTTTTTTCACACATTTACGTTTTTTCTTTTTTTGCAATTCGACTCTTCTTTGCTGGAGATCTTACGTAAAGCTACGGATACAGTTGTGGCACACTTGACAACTGAACGAAATTTAAAGAAAAACTTCTGACAAACATAATCCCTATTGTTCATAGACAAAAGGGATTAAGCTTGCTAGCAAAGCCCTGTCCACACTAAACAAACTAACCCAGGTTCGCCCCAGGTTTTTGCTAACCCAGGTTAGATTTTGCAGTGTGAACACAATTAACCTGGGTTCGCCCTGGTTGAACCCAGGTTAGTGTTATGAATTTCTAGTGTGGACACCAACCTGGGGTGAACCTGAGTTAGTTTTAGTAACGCATGCCAATCATATGCCTCAAAAAGATGTAAGAAAATTGAGTCCCACCAGTTTTTACTTCGTGTTTTACACCAATATTTTCTTTCCACGTCTACTCGTTGAATGCACTCTAAAGAGATACTTTGTTTAGGACATGTTTCAAATTTTTTCCTCCTCTGTGATCTGGATCTCTTATACTGTCGAATCCGTTTGCGACATGCAGCCAATATTTTGTTTAATCTTGATTGCCGTGCCATTGGGTATTTATTTTGAATAAACTGCATTGCAAGGAAAAACATTTTAAACAAAATACAATAAACTGCGACTTCGGCAACTTCCATCTTGATCGTGTTTGTAGATTATTTGTTTTGTTGTCCTTGTTTTGTTGCTGTAATCTAACTACGCATGCGTAGCATTGACTAACCAGGGTTCGCCCCGACGTTGTGTCCACATTACAAAATATGAAAATCAAGTGTGGACAAAATAGGGTTCACCCTAGGTTGAATTTTACCCGGGGCGAACCTCGGTTAGTTTGTGTACTGCGGACAGGGCTTTTAACAAATGCTGATTTCCCAATGTACACACCAAAATTGCCAATATAATAAGTTCACTAATCCCTCAAATCTGAAATCTTGTTCAGTTCGCCCAGGGCCTTGGAAAAATAGTCTTGATTTTCCACTTTTACAAAGATAACAAGTTTTATGTCAGAAACAAGAGCACCCAGGGTCTTAGCTTCAATAATCGAGCGCCAAAAGTAATTAACTCTAAACAAGTTTATACAAATGGTCAACAATGTTGCAATGTGTGGACAGAGCCTTCAATAAGCCTAAACATTCCATTTCAAACGTATTAGGGTGTTCAGAATAAATGTATGATCGTGTAGACGGGCCTAATCAGCAAAATCGCTCATTAAAGTGATCAGCGACAAATATAGCGAACGTGCCTGGAGGATGCACGTAGTCAATACTATTTTGCTCTCAAGCGAGTGATTGCATCCTGATTTTTCAAACTATGGCAAGAGGGAAATCTCTTTTTATGGAAGCTAATTTTGTATATGATCAAAACTTTTGATAGCTTGACTATAAAGCATTGCTTGAGGTATGTATTTCGTGAAACTGTTGCCATTTGTTCTAGGTTTTGCTAACTTTGAGTTATACTTGTAAAGATCGGAGCAATATGCCAAAATTAAAAAAAACACTTACCTGATCTCAGATTGGATTTAGAACCGATTTTGAACCCTCCAATTTTTAATAAAATCAGGTAAGGCAGAAAAACATGAATCCGCCTCAACCCAGATGAAGCAATACCTGCCACACACGGTCAAATCAGGTAAAGATTTGTATATAAATAGTTATTCACGCTCGATAATATCAGGTAGAGCTTTGTATAGAAATGTGGTTGAAACCATAGGAACAAAATGGACGCTTCAATGGCAATTTTTTAGTTATACTAATTCTCTCACTGGGCCCACGCCAACGATTCTAAGGTGAAGCAAAACACAGGGTTTCAATAACACACCATTCTAGAATGTGTAAAATAAAAGGTATATGTCCCAGACTTTTGATAGTTTGACTATAAAGCGTTGCTTGAGGTATGTATTTCGTAAGAAAACTGTTGCCATTTGTTCTAGGTTTTGCTAATTATAAGTTATACTAGTAAAGATCGGAACAAAATTGTTATTATACTACTGCCGTTCCCCGTCTTGGTCCGTAGGTTCCGTAAGGTCCGTAGGGTCCGCAGGGTCCGTAGGGTCCGTAGTCATGATCATTCTGAAGAGCATGTCCTGCCATAGGGTACGCCGAGAGACCAACTCGATCCTTAAATACCCCTTTTCGATATCCGCGCGCTTATTTTGCTTGAAGAGACTGGGGAGAGAATTTGGGTGAAAAAAATTTCCTGGGCCTTTGTTTACATACAGATGTGGCGTTTACTAGCAACTAATCACAGCACGAATTTACATCAAAAGTATTCGAAATTTTGTGGATTTGATTCCTAAACATCTCCCGTAGTCATTAGTCTCGAGAATAGCTTTTTGAAAAGCTTCTGTACGGTGTCGTGCTCTCAGAGGCTACGCAGGGTTAGGCCGGTTTCAAATATGGTCTTTGTGAAATTGCGTCGTCATTTCTTGCAAAAATAGAAACTGCCTGCAAAAACTTTGGAGAAAAAAAGATTTGCGACATTCATGAAGTGTTTACAAAAAATGATTTCCAATGCAACGTCCATTTCACCTCTTAACCTCTCCGACTTTAAAGTTAAATTCTGATAAGAGACGTGAATGGATTAGATGTTTTAACAGGTACAAGATGGATTTGAAAGTTCCATCCTTTTGACTGCCTCAATACGAAATAGACCAGCTGCAATATTATTGCTGATTTGGAACAAGCTTGCTATACATGATTGCATATTTGGAACATGCTGAAACAATTTTCCCTGATTTTTTCTCATTGCATATCCAGCGCATATACGGCATATCACAGATTTTTGAGATGATCTGCATGAAGATTTTAGAAGGCAGTACTTGCTACTCTTTCCACAGCTAGGGCCTTGTTTTCATAAGCAACGAATGCTGTTGCAGCTAACTCGTGTTTACCACCCAAAAGTTTGAGTTCTTTTAGGCTGAGAAAATTTCTGAGGTCTTTCTTTTGCGAAAATTTGTCGAGATTCATCGTGCGCTGCTTTTTCGATCAGCGACTTTCCTAGCCTGTCAGAACACCATAATTGACAGAACCTTTTAAAAAACCTGCTTTCGAGAGAAAAGGCTAAAAAAGATGTTTAAGAACAAAATCAACAAAATTCCGAATAATTTTATTGATGCCAATTCGGGCAATATTTTGTCGCCTGTAAACGCCATATCTATACATAAACAGGCCTGTGACAACTTTTCCACCCAATTTCTCGCCCCAGTCTCTTCATGCAAATCAAGCGCGCGGATATCAAAAAGTTGTATACAAGTCGACTGAGCTTCAATGACCTTTCAGTTGGTGTCCCTGTGGTAAGTCATGCTCATTTGGAATAGCATGACCTCGTCATTATCATCATAAGCCTGGCCCAGATTTGATTGGCTGAATTCTATCTTGCGCATGCTATTTTGGCCGGTTTTGGACCCCAATTCGTGCTAATTTCTTCAGCATGACCGACTTAAATCTCCAATACATGAGGTACCTAATTTCTGCCTTGCAGTGTTATCACTTTCAAGGAAATTTCCTTAAATTAAGGAAATTGAGCACGTTTCAAGGAAGTTTTTAGGACAAGAAAAGTTTAAGGAAATTTAAGGAAATTTTGATATTTTACAAAATGAAAAATAATTGCAATATAAACTACTGTTTGGCAATGATGATTTTATTTTAGCTTTGAATGTCTTATAACAGTTTACTTCAAGCTAATTTTTATTGGTCCACAGTAAGTATCCTTTGTGGCATCAGAACAATCGTTGGGGAAATTTTAGAGTTAGCAACGCAGATTGATTGTCACCTTTTATGCCACAGATCTTGTAAAGATTTTTTTGCAAAAATTTTGGCAGAATTGTTTTGTACATTTTGGAGGAAAATGCTTTGCAGATTTTTTCAGATAATGCTTACTGGCAAATATTACAAAAAATTACGCCAAGTTAGTTGGCAATGTTCCTCTAAGGGAAGATAGAAACTATTTGTTTGCAAATTATTTTTTTAAACTGCTAAATATCGTATTTAAACCATATAAAGAAGGACAGTGCTGGAAAGTTGTGGATAAAAAGCAAGTCGCTAGGCTCTCGAATATGCTTACTTTGGCCTATTTGCTAAAATATCTTTCAAGGTTTGACACTTTTTGAAAGTAGGCTTATTTAGCAGCAGCAGCACAAAATACTACCAAGTCTACTTTATTTGCTTATTTGAGGTTGGACAGGACTTGAAAATAGCAAGAACAGCCATATTTTTCGAAATTACGCTGAATGAGTGACAACTTCGATACATCTGAGAAAAATACGAAATAAAAGTCTATTACTAAATTCGCCTTAATCCTCATTTGAGATTCTTCAAGGGAGGACAATTTTAAAAAAATGTTTTGGTTGGGTGCTTATTCAGTTGGGAAAAAGGGCTCTTTCAAAGGTGGTGGTCAATACGTTAGATTCCAGCCTTTGGGGTCTGTAGAATACATGCAAAATAAGTGTAGGAGACTCTGAGGAAATTTTGAATTTCGTCCAATCAGATTTATGAAATATATGGGAATTCTTAATCAGGAAAAAATAAATTCAGTTTCTACTTTGTTGAGGCACTGCTGCCTGGTAAGCTGTGAAACATTGCTGCAAGGGAGTGAGAAAAATCAATTGAAGCTATTTCCGAGAGATATATTGTTTATGAACTGTTACAGGGATCACATGCGTGTGGCTGAGCAATTGTAAACCAAAATTGTGATTGAAAACCAAAGACCGACCCTTATCGATGGAGAATCCTACTATTATGATGCTGATCATACTATAACTTGTTGCTGATGGAAGAACTTGTACCCTGAAACTTGCCTGTTCATTCAGTATTTCACCAAAATCCCTTGCTGATGGAATTTCACTCTTGAAAATTTCCTGTTTTGTCAAAATCACACAAAAACCTGTTGCTGATGGTTGGAACTTTGCAATAAAAATTGCCTGTTCATTCTGGTTTATTCAATATTGCAACCTTACTTGTTGCTGAGAGAAAAGCTTGCACTTGAAAACTTGCTTGTTTATTCAATATTTCACAAAATCCTGTTGTTGATAGGAAAAATTGTGCTCTTGAAAATTTCTTGTTTTGTCAATATTACAACAAAACTTGTTCTTATAAAAGAAATTCAAATTTTACCCTGCAAATTGCCTGTTATTTGATACAACACCCCCGGCGTGGTATATCACACTATCAAATGTAAGCACCGGTGTCTGAGGGTCCAGAAAATTGACACTTCTATCTGATATTTGATTCCAATTTGATTCCCCTTTTCTTTGAAATTTATACTCGTTTTCCTGAAATCAATTAGTTGAAAAAAGGCGATGATAAATTTATATCCAAACAAGGAACAAGCGGAACAGCCTAGGAACAAGCGAAAAAACCCAGTAACAAAGCAGGAACAAGCGGAATAACCCAATAGCAAGCCGTCTGTGAATACCTTCAACATACTAACATTTCATCTATGATTGATTTATAGCAAGCTGAAGAAATATCAACAGCGAATAAGAAGAAGAAGTGCAAAATTTGTCGCCGTCAAATGGTAAATAATAAATATTTTCATAATATGGTACATAGTTGATCTAGAGACGAAAGTCCAAAAACTTCCATCTTTGAAGAAGCATAGTAGCGAACAAGCTCTTTGACTTTTCTGTAATGCTTGTCTTGCTCTTCCTTGCACCTTTTGTCCCAAAACCATTGATATAATTCAAATGAATAAAGATGGTAATGTATCTTTGCCTGGTTCCATTTTTTGCAACTTTCCGGACAGACATCAAATCCAGCTGAGTAACAAAGTCCTTCTTTAATAAAATCTTCGATATATTCCTTTGGAGGAACGTCTGAAAGATAGGACTGACCATTTGTTATTGTGTACCTCAGGTGAATTGATGAGCGCGGCATTGGTATCGTCATCTCTGGGGGTACGTTAGTCCGATAATAATCTGGCGACACTTGACTGGCAAACAAATTTTCTCCTCTCCAGTCACCATTTGGGACCATCTGCAAGCGCCATGAGTACTCATTTCTGTGATAGTACCAAACATAATTGCACATTATACTAAACTGACAAAGACAAGCCATTGTGCCTGGAGTGTTTTTAAAAACTGAATCAAAATCCATGCTATGATTTCTTCCAAGGACTTCTCTCATTTTTGACATATGCTCCGTTCTTATCATAACAGGGAAAGTTGACATGCACTGCATAACTTCTTTTTTACCGAAAAACAGTTCAGTTGTCTCAGCCCAACATTTGAACGGAACTTGGCCAATTTTTGCAATAATAATTGGTTTTCCATTGTCAAATAACAACTGTGGTGTTACTAAGGTGCTAAAAAATGTATCAGTATCGACATACCCCACATAAGATACATTGGTACATTTATCGGGATACATCATGTCCCAAAACATTCTGGCCTTGCCCCATCCGCGGTATGCATTGATGGAACTTGGATCTCTGTAGCATATTTGTGGATATGGCCATTCTGTTTTTATTTTGTCCCATAGCAAATGGTCTTTTTTCTTTTCGTTGTCCAATACAACTAAAAGTTTTGCTCGTTCGGGTGGAAAGAAAAGCTTCATAGTGCGAACCAAATAATTTTTATACTCTTGCTCAAAACGCGGACTAGAGGTTAATCTCAAGTATAGCACAAACTCAGGAACGCCATCCCAAGGGTTTCTTGATGGAAAGATTCTTTTAAAGCTCGGTTGAGTTTTCATCTGCATTTCCATTGATTTCATCAAAAAGGTCACAATTGCGATGAACACCATTGCTATTAGCAATTTGACGTGTAACAACTGCATGTTATCACCTGTTAGAGAAATTAAAGACAAAATTTGTCAAAATGTGGGACAAGAGTTTTCTGTATCATTCTAAAATTTATGGTTTTATAAAAGCCTTTAGTACATTGATTATTAGGACCAGTGAACTGCAAGAAAATAAATATCAAAGTTGAAGAAAGATATTAAGAATATAGACTTTAAGCGAATACGAATAAAGGATAAAGAAGACACGATATTTTTGTTTTTGTTATATAGTAAGGTCAAAGTTGACAGAAAAGGGATTTTTTTAGGATTATTGAGTAATAACCTTTAATTTGCATCGTTTGTTGTTCTGATTTTAATGCTTTAAAGGCAAAATATTTTTCATCTTCTACATTCTTACGGTTGATAGAGCTGAGCTAATGCTTTTGGTAGTGTCGATTGTCCTTTTTGAAGAAGTTGCATAACACTGATGTATAGTAGCTTATTAATGTCAAATATAGATTACATTATTACTTTTTTGCGACAGTCGTCGAAGCTAAAATAAAGAGACCTAAAATTTTAGAACCAAGCCAATTTAACAGTTTTTTAGTTATCAAACTTCAAATGGCCGTATCGCATAAAATATGCAACAGATTTAACATGTTTCCCACATTTAGAGACATTTGAACGTGTTGTTTCTGCCTGTGCAATAGTACATTAGTTTATTCGTTCAAAATTGAAAATTCAGAAAAAACAATTTTGTTATAATGTCATCTCTGTTTCTATCGTTAACAGAAACATATAACACAGCTTGTCAAGGCCATTAGTAGAAAGGAGAATGTTTCAAAATATTAAACGTTTGCACAAATTACACATTATATAAATACATATTCCACGAACACCAAGTTTCTAAACTAGTGCTAAAGATACCACTTCTTCGTTCTATTCGTGGTGATAAGTCTCTTGTGTGGTGGCGTTATATCGACGACATTTTTATGATTTGGACACACGGACAAGACAAACTCACCGACTTCATCGATACACTCAACAACACCCATCCAACCATCAAATTCACCACAGAACAATCCAAAAAATCCATACATTTTCTTGATGTCACTATTTCCATCAATAATGATAATACCCTTTCTACAGATCTCTATGTTAAACCCACGGATACACACCAATATCTCCTCAGCACCTCCGCACACCCCAAACACACCAAACAATCCATTCCATACAGTCTTGCCCTACGACTACGACGGATCTGCTCCGAAGACGAAACGTTCAAATATCGCACGAGACAACTACTGGAATACTTGACAAAACGGGGTTACAAACCCAAACAGACAAACAAACAAATACAGAAGGCTGCTAAAAAAACCAGACAAGACTGCCTCAAGACCACCAAACCGCGCACTAATCATCGCACGCCATTTCTTGTTACCTACCACCCAGCTTTGCCACAGCTATCCACCATACTCAAACAAACCTTGACATACTAAAAAACTTTAACACATGTAAAGAAGCCTTCCCCGACGCACCCATACTTAGTTACCGCAGACCGAAAAACCTCCGGGATTTACTGGTTCGTGCCAAAATTAAAAATGCCACACCCAGCGATCCACTAGGTTCATACAATTGCCACTCGCGACGTAACTGCATAACATGCCAACATATCACAGACGGGACTACAACATTTAATTTTTCTAACACTGACAAAAACTACGACATAAAACAACGACTGGACTGCAACTCCACCAACGTCATATACGCATTAAGCCTTGTTCAAACGCTCTCGATTTTCACTCGATTACTCTCGATTTTTGTTGAGCGTTGTCGAGCAGTGTTGAGTGTAGTCGAACGGGGGGTGTTCGAACGCTCTCGATTTTTCACTCGATTTCTGTTTGATTATAAAATCCCTCCTGCGAAGTGGGAAGATGCTGTGAAAGCATACTGACAACTTGGCGCTTCGTTGAGTCCATTTCTTCGTGAGTCCATTTTTCCCTTTCGACTCAGTCTTTGGTGATTTCTTCCGGATTTCGCAAGAGGCTTTCGTTTTTCTTTTTGATTTGTACAACAGCTGGAGGAGGACAGTTTTTGCGCTCTCGTCAAGATCCTCCAGCCTGTCATCGCCATTTTCACTGTCACTTTCTCCTAAACCGAATTCTTGAGAAGGCAGAAAGACAATGCTGTAAACTGTGATTCGTCAGACAATGATTCGTCCTCTATTTCGATTGCAACAATACGAACTTCACTGTTTTGTGTTTTGGCGGGTAAAATCAGAAAATCAGAAGAACGCATGCGCACGCTCGACTTTCTTGAGCAAGGTGTTCAGACGCTCCCGACAACGCTGAACAACACCTTGAACAATAGGAATGTTGTGTGACTCCGCTCGACTTTTTCAAACGTGTTCAAACTTCGCTCG